CGGGGGCTGGCGCGCTTAGGGAGGTCGGGGCAGGGAAGTAGGCTTTGAATGAAGTCTGCGTCCACGGCGATGACTTGCGACACATTCGGCGTCACCATGTCCACATAGCCCGGCGTCGTGAGTACCAGCTTGGCTTCTACTTCGCTAATGATTGTCCTCAGACGGTCTATCGGCTGGGCAGGGTCGATGCAGACGAATGCGCCGCCGGCCTTGAGGACTCCCAACATGGAGACTACGGCCCAGAGGGACTTGTCGAAGCAGACGGGCACGAACACCTCTGGTCCGACGTTCTGGGAGATGAGGAAGTTGCCCAGTCGCGCAGTGTAATCTACCAGTTCCGAATACGATACGGACCCATCCCAGCATTCCAGCGCCGTGCGATTCGGATACAGCTTCGCCGCTTCATCGATCTGTTCATGCAGACAGGCCTCGATGGTCGGAGACACGGTCGCATTCAGCTCCTGGAACCGCGCCCACGAAGACGGCCCAAGAAGGTCTAGCTCTCCGACCGTGGTGTGGGGTTCGTCGCGGATGGCCGCTGTCGCTTTCGCAACCGCTTCCGCAACTGCAGCTGCGATGCTATCGCCGATGGCCTGGGCGGCATAATGAAGGGTCACTTGAAGCTTTTCTGTCGCATCAGTGACTGAGAGTATAAGGGGAAACTGACCGGTCAGCAGGTAAGATCGATTTATAAAATTCGGAAAGTGGGTTGACTTACATGGGAGGGATCGATTTGCGCGAGGTGTGGTTCATGAGTTTGCGTCGACTTCCAGACAAGCGTATTGAATGATTCGCTCAAGGCCGCCCAGTCCTTGAAATTCTGGACGGTAGGTACGTCCTGCGCGGACTGTTCAACCGACGGCTGAAGCTGCGACAGAGCAGTGTCGCCAGGGATCTCACCGTGGCACACTGCGAACCGCAAGGTATCGGCCACCGTGCTGTCCGCCAATCCAAAGGAGAGGACATCACTCCCCGTATAATATCGTAGTACGACCATCCAAGCTTCCAACACGGCCTCGGTGGAGCATGCGCCCGCGCGCACTGGGATTGACTGGAACTCCGGCGCATTGTGCTGGAGGTTCTCGGTCGGGAAGTGGCAGAGTGCTGCGTCGGAGGCACCAGGCATGATCTGCAACATGACCGCGCGCGTCAAGTGAGAGTAAGGGTAGTGATTAGAACAAATGACGGGTACTTGGCAAGTCGCACTTGCTGATTACATATAGCTAGAGGTGGTGAATTGCGCGGGTTTAGAACGACAGAGGTTGATGTGATTATGCAGGGAGGTAAGCTCGAGAGAGCAATTGTGATCGAGAAGAAAAGTTGGGGAGGACAAGCTTGAGCTTCGCAGTTCAGAGCTCTAGAGTGAGATTCTTTTCTCGTGCCTGGCAATTTTCATTCACTAGGTCACTCACTGACTGACTGATAGACTCTTTCTCTCTTTTCCGGATCCGGCTATGCTTCCGGCTTGATCCCCTCCTGTGTGTGGACACCCAGCACGGAGCTGGGTGTGCTGCTGTCCCTGAGGATCAACCTTGGGGCCCATTCATTGCCTCGTGAATAAAGTGGCAAGACGTGTTCAGGGCTGCAATGGCTGTAAGGGCTAGTATGGCAGCTGGCAGCTTGTGTTTTGATACAGTCATGACCGTGACCGTGACGGTAAGCGATTAGATAGAGTTCCCTCATCTTGCTCATCGACCCACTGTGGATCTCATCGTGGCCTTGGCTTGGTTTACGTCATGGCTCATGGCTCATGGCTCATAGCCCATGGGCTTAATTTCCCTGGCAGGGGAGAAGCTTGGACTTCTGCTCGGCTTCCAACAGGGTCGCGTAGATTACTGTTTGAGTAGTTCTTTCTGCAGGTTGCCAAGTACTCAGTATACGCTAGAGATATGCCGAGTTTTCGGACTTGACCAGGAACTACATGTGTCGGTGACTGCATTGACGCATGTCTCGTTTCTAATTGCAAGGTTCATTGTGTGCCAGGTGTTGTCAAGATATTTCAGCATCCATGGAAGAGTCTCGGGCATAGATCGGGAAGTACCGTGGGCTCGGGACATGCTGCTTTTCCCCGATCGGGAAGTTGATATTCTTCACCCGCCGCGGCCTGGAGACTCCACTCTTTTTTTTTTTACTCAGTGAATGGCCAAATTCCCCTTCCGAAACTCTTCCGCCAAACTCTTCATCGTCAATCGCAGTTCTGCTATTTCTGGATATCGTGGATATCCTGTACATATACGTACCCTCACGATCGACACAAAACCCACAATCTCCTGGACCCTGCGCTGCACTCCCTGCCAGCCCTTCATATCAAAGCAACCACCGGTACTCTATACTTTCTAGATATTTAGGGTCTCGACACGAACCTCCCTTCTCCGGCAGTGCTCGGAACCTACTCTCCGCTGAGGGTCTCTGGGCTCTGCAAGGGGTGCAAGATTATCACACCCTGTGTAGTGTGGTTTGGGAATGTGCCAAGCGCAGAAATGGAGTCTGTAGAGATGATCCGTATAGACAGGCAAAATAAGTAGTACAACTCTGGCACTCTTCGAGGGGGATAGGTCTGGTCGAGGTTGTTCCATCACTGTCACTCCTTTGATTATTGTTGTGCTGTATTTCCGTCACCATGAAGGATACCGAGAGTGTGCTGGTGCAAACCAACATTGATCGACGGACCTGCCGTCGTGTGAAGCCGATGCAGGTCCTTGTGCTTGGACTCTGCCGCACGGGAACATTGTGTAAGTTGCCACACTTCCAGCGCCAATGCACGGTTGCTTTCGCACTCCTCCTGCGACACTATCCCCTTCCAACAAACACTAACAACCCGCCAGCAACATGGCTCGCACTCCAAGAACTCGGCTACGAGACCTACCACATGACCTCGATCATGCAAAACCCCAAGGACGCGGTGCTGTGGGCCGAGGCCTTCCACGGGAAATACCACGACGGCCGCCCCTTCACGCGCGCCGACTGGGACCAGCTCTTAGGCCACGTCGAAGCCGTCACGGATTTCCCGGCTGCCGTCTTCGTGGAGGAGCTGGTCGCCGCCTACCCGGACGCGAAAGTGGTGCTGACGCTGCGCGACGTCGACGCCTGGTATGCCTCGATGCAGCAGACCATCATGGCGCAGACCTACAGCCCCCTCGCGACGCTGCTGGGGTGGATCGACCCCGAGACTTTCGGGGCGGGCAACCGCATGTGCCGCCTGGGGTTCGACGCGATGTTCGCCGGCGACTTCACCCGCAATGGCAAGCAGGCCTTCCGCGAGCATTACGATCGCGTCCGAAGCGCCGTGCCGCGCGATCGTCTGCTCGAGTGGAACCCCGCGGAGGGCTGGGAGCCCCTCTGTGGCTTCTTGGGAAAGGATGTCCCGGCCACGCCCTTCCCGCGCGCCAACGAGAAGGCGATCTTTCAGAAGAAGTCGGCCGCGGTGGTACGCAGCGCGTTTGGGAGGTTTTTGAAGAAGATGACGTGCTACGGGCTGGGCATTGCGGTGGCATATTTGGCAGCCAGGCATGGCAGGGAGGTGTGGTTGCGTGTGCCGCGGTGGGTGTAGATCTTGGGGGGTAATTACAATTCGTTGTGTATACTTTGGGCTTGCACGTCTTTGCTTTGAGATGTTTGTACATAGATGATTTTGTGTTTCATAGATCATGGATATTCAATCATGGTTGTTTGACGATGAACCGCTCGATTCCCGATCGATTTTTGCCGACCCGCGGTTGGCCTGAGACGATCGGCGGCAATTTGGAAAGAATAAGCATGGGAAAAGAAGGAAAGAAAGGAAAAACGAAAACGGGAAAAAGAAAATATATCTCCGACATGGAAAAACAAAAAGGAAGAAAAAAGGTCTCTACCTGCCCCCGGAGTTGACTTAGACACTGTGAGGATCATGGCACGCTGCATCTATATGCCTGGTGTTTTACCGGTCCTTGCCCGCTGGTTTCTGCCCTATGCAGCCTTTCTGTGACCGAACTTGATATTGATATGCTATATCCTGGATCTGGTAGTAATATTATGTCAAGTAAACTTTTCACGCCATCAAGCTTGGACAGCTCTTTCTCTGGCCCTCCGCTGGAACCCTGTTTCAATCAGGATTCAGGAAACATGGTTGCGTTGACCCTGATCTGATCGGTCCCACCTACTGTATCCGGGGAAGATCACCTCGAGGCCGAGATCCATCGATCGTCGAGCTGGTGGATATGCTGTATCGCCAGTGTGGAGACACCTGACTCGCTGCTGGGTGAGAGCATCTCTTGCACTGCATTGCAGATGGAAGAATAGGAGTGTTGTTTAAAGCCGACCGCATGTAATTATTCATTATAGATATTATAAAGCGTTGAAGCTCACAAATCAACACAATATCAATCGACAAACACAGATAAGTTAGTGGTTCGTGGATAGGTGGTCTCGAGATGAAACAACCTCGTGGTGGAGCCCCATCGGTGATGTCAGGGTTCTGGCCACGTCTTGCCCTAAACAGTAAACCGCAAAGACTGCCCATGTCAAGGACCCTGACTGGCCATGGATTCATCATTATCTTCCGCGTTCCCGCATCTCGATCCTGATTTCTGCCGCTGGGTCCTGTCGATCGATCCGCTGATCGTCGGTACTGGAAGACTAAAAGGTGGAGCCCCGGGAAAAAGCACCGGCAAACCGGTTCGTTTGGCCCTCACTCCACAGTCCAGAGTCCAGGAGATTCAGGAGAGGAGTTCACCAGAACTGCCCCAGTCAATCTGCCTTAGCTTTCCCTCCCTTGTCTTGCTCTTCGCCTACTGTCACCGTCACCACCTGCTTCTTCCTCCCCCTAACCTCTCTTTCTCCTTCCCTCCCTCCCTCTTCCACTCTCTTTCTCTCTTTGCCTCATCACTTGACCCTCTTTTTCTCCCTCTGTCTTCCTAATTTGTTGACTCAAACACATCAACTGACTCTTGAGCTCCATTCTCACTGATATACTCTTTTCTCCGGTTTCACTTATCCACCATCTTTGCTTCATTACCATCATTATGCGCTTCGCACTCTGGTCCACTGCCCTCCTCGTCGGCTGCATGGCCGCTCCCATGCTTCCGACGCACCCGCTCATTGTCCGAAGAGAATTGACTGAGGTAAGGATCGCTGGGCTGCGTCAACCTGGAACTAGGAAGGGTCTGCTCAAACTAACTCTTTGCTCATCATTACTGCATAGAATGGTGAAGTGGTAAGTCAACCCTGGTGCATAGTCGAGTGTGTCTCGAGGGGCCGGAGGGGCTGACAAGACGGGCAGGATGTATGTATCAGGCTCCACTGCGGTGGTAATATTCGTTCATTGCGCGTGCTGACGACTGTGTGATTCGCCCATCTCAAGCCTGTAAGTTTACCTACCGTTTTGGGAAATGTTGACGCTAAATGGCTGCTTAGGTTGTATGTTGTTCTTGATCTTGTATAGCCTTGTTGACGTGCAGTGTAAGACTGATTGCTGGGATAGAATGTGAGTCTCTCTTCTTTCGGTGGTACTGATCCTTCCGCTAACTTTTGTGTAGAATGTATGCCAATCCATCCTCTGACCTATGCTATTGAAAGTTGCTAATATACACAGGGCGTGAGTACCCTTGTGTCGACTTGGTCTAAGATCCGGCTGCTGATCTTGGCACTGGCTGGCTTGTAGACTGTAAGTTTCACCTATTCTTGCTCTTTGACGTGACTGACACCGACAGGTGGTATGTACTCTTTTGCCCGGTAATGGTTGACCTCCATTGACGTGGTTCTTTCCCTGTCATCAGAATGTGAGTTTACCCCTCCCTTCTAGAATCATGCCAAGCTAATGTACCCAGAACGTGAGTTTCTACAATTTATTTACTCGAATGGCTGATGGAGTATTGATACTCATACATAAAATAGAATGTAAGTGGACTTGCTGCAGGTCATCTTCCCCGCTAACTATGATTAGGTTGTGAGTATTCTTATCCTATCGAATAGCTGATCATCCCATCCTTACTTTTAATAACAATGCAGAGCGTGAGTCTCTCCCCACAGCGTACTGGTATATACTAACATCGAACAGCTTGTGAGTACCCTAATAGAATAGCCTTAGCATCTGCACATGCTAACTCTCGGCCTTGCCTGGTACCCAGCTGGTAAGTCCAATTGAAGTCGAGGCATGAGAGAAATCCACGCTTACAAACAGCAGAGCGTAAGTCCCAAGTCATACTGACAAGGAATGGCTGATGCTGAGTGCATGTGCCTTAACATAGTTTGTACGTATCCCACCCACCACCGTAAGATCCTACTAACCCAGCCAGTGTGTAAGGAAACCCCACTTCCGGCCCATCAAAAACAGCATTAACGCATACTCCCGCGATCAGAAAGAAAAGGTAAGTTCACTCCCTTCCCGGTATTGTGTTGCCTACCTGCGTCAACGACTCGTGGCTAACCGATCAGCGCGACAACGACGAACCGTTGACCTCCGATGGCGACGTGGACCCCGTCAATGACGGCGAGGTCAACAACAACATCTCGCTCATCCGGCTCTGCTAGACGATCGTCAGCTCCGGCCGAGAGCTACCACGGACTCCCGAGGGTTCGGCGAAGGGTGGACCCAAGCGGTCGCGACCGAGTCCTTCTGCCCTCCCTCTCTCACTTGCTATCGTGTGGCTGGAGATCACTCGGAGGGCAAAGCAGGGCACCGGGGAACGAATTGGGGCTTGCCGAGGAGGACTTGCCGAGGAATTACTTGCTGCGGTGGATTGAGATTCTAGTCAATAGGTTATCCCTCGTTGGATAGGGCATGTCATACGATTGCACTCTTCCCGTCTCTATCCACTATGACTGTAGATCTAGCTGGGTATATCCACGTAGACGTTGGGATCCATGTCTGTAGACGTTCATCTATGACGCATGCGATGCCTAAGATCTTGTTTAGTCGCCATGTCGAATGGTTCTTCGATGGTATAAAGAGATGAAGTTCTGGTGCCGGGTTGTTGGCTGGGTGTGATACCGACGCCTCTTCTGAGAGGCATGACCAGTCGACATCACCTCACCAGCTGCGAATTATTGTGTCCGTACTAGCTGCAAGCTGACTGGCTTCGATGAGACTTTTCGAGATACGAATGATTTCGAGTCAGCGGGCCTGGCCAGAGCAACTCGAAGCCGCACGATTCATGCCCGATCAGCATGTCTACACTAATAATCAGTCCATACGGCGGCTACTTCCTCGAAATGAATATATACCCGGCTCATCCATTTTGCTGCAGCATGTACAAATCACTACTACCATTAGTTCGACACACTCTTGGTTATATATTACTATCGAAGAACAAAGACACCATACGCCAAAAAGACTAGGCTAAAACACTTGTTTACTGCTTCCCAGCCGCCACACGCGCCCGACGCTCGCGCACAGCATCGGCCAGCGAGCGCAGTGAGGACTCGGTGGTCTCCCAATCGATACAGGCATCCGTGATGCTGACACCCTTCTCACAACCCTCCAGACGCGCGGCTGGCTTCTGGCTGCCCTCCTTGATGTTGGACTCAACCATGACGCCGATGATGCCGCTCTCGCCCTGTCGGAGCTGCCCTTCAATGGTGCGCAAGACCTTGGGCTGGTTGCGGTGGTCCTTCTGGGAGTTACCTGGACGATTGCGTTAGCGAGAACATACATTCCAAGGCAAGATTGACATGTAGGTAGTGATGTAAGTTGACGACTCCAGACATACCATGGGAACAGTCCACCATGACGACCTCCCGCTCCCCCTTCTTCTGCAGCATCGCCTTCGTCGCCTTGACACTCTCGGCATCATAGTTGGTCCCACGGCTCCCGCCGCGCAAGATGACAAAGCCATCGGGGTTCCCGCTGGTGCTAGTGATGGCGATGATGCCCTGCTTGGTGGTGCCCATGAAGTGATGCTTCCCGCGCATCGACTTCAGCGAGTCGGCGGCGGTGCCGACGGACCCATCGGTGGCGTTCTTGAAGCCGACGGGGAAGGACAGCCCGGAGGCCAGCTCGCGGTGCAGCTGCGACTCGGTCGTGCGGGCGCCGATGGCGCCGACGCTGATGAGATCGGCCGTGTACTGCGGTGAGATGGTGTCGAGCATCTCGCAGGCGACGGGCACCCCCTGGTCGGTAATGTCGGTCAGCAGCTTCCGCGCGACCTTGACCCCCTTGTTGATGTTGTACGAGTCGTCCACGTCCGGGTCGTTGATCAGCCCCTTCCACCCCACCGTCGTGCGCGGCTTCTCCAGGTACGCCCGCATCACTACGCACAGGTCCTCCTGCAGCTCCGCGGCCAGCCCCCGCAGGCGTGCCGCGTACTCCAGCGCGTTCTCCGGGTCGTGGATGCTGCAGGGGCCTACGAGCACGAGCAATCGGTCGGACTCCTGCCGGATGATGTTGCGTGCTTCAATCCGGCTGTTCAGCACCGTCAGCAGGGACTGCGCGCTCAGCCCGATGTCGTATTGGACCAGTTCGGGCGGGGCGAGGGGGGTGTATTTCTCCACTAGAAGGGGAATCGGGGGTTAGAGATGATCACATTTTTAGGAAGAGAAGAAAGAGTGATTGAGAAGAATTCAGGCTACTAACCTCGGACATCTTCAGCGAGCTTCTTCCGCAGAAGGTCGATGTTGGTGGCATCCAGCACGGGGGTGGATGTGAGGCTAGGCATTTTGATATGCGTATGTATGGAAAGCAGGAACAAAGAAATATTGAGATTGGAGCGCTAGGTAGAGGGAAACAACACAACACTGGGACACAATGGGACAAGAAAAGAACAACATAGATTACTGGGTCATCTTCACAACCGTCTGGAACAACACCATGTGCTATATACCCTGCTGGGGACTCCGACTCGACTTCCCTGCTATCCCGCCTCTCCCCCTCTCGTCGACCTGACCCTCTCACCGAACCTGAACAGGATCTTTTTCCGTGTCAGTGCGGCTCGTGAATGTCAGACCTGCTGAGAGTCTATCTCCTGCCGCAGCTCAGAGAGAGGGGGGAAAGTTTAATTGGAATACTCTATCGTGATTGTCTCGGTCCACACCCGCTACGTCGTCGAATCGTCACTGTACGAACAGCTCCGAGCGATGGATACTCGGACTCCATCACGTATTGCGGTAGTGTCTCCTTCAGTCCGTCTCGTATGGAAGGTAGCTGAACTGGTCCACAGCTTTGGGACGGTCGATCAAAGTCAGATTCAGAATGGAGGAGTGAAAAACCTTGAGTCTCGGTTGTTTTTCTCGCAGCGTGGGAGGAATCAGGAAGCGTCGGGACGTGCTCCGATGATCGTCGTGGATGCACTGCAATCCCAGAGTGGATAGCATTTGAGCTCTTCATTTTCCATGTTGGAAGCAGGCGTGATGGTGGTGGGTTGCAGTGGGTTTCGAGAAGTGGAGGGCAGAAGATCTCGAGGATTGATATTGCCTTGGATGGCTGGTAACGTCGTATCAAACAATACATACCGAGATCTTGTTTCATACAGCAAGCGATACGGACAATACCGCGCCAAGATTACCGCTGGACCCGCCCGACCCGCCGGAGCTAAACCCGAAGAATGCAAGATCGCCCCGTGCAGCCGCGCTCCGATAAGCGAAATTTCGGAATTGCTTCACTGTCACCTTCACAATCTCTTCCTGCTCGCATTCATGGCTCACTCCACCGCGGCTTCCGGAAGCATGCAGTCGGAATCCATGGAACCACCATGCCATCGTTTCACCTGCGATCTATGAGCTGAAACACCTCGATCTGTTTGTTGTGGTTCGTGCTGTACCACGAGAGGAATACAAATACACACCAGGAAAACACACGGGTTGAGCCGACTGGGTCTCTATTCCCAGTGCTGATCATGACAATCTGCCAATTTGCCGCTGGATGGGTCAGGAACATCTGAATCTGATCAAGACGGAATGGCAGAGCAAGCAGACTCCACCGTCCACAGTTCATGGCCCACAGCCCACGTCAGGATGATCGAACATCCACCGCATCGATGAGGACCTCTCGTCAACCTTTCGCGCGGCATCACCATGTTGCCAAACATCAGGCACTAAACAGCTATATCCACACTTTCCGATCGAGGGTTCATCGCCCTGCATTCTACATCTAGACTAGCCGCCTTGAGATTTCCCTAGTCCTGATGCTCGAGACGGCTGGTTGGATCGAGGACGATGAACTGGAGTTCACCTCGAGTCCTGCTTTTTCAGCTTACTGGGTCAGGTCCAGCGCGGTTGCTTCGCTTCGGGCTCCTCCCACGGGATTTCCTCAAAGGGGATATGATAGAGCCCCTAACAGGCCGTGGTCGAGAGTTGTCGTAGATGCAGGTGATGGAGCCCCAAATCCTGCTACACATAATAGCATTGTTGACCGTGTTCTCTTCTCTCTCTCTCTCTCTTCCTCTTGTTCCTGATCATCTTCTCAATTCCCCACGTTATCTTCCGATTTTCATTCTCAATTTCTTGCGCGTCGCGTTTACCACTTGCGTTTTTTGTGTTCTTCCTGCCCGACTTATCCCCTTGCTGCTGGCTCTTGCTCTTCTCACTCTTTTTTGTCTAATTTCTCCTCTTTGAGCACACAATGCCGTCCATCATCCTGGATGATGCCGACCGGCTCCGTCAGCGTTGGACGGAGCTGGTCACCGACGTGACGCCTTCACACCTCCCCACGGGTCTTTTTTCGAAACGGCGGACCAAATCTCGCTTGGGGAAGTTAGAGATCGACCTCGATGTATCCCTGATGCAAGCATGTTCTCAGAAGCACGATGTGTCTGCCTTGGATCTTGTCCAAGCGGCATGGGCTGCCATGCTGCGCTCCTATTCTGGCTCCGATGACATTACTTACGGGGGCATCGGTCTCCAACCCTTCAACGTGAAGCAACAAGTGACGGACGCAGCTCTGTGCCGGGTACGGCTGGAGCCAGACGTCTCCATTCTCTCGATTCCACAGCAGACCCTGAAAGAAGGGCCACAAACCGCGGACCTGCTGCTCCCTTTTCCAGAAGCCTTGCAGGTTCTCACCAGTCTGGACCCACAGCCGTGTAATACCGCAATCTGGCTGCGGGACTCAACTTCCAAGGCTGAAATCTCTGAGAATGAGATTGTCGGCGACAAGACTGTATGTCTCTTCCTTGCATATTGGTTTTGTTCGGTCACTAACTTCTCTCTCTAGTTTGACTACGTCCTACAGATTGATCCCTCTTTATCCACTCTAGACTTAATATACCACAAACCCACGGTCTCGCAAGCCCAGGCCGAGTATATCGCTAATACCTTCGCCGATATCCTACATACTGTCTGCTCTGATCCCTCCAAGCCGGTGTCCACTCTGTGCCACCCAAGTGAATTGGATACGCTTCAGATTGGAGCGTGGAACCGCATCCTTCCGAAGGGGAGTGCAGTGTGCGTCGACCGTTTGATCGAAGAGGCTGCACAGCGTACCCCCAATGCCCCCGCCGTCTTCTCATGGGATGGCCAGATGACGTACGCCCAGTTCAACCAGACCGCATGCCGTGTAGCAAACTATTTGGAGTCAGTCGGCGTGCGTCGGAACCAGCTGGTTCCAGTCTGTTTTGAAAAGTCCCGCTGGACCATCATCACTATGATCGCCTTGTGGAAGGTCGGTGCCGCCTGGGTGCCTCTAGACCCACGCCATCCACGCCAGCGTATCGAGACAATTGTCGAAAGCGTAGAGGCCCCGACGGTCATTACCTCCGAGGCCAACCAGGCGCTGCTGGCCGGTATCGCCCCGCAGGTGATCACAGTAGACGCCGCTCTCATTGAGACGATCGAGACGAGCTCGGATGTCGAGTTCGAGTCGCGATCGCAGCCACACGACATCTCTTTTGTCATGTTCACGTCTGGAAGTACAGGCAAGCCCAAAGGTGTGGTTCATGAGCATGCGTCCGTGGCTTCGAGCGCCCTCCACCATGGTCCTGCCATGAACATCAACGAGGGCACGCGTGCCTTGCAGTTTGGTGCCTATACCTTCATTATTAGCACCTTTGAGATATTCACCACCCTCATCTTCGGTGGGTGTCTGTGCATCCCCTCAGACCACGATCGTCATACCGATATCCGTCCTGCCCTGCGCTCCATGGATGCGAACTGGGCAATCTTCACCCCTAGTTTCGCCCGCTCTCTCAGGACAGAGGATGCTCCTACCTTGAAGACACTCATCCTGGCTGGTGAAGCAGTCGCCCAGGACATTATTGACCGCTGGGCTGCCGTCGCTCGCTTGATCAACATCTACGGTGCCAGCGAGTGCTCGGTCTGTATGATCGGACCCATGGTCACGGACACACCGCGCAGCTGCATCGGCCGAGCTGTCGGCGCTCTCTCGTGGATCGTCGATGCGAACGACCACGACCGGCTGGTTCCGATCGGAGCAGCAGGAGAGTTGATTATGGAGGGTCCCACCCTGGCGCATGGCTACCTGGCCGACCCCGAGCGTACCCAAGCCGTCTACATCAAGGACCCCAAGTGGGCACAGCAACCGGGCATCACCCGGCAATTCTACAAAACGGGCGACCTCGCTCGCTACGGCGACGACGGTAGGATTCACCTGATCGGCCGGAAGGACTTGCAGGTCAAGATCCGTGGGCAGAGAGTAGAGCTGACCGAGATCGAGGCGCACATGCGCGCCATCAACAACCAGGTCAAGACCGCCGTGTCGATGGTGCACCCACAGGGCAAGGCCATGCTGGTTGCCTTCATCTCCAGCCAGAGTGGCTTCGGCCCGGAGTTCCAGCACCCCTTCCATGCTACGCCTGAGGATCATCCCAACATCGCGGGCATCGCCTCGCAGATGAACAGCGAGCTTGCGCAGAGACTTCCGCCGTACATGGTTCCCTCTGCGTTCATCCCGCTCGCGTACATGCCCCTGACAGCCTCGGGTAAGACGGACCGACGCATGATCACGACCTTCGGCACCGGTCTGTCCTTATCCGCGCTGGCGGCCCTCGCCGGAGGTACGGCAAAGTCTACGCGCACCATGCCTTCCACTGCGGATGAGAAGCAGCTCCAGCAACTGTGGTCTGAGATCCTGCATTGCTCGCCCGCGGAGATCGGCGTGGAGGATAACTTCTTCCACTTGGGTGGCGACTCCATCGAGGCGATGAACCTGGTGCGGCGATGCCGAGCCGAGGGCTACCAGCTCCAGGTCAGCGAGATCATGGACAATCTCGTGCTGCGCGACATGGCCAAGGTGATGGTGCCGGGTCGCTCCTCGACTGAGCTTCCACCTGCAAGGCCCTTCGAGCTTCTCGGCGACGACGAGGAGAGCATCCGCTCGGAGGTGCAGGCTGCCAGTGGATTCAAGGATGCAGAGCTCATCCAAGATGCGTATCCGTGCACACCGCTGCAGACTGGTCTAATGGCTCTCTCGGCCAAGATCCCCGGGTCCTACATCGCCCGCCACACGCTTGAGCTGCCCGCAAACCTGAGCGTGGACCGCTTCAAGGAGCTGTGGGAGATTGTCGTTGCGAACAATGACGTGCTGCGTACGAGGATGGTGGAGACGGACCGCTACGGCACCGTGCAGATGGTCGGTCGTGACCGCATCCAATGGAGCCACGGTAGCGAGTTGGAGGAGTATCTCCAGGCTGACGAGGCGATCCCCATGCACATGGGTGATGCTCTCACAAGACACGCTATCGTCGCCGCTGCAGATAAGACCTGCTTCGTCCTAACCATCCACCACGCCATCTACGACGGTCTGTCTTTGGAGATGCTGTTCAATGACCTCCTGGACGCTCTGCAGGGCAGTGTGCCCCCTGCGCGTCCGCAGTTCCGGGATTTCGTCCAGCACGTGGTGGAGAAGAACAATGACGAGGCCACGGAGAAGTACTGGCGGAACGATCTGGCTGAAGGCGACTTGATCGCGTTTCCCACTCTCCCCTCGGCTACGTATCAGCCTCTCGCCAACGAGTTGCTCATCCATCACCTCAAGATCCACCGCAATGGTCCTTCGGACTTCACCACCGCGACTCTGATCCGTGCGGCTTGGACCCTACTCCAGGCCCGCTACTGTGACTCCCCCGACACGGTCTTCGGCTGCACCGTCAGCGGACGCAATGCATCTGTTCGCGGTGTGGAAGACGTGGTCGGACCAATCATCGCCACGGTCCCCATCAAGGCGCACCTCGAGCCCCAGCAGTCCGTCACCGACTACCTCAAGGCCGTCCATGCTCACTCGGTGGAAATGACCCCCTACCAGAACTATGGCCTGCAGAACATTGCCCGAGTCTGCAACAACGCTCCCTCTGCGTGCAGCTTCCAGACCCTGCTTGTCATCCAGCCCGCCAGCTCGGTGCCCGAGGCCAGCCTGATCCAGCCTTTCTCGGCCCCACGCGCGAGCTTCAGCACCGTGGCCCTCACGCTGGAGTGCAGCCTCTCCGCCAACGGGGGAGTCCTGGTGCACGTCCACTTCGACAACGCGGTTCTGCCCCGCGGCCAGGTGGAACGCATCGTGCAGCAACTCGAGCATGTCCTGCAACAGCTGGCGCAGGAGCCCGCCAGCCGCACGCTTGCCGACCTCGAGCTAATCAGCCCCCGCGACATGCGCGATCTCCTGCAGTGGAACCGCACGATCCCCGACGCCACCGAGGACTGCGTCCACAATCTCATCGCCAAGAACACCATGCTGAATCCGACTGCCCCGGCCGTGTGCGCCTGGGACGGCAACCTCACCTACGCCGAGCTCGATCACATCTCCTCGAAGCTCGCCGCCCACCTCATGAACGCCGGGGTCGGGCCCGAGGTGTTCGTCCCGCTGTGCTTCGAGAAGTCCATGTGGACGATCGTCGCCATGTTGGCGACCATGAAGGCAGGTGGCGCGTTCGTGCCCATGGACGCGTCGCAGCCGTCCAGCCGCATGCAGCTGGTCGTTCAGGAGGTCAACGCGCATGTGATGTTATGCTCGGAGGAGCAGCTGGGCCGGTGCCCGGGGCTCGTCGAGAAGGCGATCGCCGTCGGACCGGGCATGGCCCAGGCGTCGATGCCGCAGATGTCGCAGACGCCCGTGGCGCCGTCCAACGCCGCGTACGTGATCTTCACCTCCGGCAGCACGGGCACGCCCAAGGGGTCGGTGGTGGAGCACCGGGCCTTCTGCACGGGGGCGCTCGCCCACAAGGAAGGCCTGCAGATGGGGCGGCGCGTGCTGCAGTTTGCGTCCTACACGTTCGATGCGAGTGTGCTGGAGATTCTGTCGACGCTGGTGCAGGGCAGCTGCGTATGCGTGCCCTCGGAGGCCGAGCGCCGCGGCAACATCGCCGAGGCCATAACGCGCATGAACGTTGACTGGGCAGTGCTCACCCCCTCCTTCGTCAGCACCATCGACCCGACCACCGTGCCCACCCTCGAAACCCTCTGTCTGGCCGGCGAGGCCATGACCGCCACCCACGTCGCCACCTGGACCCCCTATGTCCGCCTCGTCAACGGCTACGGCCCCAGCGAGTGCTGCGTCTGCAGCTCGTCCAACCGCCGCGTCGTGCCCGGCACCGCGCCCAACGACATCGGCACCGCCGTCGGCGGCGCCTGCTGGGTGACTGACCGGGACGACCACAACAAGCTGGCCCCCGTGGGCTGCATCGGCGAGCTGCTGGTCGAGGGCCACACGCTGGCGCGCCACTACCTCAAGAACGCGGAGAAGACCGCCGCGGCGTTCATCCCGCGGCCCGCGTGGCTGCCCTGGTCGCGCTGCGAGCGGCTGTACAAGACGGGCGATCTGGTCAGGTACAGCGCCGATGGGTCGCTGCTGTTCATCGGCCGCAAGGACACGCAGGTCAAGATCCGTGGCCAGCGCGTCGAGCTCGGCGAGATCGAGTACCACCTCTGCCTGCCGGCCGCGGTCTCGCAGGCGATCGTCTCGTACCCCAAGAAGGGGATCTACGCCAACAAGCTCATCGCCACGCTCGAGCTGACCGCCACCACCGGTGACAAGCTCGCCCCAATAGCTGCTCCCACGCTCGAGAAGACGGGCTTCGATCTGCCGTCGCTATCCCGGTCCATGATCGAGACCCTCCCCGCGCACATGGTGCCCGTGATTTGGATCGTGGTGGAGAAGATCCCCAGCTCGTCGTCGACGAAGATCGACCGCAAGACGGTGGACACGTGGCTGGCGCAGCTGCCGGCGGACTTCCCGCCGACGATGGGCGTGAAGCGCAACGAGCCCACCGTGTCCGCACTGCGGCCGGACGAGGGCAAGGCGCTGGCGATCAGCCACAAGATCGCCAGCCTGGTCAGCCGCGACGACGCCGGCGGCGGCAGTCCGCTGCAGGGCCACGACTTCAACATCGCCTCAATGGGCATCGACTCGGTGCAGGTCATCAGCCTGGCCAGCTTTCTCAAGCAGACCTACGGCGTCAAGGTCGACGTCTCACGCATCCTGGACGGACAGATGACCGTGCGCTCGCTGGCCGCCCTCCTCGACGCCGAGCTCACCGGCACTGCCCCCGCCACCGCATCCCCGGCCTCCTCCTTCGACGCGATGAAGGAAGCCACCGCGCTCATGAAGTCAATCATCACACGCAGTCCCGTCAAGAAGACCGTCTTCGTCACCGGCGTGACGGGCTTCCTGGGCACACAGATCCTGCGCCAGCTGTGCGATCGCCCGGACGTCGGACGGGTCATCGCGCACGTGCGCGCCGCGACGCCCTCCGAGGCGTTCATGCGCGTCAAGGACGCCGCCGTGCGCGCGCAGTGGTGGGCGGACGACTACCTGGCCAAGCTGGACGTGTGGGCGGGCAACCTCGCGCAGCCGCAACTGGGCCTCAAGCCCAAGCAATGGGCCTCCCTCACAGGCGAGAGCCCCAACGAAGGCGGGCTGGTGCACGCGATCATCCACGCGGGGGCCGCGGTGAACTGGAACGCAGGGACGGAGGTGTTGCGCGCGGCGAACGTGGACTCGACGGCGGAGCTGATCAAGGCGGCAGTCAGCTCGCCGGCGCGGCCGCGGCTGGTCTACGTCTCCGGCGGGCACCGGTGGCACCCGGACGAGGACGACCGGGAGATCGCGGCGGAGGTGGCGCACGCCAACGGGTACGCGCAGACCAAGTACGTGTCGGAGCTGCTGGTGAAGCAGTTCGCGGGGCGGTACGCGAGCCAGTTCGCGATCGTCAAGCCGGGGCTGATCCTGGGCACGCCGGAGGAGGGGGTGGCCAACACGGACGACTTCGTGTGGCGGCTGGCGTCGGCGGTGGTGGACGCGCGCTGCTACAGCCGCGACGTCGGCGAGAGCTCGTGGATGTTCGTCACCAGCAGCACGCGCGTCGCCGAGGAGACCATCCACCAGGCCTTCTGCCCCGCCGACGCCATGCGCACCGTCACCTTCATGACCGACGGCATCACCGAGCGCGAGTTCTGGGACATCTTCCACCACGAGCTGCAGTACCCGCTCCGCGCCGTGGACCATGCCACTTACCTCGAGACCCTGCACCAGGCCATCCAGCGCGACGCCACCGGCCATCCGCTGTGGCCGGTGATGCAGGTGTTCGAGGCGATCGACGGCCGGCTCGGCGGCGGCGATGTCCTGCCCGATGCCAGTGTGGTGACCCCCTCGCAACGCCAGCATGTCAAGGCCACCGTCCGCCGCAATGTGCAATTCCTGGTGGACGCGGGCTTCATCGCGAGCCCCACGGGCAAGAAGATGCGCTACATGGCCGAGAAGGTGTTCCAGCGGTCGGGCAATGTGTGGGAGAATGTCAAGGGGATGGTTAATGGACTAGCTTAGGATGACAGTCCTATAGGATGGACTAGATGACATGTAGTGTTTTGTATGATAGCGTAATGATTTGGAGTATCGGTGATGGGAATTGGATTCAGATAGCATTCAATTGATTTTGCTCGTTCATCTATCGTCCTCCGTCAGTAATGCTGCTACATGTACATCACCAGACTAGGTGTCGGGGGAGCAGGTGGAGCAGCTGAACCTCCGTGTAGGGTGTTACTTCAGCTAATGTCGCATAAAACCAGCCGATCCATAAACAAGTAGCGTTGATTATCGCCGATCAGGGCTCAGCAGGAGGATGGGGGGGTATAAGAAGGCGCATGCCCGCAGCCTGTCTCCTGTTCTTTTTCCTCTCTCTCTCTCTCTCTCACTCAGCCCTAAGTTTCCCTTCCTCCTCACCATACCCACAACAACAACAACAACCACCACCACAACCACCCATCTATATCCCAACCAACACCCTCACACAACACACCAAAATCACCCTTGATCACAGACACTCACAGAGAAACAAAATGGACATGTTCGCCCCGGCCCCTCCACCACCCACCGCCCTAGGCCGGTACCGCACCCTCTCCTCGACCGCCGGCATCCGGGTCTCCCCCTTCCAACTAGGCGCGATGTCCATCGGCACCGCCTGGTCCGGGGGACTAGGGTCCATGACCAAAGAAGCCAGCTTCGCGCTGCTAGACGCCTACCTGGCCGCGGGGGGCAACTTCCTCGACACAGCCAACAACTACCAGAACGAGGAGTCGGAGCGGTGGATCGGGGAGTGGATGGCCGTGCGCGGGGTGCGCGACCACCTGGTGGTGGCGACCAAGTACACGGGGCTGTACAAGGCACCCAACCCTCCCGCATCTACCTCCTCCCCAGAAGAACCACTCGCAACGGAAAGCCGCTACCACCCCTCCCACCCGAAGGTCAACTTCGCCGGCAACCACCGGCGCAGCCTGCACCTGAGCGTGCGCGACTCGCTGGCCAAGCTGCGCACAGACTACCTCGACATCCTGTACGTGCACTGGTGGGACAGCACGACCTCGATCGAGGAGGTGATGGACAGCCTCCACGCGCTGGTTCAGCAGGGCAAGGTGCTGTACCTGGGGATCTGCAACGCGCCGGCCTGGGTGGTCAGCGCCGCCAACACGTACGCGCGCCTGCAGGGCAAGACGCAGTTCAGCGTCTACCAGGGCCGCTGGAACGTGCTGCACCGCGACTTGGAGCGCGAGGTCATCCCCATGGCGCGGCGGTTCGGGATGGCCGTCGCGCCGTGGGATGTGCTCGGCGGGGGGAAGTTCCAGACACAGAAAGCCATGGCCGCGCGGCGGGAGAGTGGGGAGGGGCTGCGCAAGATGATGGGCAGTGGGGCGCAGAGCGAGGATGAGGTGCGCATGAGCGAGGCGCTGGGGAAGGTGGCGGCCGAGTTGGGGATCGAGTCGGTCACGGCGGTGGCGTTGGCGTATGTGTTGGCGAAATATCCCAATGTGTTCCCTGTCGTCGGCGGAAGGAAGGTCGAGCATCTCAGGGATAATATTCAGGCGTTGGAGGTGAGGTTGTCGGATGAGCAGATTAGGTTTTTGGAGGGGGTGAAGCCCTTGGAGCTGGGTTTTCCGCAGAATATGCTGGGCGAGGAGCCTGGGGTTACAGGGCGGGAGGGCATGTCTTTGGCTAATGCTGGGGTGGTCGATTTTGTGAAGTTCGAGAGGCCTGTCGGGTATGCTTAAGTTTGGGGGGTGTATCTTGGTTGTTGGAGGTATCTGACTGGAAGGCATCTTGGTCGCTAGAAAGTCACACTGTGTGTATCATAAGGGACATGCTAGTATACATAAATGAATTCGTCATTCTCGCGGTCCGTCAAGTCCATCAGCCCCTGCTCGCCGGTCTCCTCCGTCGTCGTCGGCGCGCCATCGCCCTCAGTCAGTACGCCACTGCGCATCGACAGATCCTGCAGCTTGGCCGGCTTGCCATTCTTTACGCGCCGTCGCTCCTGCATGCGATTCAGTAGCACCAGATTCGCCCACTGCAACAGCGTCACTCCCACCAAGGCCACAAAGATCCCCAGACACGCCTTCAACCCCGGCCGATACGTCGGAGCATCCTTTGCATCAAACAGCAAGGGCCCGATGATGTTGCCCGACGAGGTCGCGGCATTAAACAAACTCATGCAGACACTCTGCTTCGTCGTGCCACCGGTGTTGGAGACAATCCACGCCACGATCAACGGATTGCCCCCGAACAAGAACGCCAGCAGATAGAAGCCGGCCATGAGGGCTCCGTTGGCACTGCTATCGCGGGGCAGCGCATACAGCATCGCCAGCCCGGCGACCACGGGCAGCACCAACGCGGCCAGGATGACCCCCTTCATGCTCGCCTTCTGGGCCAGGTAGCTCGCCAGCAGGATGATGATCACCTGCACCGCGCCGAAGGGCATGTTCAGCAGCGTCACGTGGTTGGTGCCGAACCCCAGCCCCTTCAGGATCAGCGGGCCGAAGACGTTGGTCACCGACGCTCCGATGTTCAGGAGCAGCGCCAGCCCGATCCACAGGTAGGTCTTGGGCTCCAGCACCGCTTCCACCAGGTGGCTCATCTTGTATTCCCGGGTCCCCGTGCCTGTCTGATTGGCGCGCAGTCGCTCGACGGCTTGTTCCTTTTCGCTCTCGGTGAGGAAGCGGGCCGTCTCGATGTCGTTGTCGAGGCGCCAGTAGATGATCGGGCTGGTGACGATGGTGAGGAGGCCGACAAAGAGGAAGATGCTGCCGCAGAAGTTAAGTCAGCATTGCCATGCTGTCTGAATGCTTTGGGGGTCAAAGGCAAACTTACATCTGCCATCCCTTCAAGGCATCGGATTGGATCTGACTCAATCCGTAGGACAGCGCCGCAGCGATGATGGTCGCCCAGCCGTTGGTGGAGTAGAAGGCCGCCACACGGATCGGCTGCTCAGCCCGACGATACCATCGGGCCACAAGAATGGAGAACAGCGGCAGACATCCGGCCTCAAACAGGCCGAGGAAGAACCGCGCCGCGAGGAGTTGGCTGAAGTTGTGGCAGGCGGCCATGCAGGTCTGTGCGATGCCCCAGCCGAGACATAGACTGGGCATGAGGATCCGGGGCCGGACCTTGACGATGACTATGGGGGTCAGCTATCACCCTATCACCCACCCACTGTTTAGTCGTTGTACTCACGCCAGGATGAACATGGCTGCCAGGCCAGCTGGGCAATGGGAGCGATCGACCCAATCAGCGAGTACTGGTTGCCCGTGAGGTGGGTGTCCTCGGTCATGCCGTAGGTGGCTCCAAACCCCAGGACGGTCTTGTCCAAAATCTGCAGAAAATACACCCAGATCAGGATGGTCAGGATCGCCCAGTCGGTCTTGCGTTTGATTTTCTGGCCATCCTCTTCGGTCAGGGGGATGCGCGGACGGGGGACGGGGTCAAAGTCGGGAGATGCAGAGTCAGAGCCCTCGATGTGAAGTGCAGCAGGCTTAATGTCATTGTCCATGATGCTGGATGGGGGTGTGGATGAGAGAAATCTGGGGAATGGTGGGGAGGGGGAGGGGGAGGATCTACCCCATATAACACCGACAAATGCGGGGGAATCACTAGTGCATTCAATGCAGTGCCACCCCCACGAGCCTGATAAGCTGATGGTACGACATGAGCCCTTGCCGACTTGCAGCAGGAGTCGAGTCGGAGATGACAAAAACCGAGGCAAATGGGCCGATTTCCCCGCTGTCGATCCCCCGTCATGATGCCGTTTCATTCTGGCTTTGCTCTGGTTCTCAACCCCCACGTTGCACGGGGGCCTCGGGGTTTAGCCTTTATATGCAACATAGCCAGGATATTCAAGGTGTCCAGCTTGTTTGTCTGGCCAGGTCAGATGATGATGACGGTGCTTCTCATGCAAGGATCTGCTTGTCCCTCACTGGATGCGAGCGAGGTTGCATCAAGCTTGTGGCTTGTGGCGCGAGCCACTTACCCCCACGTCCACGACTGACGGTAGGTCCAAGCGGCCTTGCAGATACTCTCCTCATGTGCTAGAAGTAATACAATCATGCCGTTTCTGACCAGTGAGGCGATCGTAGAAAGACACATAGACTGGTCTTCCGATAAGGTAGACTAATGCACGGGAACAGATCTTACTAACGTGTAATCATGGGTTGTTACTAGACGACCCCGATGCGTGCCCTAGAGAAGACAAGGCCGTCTCTTATGATGGCAGCTCATACCGGACCTCTACAGGACCCTCCATCTCCGCGGGTACTGATGCACGGGAGTATTTTGTACCCCTTGCGAAAGCCGGTAATTCATACGACAGTACAGTCTCGCTCCTTGTATCCATCGGACCCGTTGCCTCTCGTCTGGCTACCTTTCGACGTCGCCGGAGCCAGTACCAGGTAAGCCCGATCGTCAGCAGAAGCGCACAGCCCAAACCTACTCCCACCCCGATTCCGGTCTTTGCTCCCGTGTCCGATCCCGAAGACGTCACTGCAGGGGTCGTGGTCTCTGCCGGTGCCGATGCGGCGGTGACTGCAGCCGATGCAGTCAACGCCACGGAGAGAATGGTTGTGGCAGAGGTAGATACCGCCGTTGTCGTTGAAGTTCCGATTGCTGTCGTGGTCGACGTACCCGCAGATATATTGAAGTAGTGACTTGCGAACACACCGTCCCAGTCTTCAAGGTCGGTCGCATCACGAATCTGGAAGAAGAATACTACGCCGTCGCTGAGATTCCTTTGGGTGCTGACAACCCAGTCGTAGCTGGTGACCCCACTGAGATTGGCTGCGGTCGTTAGTGGTTTGCATCCTGAATGTGGGTTCCATAGCTGTCAGGATGCGTACTTTGAAGCCATTCGTAGTCGGAATTATCATTTTGCCAAAGCATCAGAGAGATAAACTCAAGGCTAGTCGCCCATCGAAGCTGCACAGTCTGTTCGAGGGTGTAGACGGGGTCCTCCGAGTAATCGTGGATGGGGCCGCCCGTCGGAGGATTGTAGAAGATCCCTGCCTCCGCTTTCACATGATTAATCAGGAAAGTGAGTAGACATAGATAGAAGATGCATTTGAACATCTTCAAAATAGGACGGCGGTGTACTTTTAAATCCGTTGCGAATGTCTGATGGGTGGCATTTCCCGGTCCAGGGAACGGACTGGGTGAGAGAAGGATGCAAAAGGAATCAGAGAGTTGGAGCGGGGGCCTCGCTTGACCCCAACCATGGGCTCGACACTGATAAAGAAATCCCGAGGGAGTGGTTCGCCAATAACTACTATCGTTGGTAAGGTAAGTAGTGTCGCCATTCCAACACATCGTTGCTATGTTGCTATTTTGAACCCTCCCTCAGGGCTAGTCGCATTGGAACCAATCACAGGCACAGTGTGCTGGGCTGAGGGTCATTAGCACAGGCAGGTGGGGAAGCCTGACTCGCACCTCTAGGGGACTCCATCACGTACTTCTCCTTGTAGACATCGCAGACAGGGCAAGCCGGCACAGTCTGACTCTTGGGATGCGTGATGACGGGATGGTTCGACCGGGGTAGACGAGGTTAGCGCTAAAGCTCCGTCTGTCACTGGCTGCACCGAACCCTAATCATGCAAATAAGCTGCGCCGCCAGCTTGGCCCTGGACGATAATTCGATGAACATAGAGCCTGTCAGTTTCGTTATCGCGCCTATGAAGTCGATTCTCACAAGCTGTAGCCGCCCATGACTCGACCAGTTGCCCTGATAAAGGCTCAACCCTCGAATCTCCGCCCTGGAGACATGTGAGCTCCTTCATGACTCTCAGTCTTTTCATCATGATTCTGGCACCACGACAATGTGTCTTCCTGACCGCAGCAGGCTGCATCCTCTTGATTGTTGTCACCTTGTATCGATACTCCCCGATCGCGTCCGATAGAAAGCCAGAACAGTCAGCTTCATCCTCGTCTCCTGCTTCACCGACTCGCAACGCAAGCAACTCGACATTAGGTGTAAGCCTTCCTTTTCCCATACACAAGACTTGCAGATATCAACCCCAAGACCAGTTCCAAGCAATCTTCGCCCTCTCCGCCGGCCCCTCCTGGCGCACACGAGGCCTCCTCGCCGCCGCCAACCTGACCGGACTAGAAATCACCCTGCCGCCACAGCCCCCCATCCCCGCCGACTTAGTCACCGCATTCCAGGCCCTAGGCGACAGCGTGCATCCAACCCGCGGCGCCAGCAAAGCCTGGCTCGCGCACCTCGACCTAATCAAACACATCCACCAATCGAATCTGGACACCGCTTTAATCCTCGAAGACGACGTCGACTGGGACAGACGTCTCCGTGCCCAAATTCCCCTCATCGCCGCCGCGGTCCGCAACCTCACGCACTTCTCGCCCACCGAGGACAACAACGACGCCCCCTACGGCCGGGCCTGGGACCTCCTCTGGCTCGGCCACTGCGGCGAGTACTGGGAGGAGGGCATCGAAACGGTGGTCTTCGACGACCCCACGGCCATTCCGCACGCGCAGTACTCCGGCTGGGCGAGGGGGTATCTCGCGCGGTTGCCGGACCGCCGGCGGGCGGTGTATCGGTCGTACAACCCGGTGTGCTCGTTCGCGTACGCGCTGTCGCGCGACGGGGCGCGGAAGTTGCTCGAGCTGGTGGGTGGCGGTGGGGACGAGGCGTTTGATATCGCGGTCATGCATCACTGTCGTGCCGGACGGCTGGAGTGTCTGTCCGTCGTGCCGGAGGTGGTGCATCAGTATTTCCCGGCGGAGCGGTTCGGGGTTAAGAGTTTGGTGGATGTGGGGAATGGGGAGGGGGATGGGTCAAGGGAGGAGGACTTTGAGGCGGTGATGGGGTCGACGGAGAATATTCTGGAGAGTGCTAGGTGTTGGGCTTTGTGGCGGCAGACGTGTTTGAGGGAGTAGATTTTGGGCGGTGGGAATAGAGTGTTCTATGTTATGTGGGATGTGGGATGTGGATATATGCTGTTGGGTGTGGGGAAAAGACGGGTCCAATCCGCGGGTGTTTTGTTTATACGGCAACTGGCACCTCTCGGAGTTGCCCTTCGATAAATTTGTGCGAGCAGCGCTGCGCCATTAATCTTGCGGGCTAATATTGGCTGCATAATACCTATTTGATATAACTGTTGAGAGTGGAACGGGTGTTCTGGATGCTGGATCTTGTCGACGAAATGCCCCAACGGGAAGCGAGATATATGTATAGACCTCCGGAGTTATGACCACCGATTGGCAACAACCAACAAGAAGATTTCTCTGCAGTTCTCTGCAGAATTGGACACTTTCTGTACAGCCAAACAAGACTTTGGCAATTATTGACAGGTTTCAGAGATAGTAAGGAATGGCAGCGGGTCATGATGTGTTGATAGAGGTTGTTTCTGTTTGGGTTGACTAGATCCATGGCAAAAGTATATATTACTTAGAAATGAGGTCACTAACACAACAACAGGTGCTGTGGTCTAGTGGTATGACGTCACGTTGTGGCCGTGCCAGCCCCGGTTCGATTCCGGGCAGCGCCACTTTCTTTTTTCATTTGTTTTTGTTTCGTTTTTATTCTACGGATCCCTTTGATTCAACTCACTAAATATAGATGTGCAGCGCCAAAATCAATTCCCAAACGGATTCTCAAACCCCAGGCCAGAACCGCAACTCTATTCCCTGCACGATCGCCCGTTCTTTCTCATCCAACGCCGTAAAATACCACTCTTCCACGCAGTGAAGCAGATCCCGTATTGCCTCGTCGAACAGGTCATTGATCGGTCGCCCCGCGCGCTGGATCTCCACCTGGAAGCAATATGCCGGCTCACCCCACGGCTGCTCTTGACCCGTCCCTATAAACAAGCCACCCCTCCCGGGACGCCACGGTTCATCCTCATCGTCCTCCTCCTCCACCCACTCATCGTACAAATCCCTCACCAAGCCATCCAACTCAGGAATCATGCCCTCCCGCACAGCCAACCGCCAATGCACAGACCGCTCAACAGCCTAGTCCGCGAACGCCGCCTGATCGAGCACGGGGTTCTCCGCGCACAGCTCATACTCCGCCTCAAACTCATCCACGACGAACCACGGCCGGTACTTATCCCTGGCCACCTCGGCGCGGACCAGCGCGGTCATCTCCGTGGGGGTGCGGCGCCCCAGCGCGACGAGCAGCGCTGCCTCCCACTGTCGGCGCCAGGCGCGCAGGGAGTTGCGGGCGACGAAGAGGCAGGTCCGCGGGTCGGTGAAGGGCGGGTGCAGGAGGACGTCGTCCGCGCGGAGGGCCTCGTCGCCACATGACTGGAGGAGGAGGAGGAGGCTGTACGTGCTGCTGTGGGTGTGGGGCGCTAGGTAGACGGGCTCGTAGGCGAGGCTGGTCCGGTAGTGCGCGTCGACCCGGTGCGGGCGGAGGTCCCGGCTGAGGCCGACGCGGATGCGTTGGGGTGAGAGGTCGTCGAAGACTGGGATGGCGGGGGGCAGGGGGTGGGTGCGCCAGGTTCGGAATTCGTTTAGGGTTATCGGGGCTTGGTTGGGGAGGAGGCGGATTGGGCTGATGGGGAGAGAGCTCGCGGGGAGTTGGTCGGAGCGGTCGTTGTCCGGGTTGCCCGCGGTGGCCTCTTTCGGGGCTTTGGAGGTGTTTGTTTTGGGGGATTGCTTGCCTACCATTTTGGATGCGGGAGTAGTCAAATTGTGGTTGTGGAGAAAGATGGATGGCAGACAAGGATGTATTGGCGCACTAGGAAGTTCTATGAGGGAGGAGATGGTGGATCACGTTATCGATATGGCCGACGTGAAGGATAAGAGGAGAGAGCAGGTATCTGGAACTGAATTGTGTGTGAAATTGAAGTGAGATGACTGTGACGAGAATCAGAGCAACAGAAGGAATAGACTGAGCCAACAAACGGAATCTAAATGAAGAATTGCTGCTTTGACTCGTTCAGACGTGAAATCGTTCTCCCAACCCAAGCGGCTCACCCCGGAGAAATGACTCTGGTGCCGATCGGGCTCTGGGGCTACATCGTATGAAGCAGAAGCCTGTATAGAGCCAGAGACTCTCAGCCTGAGCTTGAGGCGAACAATGCTGACCTCGATCATCAGATGCATTGGCTATCCACAACATTGTTTATGTGGGTGACGTATGGAAGAACGGCGCGAGAAACCGGACTGATTCATCTAGTAAGCTATCCCTATAAACAAACGAGCAGTATAGACGTTGCTGACGCATCCACAAGGCTGACCACGGAACGAACAGAAGCAGGAGCAATCCCAAACAAAGGTATAGTACAGCACCGCGATTAGCATCCACAACATAAGCATTCCACAATCTCGAAGCAGCACTCGCAGGCCTCCTCGCAGAGAAAACAACAGCACATGGTCAAAAGACTGAGAGCAGTTAGCCAACGCCAGGCCAACTTGGTTCAGGGTCAGCACATACCAGGTGGTGAGACACCCACGGTCCTTGGATTGCGACTGCTCTTGCGGGGGAGCATACTGCATTTGCTGGGGGGGTGGGTATTGACCACCGGGAGGTGGGTAACTGGAGAATCTCATTAGTAACAGGGTCACCTAGTAGATTCGGCGACTCCTTTGCTAACGTACTATCCCTGTGGTGGAGGTGGCGGTTGTTGTTGACCGTAGTATGACATGGTGGGTGGTATGGGAGGTGAGCACCGACAACGGGAAAAAAGCTGGGACTGAGCCGGGGGGATGGGCAAAGGGCAGTATGCCCGACTCTTATTATAATCCGAACGCGAACGGACAGCCCAGGCAGAAGGGATTGGCATTTGCCCAAGTCAGCCCTGCCGAGAGGAGAAATCAAACTGGTTCCTCTTGGCCCTGCGGTTGTCGCTGGAGGGTGGTTCCACCTCCCGGTTGCCATTGGGTCCAAGGGCAGGGTAATCGTCGAGAGTAATCAATAGTCGGGAGCCGACGTGACGAAAAGAGGAGGTCAGTCATCCTCAATGGCAGCGTTGGCGCGTGGGGAGGTTACACGTTGGGAGTCCCAGAATAGATAGGTAACACCACACCACGCCGAGTCTCGAATCGCTTTTAGGCGCTTGCATTGTGATCGTGGCGGCTGGGAAAGAGTCGGCTCATGCGACTCCGACTGACCAGATCAGCCATCTGGGTGCATAAAGTGGAGTTGTGCCAATGCTCATGGTCTTTGCCAAGCAGTCCCCAGCAGTCCTGGAGGGTCTTCCAGGGTCATGGGAGTGAGAGGAATTGGACGAAGACTGTCAGAAACGCCAAGATGGCGCTTCGCCCTTTAAGGCTGGACTGGAGGAAGACATGTTTCCGCCCCTCTTCAAGCGCCAATTGGCAATGCAGCCAAGAAGGACTTGCTGTCTCGAGTGTGTGGACAGGGGGTTGCAGCGTGCATGGCATGCAGAAATAGTGCTGCCTAGTAGAGCAGATGAGCATTGTCAAGCATGGGTATTTGCCACCCTACATCAACTTGGGCTTGTAGCTCAGTGGTAGAGCGCTCGCTTCGCATGCGAGAGGTCAGGGGTTCGATTCCCCCCAAGTCCAATCTTTTTTTTTTTTTTTGCCCGAGGCCGCCTTCTTAGCTTTCTTTTTGGTGGTTGTATAGGCGGCTGAGCGACCCCGTTTGAGTCTTGGGGGGGCCGGCTTGGCTACCCTTTGATAGGGTGTCCACGGCGCCTTTGCCGCCTTCCAGAAACGACTTGATGGGCCGTAGTCCGCCCCATTCTACATAGTATTCTATAACCTTGCTGGGAAGAGTCGGTATACTGACACCTCTAAAGCTATGTCTATGTACAGTCTAGAGACTTTCAAGCCTCCCGAAGTCGCGCTGACTGGAGAGAGACCCCGAGCAAGATCACCACAAGCAGTGCGGATCCAGCGATATCACCCGCGACAGCAACGCTCTATGCCACAATGAACCTCAGTACAACCATCGACACCAGGCACGTGGCTTGACGAATATGCCATCCCGGACCGTCCATGCGTGCTACTCACCCTAGCCAATCCGCTGCTTTCGCCTCACCCAAACCTCCTGCTCCACAGACCCTGCAGCTCCCCCCTGCGACGCCGGAGGATCCCGCAATTGCACCTCCCAGACCTTCAACTTGTAGTTGCCACGGTCTGCCTGCCCTGAAAACAGATCAAACGACCACCCGTGCTTGGGGCAGTTGATGCCCGCACTCAGGGTGATGCCGAAATCCTCGATATCGAAGACGCTGCCCCAGGATAGTGGATACAGAGCGTGAGGGCATTGCTGAGGAGATATATACATCAATGCTTGCTGGTCTACACACATCCCCAACCTCTAGAGTCAAGCATGCTTACATGATCAATGGCATGGAACTTGCCCTTGTACCGAAAGACGAGGACCTGCTCGTTGATGTTGCCCGGCATGTCTAGGTCCGCCTCGACGGGGGTGTCGGACGGGCACTCGTCCGTGGGGGCCGTGGTGGGGACATGGAATGCCTTGCAGCTGGCTTTGATCCGCGACTTGGCCTCCTCGGAGTCGACGTCCGGGAAGTCGGAGGTGAGGCCGACCTTGCGCCAGGTGGCTGCTGTCTGGGCTGGTCGATGGAAGGGGTTCATGTTCATTTTGGAAGTGTGACAATTGAAGTTGATTTGACTCGCTCGCTTTTTCGCGGCTGCGGGGGAGAATTTCCGAAGGGCGATTAGTCATCCGCCTCCAGTGCTTCTCCGCACCCCACATAGATTTCCCCATCCCATCCCAAGATGAGGGCTGTCGCATTCCTACGGTGGTGGTGAGGTTGGATCCAAATGAGTTTCAATTCGAGACCTGGCACAACCAGCCCCACTGTAGCAATCACAAAGACTTTTCTGTACAAACACACACACATATAGCACAGGTCCGGCCTGGGTACGGAAATCACAAAACAAAGCCGAGGCAAGTCCAAGCGCCAGACCAATCGCTATCAAAACCAACCCGAAAAAGAACACCCAAAGAGCCCCTCAACCTGACATAACCTGTCATCCTTCAAGGGACAACAGAGAAGACAAACGCACTGCTCAGCCGATGCTCAGACACATGCCGTCCTTGAGCGCCTTGATCATAGCCTTGGTCAGGGGATCCTTCTTGTTGAAGCTCTTCGCCTTGCGCTCGGCAGGCGAGTAGGTGGTGATATCCAGGGAGTCCCCGCCAATCGACGCCTTGCCACGGCTGCCCGCCCCATAGGCGGTGGTCTTGTTCTTGCGCTCGTACGCCTTGAAGCCCGTCGTCCAGCCCCAGGGATCCTGAGCGGCGGCGGGCAGTTCCACGTTCTGCTCCTCGGCCTCCTCCTCGGCCGCGGAGATGATGTCGGCGATGTTCGACGGCCCGTACATGGTGATGTTGTGCTTGCCGCCGTAGGCGAGCAGGTACGGCACGAAGTGCTCCCCAGCGTAGGCCTTCTTCTTCTTCTTCTTCTTCTTCTTCTTCTTTTTCTTCTTCTTCTTCTTGCCCTCCGGCACGTCGATGAACCCGTCCGAGCGCATGGCGTCGGCCTCGCGGGCGACCATCCCCATGACCCAGCCGAGGTTGCGCACGTGGGCCAACTGCCCCTGCTTCTCGAGCTCGACCAGCATGCTCAGGAACATCAGTTCGAGGATGATCATGGTTTCCCGGAAGAGGTCCCCGTCGTCAATTCTGGCAGATTGATCAATTAGCACAGGCCCAAGCATTGGTCAGCAGCGAGCGAATCCTTACCCCATCATAGGGTCGAGCGAGTCGGTGTTGAACAACGGGGCGAGCGCCTCGCAGATGGCCCACTGCTCCTTCCAGTTGCCGGCGGCCTCGTGGAAGTCGAGCAGCATGTTCTGGGCCGCTTCGATGGCGCCGTAGCCGGCGTGGTCGTTGAAGGTGTACATGTCGAAGGCATCCGGGTTGCGCAGGTTCAGCATGTCCTGGTAGGTGTTCAGACGCTGCATGCCGGCGCGAGAGATGGTCCAGCGCGTCGCAGTCGGCCGTAGGCTCGTCGTTCTCGTTCTCGTTCTCGCTGTCCTCCTCGTCATCCTCGTCGTCTTCGTCATCTTCCACCCCGGGGGCCCGGCAGATGCAGACAAACTCGTAGGGGGTGGACTTCTCCTTGAGGAAGAGGTGGTAGGCGACATCGGCGTTGCCGGAGGCGGAGACGGCGGCCCAGCGCTTGTTGCGGGGGATGCTAGCGGTTTCGGAGGCCATTGCATAGCTGTGGAGGGAGGGAAGATTGGATGAGAGGTGAGACTTGGGGGTAGAGAGGATGGGAATAGGGATGGGAATGGTAATTGTACAAAAGAGGGCAAAGAAGAGTTGGATGTGTTGATGTGATGGATGTGATGCATCAGATTCCAGACGCGCGCGACGCGTTGTTTGCTTGGTGTGACGTCACCAACACTCTCAGCACAGTTCCAGTCCTTTACTCATGACCATTGCCACATCGTATACTCTCTGAAGCAGCATCATTTGCAATAGATTGACTAAGTGGCAAATGTGAGGGAGACGGACGCCATGGGGGTTTTGACAGGCATGTCATGGGTGGAGCAGTATGTGGGCCCCCGGCCTGTCATATCACTTTCCTCAACTGTGCACGGTATGCATCCTATGAGTAAATCCAGGCTACCTGTCGATCAAAGGTCTCGGAAAGACCAGCAGGAGACTACAGTCAGTCTCGACCGGGAATATCGAAGGGAGATGTGAATTGAGGTAGGCAAAATATCATCATGGATGCCCAAAAACACTGCCCAGTGCAGTGCTGAAAAAGCCCCGATTAGGTAAGCGGACTCTCTGCCTACGGCCAATCATGTCGCGAGACCTCATTTCCTCTGGCTGTACTTACAATTAGTACCTCCTACTACCTACCTAGTAGGTAGGTATACTTCCAGCCGAAGAACCATACCGTCCACTGAAGAGCCTCTGAATGGCTTCTGGGCTATCGCGATGTTCCTCGTTTCATACTTCAAGTCAATGTTGAAGCTTACTTCTCTCTGGCCTACTAGGCGGATGGACTGTGCAGTACTCCTACCTAGTATCTTTCTAGCAACCACCTAATCAATCTCTCCCATAGCTCCAATAGTATCTCCGACCCTCTGCATGGCACAGCATCAGTTTCTCAAGAATGGAGAGCGATGTGTGACTCGAGACTACAGACCCGAAGGCCAATTGCTCTGAGATCATGTCACGTCAACCAATACAGCACAGCAGTCCGAACCAAGGACTTGTCAGATAAAAATATGCGAACTGAACAAAATACAAATGCGCGTATCAAAACAGTGCCCTGAGGAGGGACTCGGCAAGCATTGTATATCAGAGCTACGAATACAGAACCGATACTTGATCAATGCATCGAAACTAGTTTCCGACCGCCTGTGAGTGCCACAGCGACCCCGTCTGACCGACACAATCTCTACCGGGCAACCAGTTGAGCAATGTCAACATCCTGCATGTGCAGTTAGCATACGACAGCACGATTGTAGGGACAACGCCACTATACCTTTTCGTTGAAAACCTCTCGTCCCGTGTAATATTGCTCTAGGGACTCATAGGTCATCTTCGGGATACCAGGAACCAAAGCCAGGTCCCACCCCGCAGATATCGCAGCTGCATCGCCACCCTCGCGCACAATCTCTGCAAGCTGTGCATCCGAGGGCGCGGTGAATGCAAAGCGTCGAAGAATCCCTTCTTTCTTCTCTATGGAGCCCCGCACCCAGTCCAGATAATGTGGCTTGGCCGGCTCGTCCGTCTCCTGTCGACCCCCACGACGCGAGACATTGTCCGCGACCAGCACAGACTTCCCCGGCCTCAGCAGCCCCAATTTCTCGGCCAGCCAGAGATCAGGGAGATAGCGGTCCTTGAAGTGATCGAGGAAGAGGAGATCAATCCCGTCGTCGAACACCCCTTGCCTCATCAGCCGGGCCAGAGACAAATGCGCCGGGGCCACGAGCAGGGTGATAAAATCCTTCAACCCGGCCAAGTCGATCAGGAGACTGGCAATGGCCGCGTTGACGGGGTTGATCTCTAGACTGAAATAGTGCTGGCCTCCGGCTTGGCGCACCGCGTGGCCAAAAAGAATGGTCGAATATCCGACGTAGCCGCCAAGCTCGACCATGATTTGCGGCTTTCGCTCGGCAATTAGCGAGGAGACCACGGCGCCTTTCTCCGGGCCAATGTGAATCAGATGGGACTGCTCTCGCGCGAACCGGTCAATCTCTGCCAAGACCGCTGCCGGGTTGCCACGGAGAGAGGTCTCCAGATGAGGCAGGGAGAAGATGTGTTGCAGGAGAACAAGTTCACGGCCATCCTGTTTCCACGCAACCAGCTTAGCTCTTCCTAATCTTTAGTGACTGGGAGGTAAGTGGCATACTTCACGGTTATACCTGGAATTACCCATCTCGGATGTTGGAATGTTATGCTTTAGTGCTCAAAATCGAGGGAGTTGTCGCGGGGGAAAAAAGTTGATTACGTGCCTGATGCATTCTGGACCACAGCTGACCATTTTATCCTCGGAACGCCCGTCCTGATATCCATGGACCACGGATTGTATGATTCCTATCAGATTACCGCCGAAGCCCGAGGTCTTGGCTCTCGCAAACCGGTACTGGATCGGGGCTAGCGTAGCGGTAGAAGCTTGATGGAACCGGGTAGGGCTCAAGCCAAGCCCTAATCTGATAAATCTGATGAATCTGATAAATCCGATATATTCTTGCGCAGGGACGCCTTCCCAGGACGGCGAGAATAAATAAGCGCCGATCAATGGCGAATTTCGGTAATCTGATCATCTGATAAACTCTGCTTCTTCACCATCGTATCGTTTGCATGCATTCAACTCATACTGCGTCGAAATGGTGTTTCCAGGCAAGCTAAGCGCCGGCTGTATACTCTGTCGGAAGCGGAAGGTCAAGGTACGCGGAGCCTGTTCCGGTTTTTCTATACATATCTATACAATGTTCGTACAAATTCTGACGAGTAACTACAGTGCGATGAAGGCAAGCCAGGTTGTCAACGCTGCAGCACGCACGGGGTCCCCTGTCCGGGGTATCCCGATGCCTTCGCTTTCCGAGGATATGAGGTCGCTCACGGGAGCGCTGCCGGCAAGCTGAAAGTTGTCCGGAACGCGAGGTCATCTCCCTCGAGCCCACGGGAACCAAAGCAGAAGAAGGTCGATCCGGCGAAGATGCAGCCAAGAAGCATGATCGCTTCGTTCGTCCCAGAGGACAGCGAGCTGATGTCGTTGTGCTACTTTCACCACCACCATGTGCTGCGCGTGCAGCGATCGCCATGCGAGGGTCATCTGGCCTTCTTTCCGGACCTTTTCCAGGAGCGAGGGAATGACCCGTGCTTCAAGCATGCCGTGCTCTCGGTGTCCTACCTGACCCTCTTCCACAAGGCGCGGGTGCCCAAGTTCCAGATCAACGCACGAAGGCACTATGGCCTGGCCTTGCGGCTGCTGAATCAGGCGCTGAGCTTCAGCCAGGTGCAAGTCCGCGATGAGATCTTTGCCGCCTCGTTGTTCTTGAGCATGTTCTCGGTAGGAAGGCCTGACAAGGATATACAACGAACACTCATATCGAGCGTGACTAATCGAGCACCTGGCTAGGATTTGAGCGGGGAGGGTGCGACGACAGGCTCGTTGAACCCCCACATCCCCGGCATCTACTCCCTCATGCAACTGCGCGGCATCCCGTCAAGAAGCAACAAGTATAGCCGGCGACTCTGTGGCTGGGCATACACCCAAATGGTGAGTACCAGCACGCCCTCTATTGCACCAACAGAGCACGCCCTAAGCCCACCACGCAGCAAGTGCAAGCAATGATCCGCCGGGAATTCCGATACGCCTGCATGCCGCCCTCCTTCGACGAGATCACCCGCCCGTGCACCGTGATCCGCTCCTCGATCCTGACGGGCAAACTGTCCGACTTCTGCATGCAGGTCACCGACGCTCGCCGTCGCACGAGCCCCTCGTCCCCGATCCCCGCCGACACCCTGCACGCGCTCCTGGTCCGGGCGTGTACCCTGCTGATCGAGCTCCACAACTGGCAAGCCACCATCCCCAACCACTGGCGCAATCAGTACGAGAACCCTACACCCACACCGACGCCATCGCCGCTCCCCGAGCAGGCCGCCGCCGCCGCCGCGGCGGATCCTCACGCCCGCGCGCGGGATCCATGGACGACCTGCTTCCTGGCCGGGGTACAAGCGGCGCAGATCTCGTTCTACCAGCAGTTCCTCGACTGCTGGGAGGAGTGGTGCTTCCTGCAGGGCCGACACGCCTCCCTACCCGAGCTGGCGGTGCTGGGGCTCCCCGACGACCCAGCGATGTTCCTGCTGGATGGGATCGCGTATCTGGCGGAGGTGATCTGCGCCACGGTCACGAGTACGCTCGGCCAGGTCGATGCAGAGGCACCCCACCGGTTCCGGTTGCATGAGCATGCCAAGCTGGCCAACGGGTACACGCTGCTGTGGCCGATGTGGGTAGTCGTCAACTGCCCCTTCGCCGACCCGGATCAGGTCGCGCTCTGTCGGGCGGCGATTGAGTGTGTCGGGTCCACCTTGGGGTATAAGCTGGCCTTGCATTTGATTGCGCCGGGCCGTGGGGGTGGACTGGCTGTCGATTGAAATGTGAGACTCCCACCATTCTACCAGAATAAGAAGGGCAATACCCCACCTGCCTCCGAACATCAAACTGACCTCGATTCTCACTCGCAGTTTTCCCCCTCAAGCATTTCATTACGAAAGTACGACTGCAGCTCAATATGAGGAAGGTCACTTCCAGAAAGGCAGTCGGCCATTAATGGAGTTCTCTACAGTTTGACTAATTGTACACTAAACCAAAAGCCCCTACAAAGCCCCTCAGCTCCCCTCTCCCCCGGCCTACAAAGATCAATCACAATGAATTCGCCACAGCTCGCGATCCGCATTGTTTTGATACGCGGTGCGGGTATGCAGCATGGCCGTGCCATCGTTGACGAGCACATCGCCCACCTCCCACGCGAGCCGCAGACACACGCGATAGTCATACAGAAGTCGGTCGATGACGGGGATCAGGCGGGCGCCGCCGTCCGCGGCGTTCTCGATGGTCACCACGCAGGTGGAGAACTTGGTCTGGCTGGCGTCCCACGGCTGGTGCCAGCGCAGACATGGCCGGCCGGTCACCGGGTGCGTGACGAGCAAGGGCAGGTGGTGGATCTGGGCGTCCCAGAAGCCGTCGTTGTCCATGCCCCAGGTCAGCGTCCGCAGCTGGTCGACAGTCCAGGGGTGGGGTAGGTGGCGGAGCAGCAGCCGGGAGCTGGCGAAGAGGGTGAACCCGTCGTTGGGGGAGGTGATCTGGCAGGTGAAGAACTGGTATCTGGGAAAAGCCTGGCGCCGCTCGGTCGCGCCGGTGACCGGGTCGGTGACGTGCTCGAACTTGAACATCCCGTCGAAGTGCATCGGCATCGCCTCGCTCGACTCCACGTTGTTGTTCAGCTTGTCCGCCCGCTTCGAGTCCTTGACCTTCTTGATGATCCCGTGCGTCCACGGCAGCACCTCCCCCAGTGTCTCGGCGGATCGAATGAAAACCGCCTCGTCCTCGGTGCGGGCGAACCCCCGACAGAGGACGGGGGAGAAGTGGTGGGAGAGCTGGCGGACCTTGCGCATGGGGATGGACTGGATGGCGGGGGCCGGCGCATCGCTCTCCACGGTGGGACGGATCACGAGGCCGCAGGGGTAGAGATGCTTGAACTGGACGCCCAGACCGTCCTGCGTCCAGTTGAAGAGCTCCGAGCGCTCCCGGTAGCAATACGGGCGGCCGTCCTTGTAGACGAGCTCGTGGGTGTCGCGCACCTGGTCGGCGTGCGCGGTGCGGTAGGTGCCATCCAGACAGACCACGACGCAGGCATGCCACGGCGTGTGACCGATCGAGCGCATCTTGTCCTGCGGAAGCAGCGAGACGGACAGCTTGCGGCTGGCCGTCGATTCGTGGATGGAGAGGCGCACATAATCCCCGCGTTGGGCCTTGATGGCCGAGGCGTAGATCTGCCCGCGCGCGAGCATGCGCCGCGCCGTCTGCGAGATCTCCTCGGCTCGCGCCCGTTTGGACTTGGCCAGCTTCGGGCGATGGGCGAGATCCTTGGTCAAGAACTTGATGTACCCCCGATACGTGAGGAGGATGTCCATGTCCGCTTAAATGGCCTGCCGGGGATCGAATGCGGGGTCCTGAAAGCGCAGGGCGAGCTCGCGGCGCAGGCAGGATGCGTGCGCGACGTAGAACTCTTTCGTCGATCCGGGATGACCCAGCAGGTCGGCCAGGCGAATGAATCGGATATGTGCCAGGTTCCGGGCGACGGCGATCTGGCGTAATGCTTCGCCATAGTCCCAAACCACCTTGTCGGGGACCCCGAGTATGTCTGGTACTTCTTAGTAGCGTGAAATATGAGCCAATGCAAATAGGCGCGGAAAGACCTACCATTATATACAAGGCCGTCCGAGGCAATATGTACCTCTGCCCCGGGTGAATATACTTGGGCGATGTTCAGGCATAGCCCGTTAAGGTGATGCAAGGCTAACTCTTCCCCGAAATCCGGGAGAACACCAAGGGTTTTATCCTGGTGGTTGGGCGACTTAGAAATGCAGGCAGAACCATCTGAACGGGCTCTTGTTTCTGCACGAAGTTGGTGATTGTCGGGAGAAAGCCCTCCACATCCTCCCACGACATGGGTCCACCCCTCTGGCAATTGACGGTGTAGTCGGCCAGGATTTGCAATACCGCCTTTGCTATGCCTACTGCCGGGCTGTCCTCGGTCTCCTCGTTCACTGTACCAATTACGTGCCTTCCTTGTTGCGATGGAACGGGGGTCAGACATACCATCGGCGACATTGACCTCGACGAGTCCATCTTTGACCACCTCCACAGGCCCAGCCGTGTTCTTTTTCGCTTCAATGTGCAGAGTCTCGAGCACTACATCCTGGGCCAAGGAATCATCGACCGGGGAATCAGGGGTGGCTGATGAGACAAGCATTGCAGCAAGAGGATCTGAATAGGCTGTCGACCCTGGTTTCTTCCGCGATTAAATACAGAATTTCTCTGCGATCAAGCGCGTAAACTATAGCAATAAACGAATCCTGCTCAGCATTTGAGGGCCCAAGCAGCTATAGTGAAAGACGTTACTAGGGACTCTTATAACTGGCAAAGCCATTGACCGACAACAACAGGCTACAGGAGCACCCCAAGGCCGCGGCCGAGGGCACGGGGCTCATGGCCGACCTGTGGGCTGCCGTGGAGCAACGCCCCGAGATCACTGTCTTCCACTCCGCGCCTGTAGCGGACTTGATCGCCGATGGGGACACCATCCGGGGCCTCCGGGTGCGGCACCGGGAGACCACCGCGGAGTACTTCGGACAGGTCATCCTGGGGTGCGGCGGGTTCGAGGCGTCCGCCCGGCTGCGCCGGCAGTACCTGGGCGAAGGATGGGATCTGGTCTCGCTGCGCGGCAGTCGGTTTAACACGGGACAGATGATGGAGAAGGCCGTGGCGGCGGGGGCGGGCGTGGCCGGCCACTTTGGGGGCTGCCACGCCACGCCGCACGATCTCCACGCGCCCAAGGTGCTCGACCCCTCGGACTGCGACAAGATGAGCCGCTACAGCCTTCCCTACTCCGTGCTGGTCAACACCGAGGGGCGGCGCTTCCTCGACGAAGGCGAGGATCACTTCAGCCTCACCTACGCCAAGACCGGCGCCGCCATCGTCCGCCAGCCCCAGGCCACCGCATTCCAGGTCTTCGACCAGAAGACCCTCCACCTGCTCGAGCCCCGCTACGCCACCTCCAAGCCCATCCATGCCGACACACTCGATGAGCTGGCCCAGAAGATGGGGGTCGATGCGGCCAACTTCGCCGAGACGATCCGCCAGTACAACGCCGCCACGCCCCGCGATGCGGTGGAGAAGTTCAATGCCTTTGCGCTCGATCATGTTCCGACGGGCACTGCGCTGGCGATTCCAAAGAGTAACTGGGCGTTGCCCATCGACCAGGGCCCGTTCGTTGCCTACGGTGTCACCTGTGGCATCACGTTCACCTATGGAGGGCTGCGCACGGACGATGCGGCGCACGTCTTGAACGAGGAAGGGCTCGTCATGCCGGGTCTCTGGGCGATTGGGGAGATCGCTGGCAGCTTCTTTGCCTTCAATTATCCTGGAGGCTCGGGGTTGACCAAGGGGGCGGTCTTTGGGAAGATCGCCGGCGAGGCGGCGGCTGAGCGGGCGAAGACACTCCGTGGCTGATAAGCCGCTTGTTGTTTGTAGATTGATAATGCGAAATCTTTGACCACTGCTCTCATAACACAATTAAATGATACTCAAGAGCACGGATTTGTGCAGGTGGGACTCTGTTTGATTAGTACTGGTGGCGGGCTGCTCTAGAAGACAATCAATCATTGATGAAATCTCCTGGCAGCATAGGGTTATCTCCAGCGGGGCCCTAGACCCTTCTGCTCCCATCGCGCCCTGGTGTCTTTCGGCACGAAGCTCGGTGTCTTTTATTATTCTTCCACAGAGATAAGGCCTAAACAATGCCAAGTCCGATCGATAGAGGATTAGAGATTGAGGCAGCAGCAGATTGAGTTCATGATTGCGTATGAGAAGGATCTGCACGAGTTGAGTCGATTCTCGGAGATCTGTGGGGGCGAATCCACCCAGCATGACTCGGTATCTTCACGGTGAGTTATCAGCTGAACCACCCCACCATTGATCGAATCGGTCAGCTCACGACAATGGCATGAGTTATGGAAGAGACCCACGAGCTGAGAAGTTTACTCAGTCGTATAGCCCACCCAGCCCCACCACCAAAAGCAATGTGATGCTCGTGAGTACGATGGCAGCAGAATCGATCTGCGTAACGAGGCTTGCCTAAGCCGCACCTGAAGACCCACGCTGCAGTCCCTAAATGCTTCTATAAATTGAGATTCATGCCACTTTGCCTCCCTGCCTTGTGACCAGCTTCCCAGCATATTCATAAACCCCACGACCAAAACCAAATCTACTATCCAAATTACCTACAACCAAGTTCAAAGCCACCTACTGCCACAATGCCTGTCAAAGTTGTACAAGAGCACGTCTAATCTCACCCGTCATCCCCTCCTCTCCTTTGACTAAATTCCGTGTCGTCTTCTAGTCCCGGCGAAGTTATCGAGGCTATCAACGAAACCTCTAAGTCAGTCGTTGTACATTACTGGGCTCCCTGGATGGGGCCCGAGTCGCCCTTCTTTCCACTCTTCCTGGAGGCGGATGAGATTCGGGGAGACGAGGTTGACTTTGTTATCGTGAACAGTGGGTCCATTCTCCCGCCGCATTCGCCCGACCAGATGCCCTTGACGGTTCTCTATAAGGGAGGGGAGGAGGTGGAGACGGCTCATTTTGATCCCGGCGAGGTCCAGGAGCTTATTGAAAGGGCGTAAAAGGCCGGAGGTTGAGAGGATAATGGGATATATACCTTGTCAGCTGGATAATAGATTCTCCATCACATTCGCGAATGTTATTCAGTTTAGATTGAGTGATGCCGTACAACAGCCTCTGCATTCACATGACAGCATAGGAAAAACCCTCGACTCGCGAGGGGGAAAAACCCATGCCGAGGCCAGGAAAGAGAACCATAGACACAGAAAGAAAAGCAAAAGACGAAAGCCCATTCAACCGTGATAGGAGTCAGTGTCGCTCAGCCCAATGCCGAGCTTGTCAATCTCGTCGGCCGCCCTTCCCTGGGCACCAGTGATGTAGCCAGCGCCAAGTTGGTAGGGGGTGCCCCCCGTGCCCCCCGCACTGAACTGCCGCCCTTCGCTCGTCTCAAACTTGATACTATCCACGCGCACACCTGCACAGATAGTCATCGACTTAACCGTCTCACCCTCGTGAAACGTGAACTTAGACCACCTATAATAGTTTCCCTTCTTCTCGGTTCTCCCGACGAGGCCAAGGCCGTCCCTATCCTGAGGCGCGTCGGCCCTCCCAGCCGAACCACGTGAACTTGATACCCTTGAGGACATCCCCGGAGCCCGAATCTATAGGGCCGGTCCACACATCCAGAGTCTTCAACGTGGTTGTGTTAGGCGGGTAGGCATAGAAGGGCTGGCCACCATTGCCGCCATATTGATCCAACCCCAGACTGAGGCGGGGAGGGTCACCGCGGGGTAGTCCTCGGGGAGCGAGGATTTGACGGAGTCGGCGTCTTTCCCCTCCAGATCATCGATTAGGCCCTGCACGGCCTTGCCGGCGGAGTGGATCACGGTTGCTGGATTGAAGGAGGAGGTTTCCTTTCTGAGGACCGGCACCAGATTCTTGCCGGTGGAGACCAGCGTCGCCAGCAGCTCGGTGGCATTCCCTTTTCCGAACTGCGTCTCCACAAATTTCTCGGGGTTCGTGACCGCGTCATACAGCGCTTTCCAGCCCCAGGCCGCGAGCGGGCCGACGACGGGAATCATGCCCACGCCCAGCACCGCCACGTCGTTGACGATCTTGGAGAATGTCGGCCCCGCCCCCGTCTCCGTCCCATACTGGAGCGAGGTGGCGTGGCTCTTGGACAGCAGCTGGGCCAGGTCGACGACCTCGGCCGACGAGGCCATGTTGCGCTTGCAGACCGACGGCGATTCCACCCAGATCTTCTCCACGACCGCGGGGACGGGGTCGTGGAAGTAGTTGGTTGGCTCCACCTGGGAGTACTCGAACAGAAAGACGGCCCGCTCCCAGTTTCGGAACTCGTCCTCCAGGTGCTTCGTGGGGACCAGTCCGATGTAGTACAGCAGCGGGATGTTGAAGCGGGCGGTCCACCGCGCATCCGCCCACCCATGCGCTTCATTGGGCTCCCATACCATCTCGGTCCTTTTGTACGTGGCGGGGACCCGATCCGCGGCCCGCAGCTTCTTGAGATACTCGTCCGGCAGGTCTGGCTCGTCGATCAGGTCCCCCGCGGGGGGGGCCTCCGGCTGGGTAGGCTTGGCTCTCTCCGGAGCCACGCAGGTCAGGCTGGACAGTCGCGCCCTCAGCCGGCGCAAGTCGTACTGGAAGTAGCGGCAGTAATCGGTGGCCCTGGGGTGGGCCAGGTGCTGCACAGGCAGGAGGATCGCCCGCAGGGGGAAGGTCAGGTCGACCCAGAGGAACCGCTCGTTGAGCGAAGGGATCTTGACCGGGATGTAAGCGACTCTAGTGGCGTTGCCCATCCGCTCCAGCTCGGACCGGGTGATATCAGTGCGCAGCTGGTCGGTTCCCTGCAAGGTGGTACAGCTCGGCCCCGTCATGGCCGTGATGTATTTATACGCGATGTATTCTGTACCCGTGGCAGCGGTCCAGTGTCGCGGCAGCCTGCCTGCCCGCTTGTGGTCCTTGATGGGCAAGCCGTTTTGTGCATCGAAGGAAGAGGCAAACTCGTCCACGGTGGCATTGTAGACTACCTGGAGGAGCACATGGGTGTAGAAGTGCTCGGGATCGGAGGGATCAAAGCCATTGCACCTGAGGTGCTCATGCTTGAAGTAGGCGTCACCTGTAGGAAGAGTGCCTGCCATCTTCGCCCGAGGAGGAACACGGGCGATGGATTATAGATTAGTGGTCCGGCCGATGGTGATGGTGGCCCCTCGTGGGGAAAGCTTCGCATTGACTTTATAGCCCGCCAGTCCGTGCTGTCTATCACAGTGGCTCGGTCCGCAGCAGTCAAGCAAGGGGCACGGAGGGGATCAACATTCCAGCAGGAACACCGCCGAATCATACTGATTGTAACGCTGTCGAGAATGGCCGAAAGCAGTATCACACCCTACTAGTACACTCAATACACTACTGTGGGCCTGGCCTGGAGAGTGTGGGGGAATTAGGTGACTGGCTGGATGTCCTCGGTTGAGATATCTTATTGGTCGGCCCTTTCACCAGCATGAGCCTGGGATTTCTATATTAGCAAGAATTGACGTAGATCAAGATGACCCAGACACCCATCGCATCTATTGCGCTACATCCGGCAATTTGAGAATCGGTGATAGTCCATTTTCGGCCGTTGTTCAGTCTAGTCATCAGCACGTCCGACTGCAGCGATAGCGTACGTATAACAAATGACTCGGAAGGAAACATGATGCCCTTGGTTCCAAGGAAATCAGAGTATTCGTTTGGGGCCATAAAGGATCACTAGGTAAGTAGGTCGGTCGAGTCAAAAAAAGAAAACGAGCGCGCCTACCCAATGCCACCCTCGCACCTCTAAAAAGGTAAAGGATAGCTTCTTGGACTGGTCTATTGTGATACTTGGCTAAGATTCGATTATTATTACTAGCTCCGCTGGTTCTGTTCAATCGATCTGTTAACTACGGAAGCTTAGATGATACTTGCAAAGGGAGTAGTGCAACGGATAGGCACCTTGATGAAGCTGGTACTGTACATATGGAGTAGTGAAAGATAATATCTGTCAAGTCTTAATGCAGCATAATGCAGGGCAGGGTGAGATCCACCTCTCCGACTTTTTATTTGCGCGAGCTGCAACCAGAGTTCAGGCTAGACAACGATGATACCCTATGGTTCCAGTGAGTATATCCCCCCCCGGGAAAAAAAAAACCAACCATGGCGGAATTCGATATTTGTAAAGGATGATTCACATTAACAAGAAGTCAGGGAGAATTCCGGTAGTATATATAGTTTGCAATGTAAGCAAAAAACATACAACAGAAGGGATTCGCTGGTGGTCACCCACCCAACTACTAACCTCCCGGCGTGTGGCTTGAGTACGGCTGAGCGGACGGGAAGCCCTATTTTCCACACCCTGTGGTCGTATGTGCTAAATCAAACATGGAATAAAACTATATAGCATGTTTAGGATAGGTGCATAAATGAAATCCACATACGCTTTCTTTACTATCACCTTCTGCATCTTAAAATGATTTAATATTCATCCCATCATGCCCCCCTGAGTCCCTACCCTTTTTTCAAAGCCGACTGAGTCTGCCGTCCGGGCTCAATATAGACAAATGAGCACTGGAGATTTCCTCTACTGTTTTGCAACTGCGAACGATTCATCAATAACGTTCGAGACTGGCCATGATAAGGATTAGGTATAAGAGCATATCCGCAGAGCGCCATGCACGTCTGGAACTCTCGGAGGAGGACTTTGACCGACAGATCCACGCCATCGGCTCCGTTATACTGCAGAATCATTTCAATCAGCAAAGGAAGCGTAATGTCTTTTCTCTGCACATTCCCGATTGAAAGACTTACAGCCAGGCCCCACAGGGGTGGTCGCCCCGCGAGACAGAAATCTGCCCCCAGTGTAAGGGCCTTGAAGATATCGGATCCTCGTCTGATCCCGCCATCCACCGCAATTTTGATCCGATTCTTAGCCACCGGCGCGCATTCGCGCAAGGCGTCCAGAGTCGCGGGGACCCCGTCCAGTTGCCGACCCCCGTGGTTGGAGTTGAGGATACCGTCGCCGCCGTGTTAAATGCTAGTTCAACATCCTCAGGGTTGAGAACTATGTATGTCGTTGGCGAATACGCGTGAAGCCAAGTTTGGGGGTGTTCTTACTTTCTTTGAGCCAGATCTCCATCTTGGTGTGACTCCGCAGCCATGTAATGCACCCCTCCCAAGTGATCGACGGGTCCCATGCTGGACGCTTCTTCTGCACGCCGGTGGGGTCCGAGATTCCCTCCGAGCGCTTCTTGGGTTTGGATGGCAGTAATTCAAATCTGTCTCTGAGAACAGCGGCTTCTATTCATCTCATGCTATATCAGGTACGACCGGTTCAACTATCAGGTTCTGAGACGCTGACTGAACCTCCATACGCAGGCAACGCTGCTGACCCTCCGACCTCTTATGCTCCACATCACGGAGCTGATACTGAGCGGGAATCCGCCATCGAGCGCGGAGCTGACCGGCGGCACGCTGGGGAAGTTGTCCACGACCTGTTCCGAAGCGGCTCGTCGCCTTCTGAATGTGGTCACTGCGCTCAAGAATCGAAATCTTGTTGGTAAGAGAGTTTCATGTTTTTTTTTTTTTGGTTTGTTTTCACCTGTCTCAACAGACCGTCATCAGACTAACGATGTCAGCTGTCTACGGTTTCTGCGAATGTGACGCTATCTTTTCTGCCGCATTTATCATGCTACTCACCAAGATCTTAGACTACCGAATAAACCCTTCCCCAGGGCTGCAGGAGGCCATGGGGATGCTGCAGTACCTCGCGGTTCGCGGGAATTTGTTCGCGAGACAAAGATGCGAGGAGTTTCAGACCGTCCGTGGCCATCTAACACCCTTCCTGCCTCCCGAAGAAGAAGTGCTGGGTACGCCGTACGGCACGAAGCAACCCTCCGAAACACCAGCAGGGACGCCGACTATCCCAGCCATGAGTGCCGAAGATCGGATCTCCTCGACGATTTCTGTCAGTATGGCACATCAACCAACGAACGACCAGAATATTCGCCCAGATGTCCCACAAGCAAGCGAGAGCAGCCAACCCTGGCACGCCCCGATGTGGAACAACGGCATGTGGCTCCCAGTGGATGTTTGGGAGAACGATACCCACGGTCTGGGTCACTTGGTGGCCGACATCCCGCTGCAGGAATCATTCAATCAATACCAGTCTTTACTCAATGACCCGGGGTGGTCAATAACTGGTCAAAATGTGGGGGATTTTGCGGAGCTTCGACGGCATGTTCTGTGGCTCAATTCTTAGAGGTTTAGAGTTGCTTTCTCAAGATCTAATGAACGGCTTTATACCCTGCTGTAGCCTTCCTCCAACTGTTCAATGCCAGGACAAAGAAAATTGATAATGTACATAAAAGAACAAGGGAACAAAAACATACAACAGAAGGGATTCGCTGGTGGTCACCCACCCAACTACTAACCTCCCGGCGTGTGGCTTAAGTACGGCTGAGCGGACGGGAAGCCCTGTTTTCCACACCCTGTGGTCGTATGTGCTAGTTACTCTAGCCGAATGGGACATATAGCTCAATCAAAACGAGCGTGCCAGATCATGTTCTCCCGGAACAGGATCCCAAAGTATAAAGGAAGGGGTATTATCTAGATCATAAAAGTAGTATTGAACCTACCAAAGAAAAACAGTCAAGCCAGCAGGGTAGCCACACCGCACTCACACATCACGGCAACCGCGCTCAAGACGGCGGGACCCAACGCGAATTCTGGTGACACAGCTGCCTGAACTGCAGCAAGAGGTGCCGGATCTGCAACGCTTCCAGCGCATAATCGTACGCGTGGCCCTGCCACTGGCCATTGATGGGATTATGCCAGGCCCTGGGGTCTGCGCGCAGGCGCTTGGGTTCACGGTCGCGGTAGATGGCGTAAAACCGGCACTGGCCGTTGACGAGCACGATCCCCTTGAAATCCTGGGTGCGGCCCGCCGAGATCGGGACCAGACTCTGGAGGTGCAAGTAGCGCATGCGCCCCGGCGTGGCCTCGGCCGGCACCCCCGGTTGGGGGTCCCCGATCATGGTAAAGAAGTTCCCGGAGCCCGGAGTCGAGATCTGGAGGAACTCGTTCAGGATCAGGTTCGCGTCCAAGGCGTTGGCCGACCAGCCGCGCAGGTAGATGTACCCCTCTGCGCGCGGGAAGACCGAGTCCAGCATCGTCACCATTTCGTCGAATAGGGTCGGCGGCGGCTGCTGTTGCTGCTGCGGCTGCGGCTGCGCCATGGCTACGGTTCTGACGTACGTGATGGATTACGCGGAAAACACTTGTTGGTCTCGTGCTTGGTGATGTTGATGAGGTAGTCTTGTCACAACGGTGTTTGGGGGGTGGGACTTCCAAAGAACATTACGAGGCGTGAGCGGTATTTATAGCCTCATGGGTATCAAAGAATCTGGGAGCTCACTGAAGACTGGCTCTTCTGCACACGGAATACTTCTGTTACGCTGAAAGAGCAATTGGAAGTTCCCCGTCATGTAGCTACATGGGATACAAAGGACTTCCACTGGCGGTTGTGCAGAGATAATCCGTGAGACATTCCATGAAATGCGGAGACATGAAAGCAGTGAAAAGGCATATGCCACAGCCGATACCGAATCAAGATATGTACCATTGCAGCAAGATACTGCGTAACCGCAGACCATCAGAGGTTTCTGGTGGGTGTCGAGGAAGAATGGCATGACGAAGCATCCGATTGATAATATTTGCATGTGCGGCAGAAGCGAGTTTTATAGACAGAGGCAAATATGGAAAGGAAGAAGGAATTGGGATGTCGCACTTGTCCTTCTCTGCCTTCTCCATAGTAGCAGGGCGGATAAGGGTGGTGGTCGGTTTAGGGCTTAGATCTTGCCTCTTTCATCAGTAAAGCGCGTGAATTTGATTCTTCACCCTGCGATCATAGTTGCTTAAGTCGCTACCTACTGACGATATACCACATATCTACCACGTTCAGTATGCAAAAATACGAAATCCTCGACCCCCCTCCACCCGCAACAACAGCTCACTTCCCCTCCGCATGCACAAACGTCAATCGCCCCGATTTCTCATCCGGTTCCAACTCGTCCGTGATCACGCCAGCCCGCCGCCGTGCGATGAACCCCTTGGTCTGCGACCCCGGCACCAGCCAGGGTTCATGCTCGAACAGCGCCGTCATTTCCTCGAGGGGCCGCAGGGCGGTTTCCGGCAGCACCAGCCAGAAGAAGATGGCGTTGGTGAAGTTGCACACACAGAAAACCACGTAGAAGCGCCACCCGCCGATGTTGTCGATGGCGATGTCCGTGACCTGGCCGATCATGGTGTTGAAGGCGAACGAGGTCATGGTGGCGATGGAGACCCCCTTGGACCGGGTCTTGGTGTCGAAGATCTCGGCGCAGATGATCCACGTCAGGGGGCCGACGGTCGCGCTGTACGAGAAGTTGTAGCACCAGGTCATCACGATGAACGCCCAGCTGGCGGAGGTGTTGTTGGAGACGCCGGGGGGGAATTTGGCGATGAGGATGGTGGGGATGACCTTGATGATGAGATTGGTTAGCGCGATGGATACTTTGACTATGTCCTCTTGGTTTTGTAGCGGTTGAGACAGTTGGTGGAAAGGGGCACATACGAAGAACAGGCAATTGAACAAATTCCCAATAATCTGGGGCCAGCGACGGCCCGTCTTGTCGATCAGCATCATGCAGCAGAACTGAGCAATAATGGCGATGATGGAGCTGATGCCTTGATACTTGAGGGTGTCATTGGCGGCGATCCCGATTTGCTCGAAGATGGTCGTGCTGAAGTACTGGATGGCGCTCACCCCCGTCATCTGGGCTGCAGCCTGGATGGAGCACGCCAGAAACAGGCGGCGGAAGCAGGACGGGTCCGTGAACAGCTCCTTGTAGGATTTGGCCTCGGCCTCGTGCTCGTGGGCGATTGAGACAGTAATCTGCTCGTACTCCGCCTGGACCCAGGCGTCGGAGGTGTCGCCCCGGGCGTGGAGGCGCGCCAGCGTCGCGAGGCCCTCGTCCAGTCGGCCATGGTCGATCAGCCAGCGGGGCGACTCGGGGAAGAGCAGGATGAGCGCGGCCAGAAAGACAGCCGGCACCATCTGGATCCCCAGGGAAACGCGCCACTGGCGGGAATCATCGTCCGCAAAGTTGATGAAGGTGCCCCAGGAGATCCATGACGCAACCAGAGAGCCCACCCCGAGCATCAGCTGTTGAAGGGATGTGATCCGGCCGCGGATGTTCGGATGGGCCAACTCTGCCTGGTAGATCGGGACAATCATCACCAAAATCCCTACTCTTTACCCACGCAAGAACCAGATCCAGTCAGCTACATATCATTCCCTGGTTTTGGAGAGGGATGCTCACCCCAGCCCTGCAACGGCCCGACCAGCGTATAGATAACTCAAGCTCTGCGCGCCTGTCTGCAGACCTCTGTTGTCGTTAGCCTCCTCCCTACAGTCCGATACTGCTCGTAGGTCGCATACCCTCCCAGCAAAAAGATTAGGGCTCCGACAAAGATAGTCCATTTCCGGCCCGCATAGTCACCGAGTGGACCGGCGAAATAGGCGCCAAAGAAGGCGCCGCCGGTGAAGACAGAGGTTACTGCTCCGCGCTTGGTCGCGTCGGCGTTGAAGGCATTGATGAGCGAGGGACTGGTGAGCGCCTCGGCGATGACACCCAAATCATATCCGTACAGCACCGACCCCAGCGAGGCAAAGACACACACCAGAAATTGATACCATTTGGGAGGGAGAGCCATGGTAGAAATCCCGGCCGCTGGAAAAAGAAAAATAACGAAAATAGATCAAGCTTAGCTGTGCCATCGTACTTCGTCCCCGAGCATCAAGCTTTTATGCAAATTGCTTGGGAGGGAAGGGAAAGAGGGGGAAAGAGGAATCCCCCGCAGGAGTTTTTCCTTTTGCTCTCTGATGCATCTCCGGGATGGCGCCTGAGCCGCCGGAGGTGGCGTGGTATCGTTCGCTCCTCCGCCAGCCTCCATGAACTGACTCTGCTGGCTTATCAGAGTTAAGCCTTGCGGGTGGCTTTCTGTAATTCCTGCTCGGTCCTATGCCGGGGCCCCGGAATTTCACCACCCCCGCCGGAGTCTGTCGCTGTCGGTTTGTGGGGTGATTTGGGAATTGAGTCATTTGACGGATAGCATATGGAGCTGCTTCACTCATTCGCCTGCTATCATGGTGCTTGACACGTCCCTCCAAATTATGGTTCATGACATAGGCAAATCACAACTCTGATCTGGATCCATCATGGGAACCAGACCTCCCCAGCTGTTGGTGAATTTTCCGGGAATGGCAGGCCGGGATGCCTGGTGAAGCGATCCTCATGACGCGGGGAAGACGCTATGATCCATTCCCTAGCCAGCGACTCGAATAACACCTGGGAACATGATCAGTAAGACAATAACTTGATAATAATTCAAGTTATAATACTAATCACCCATAGTGTGGCTGAAGATGGCGTGGCTTGGCCCTATTACTATAAGTCAGCGGGATGGCAGAATGCCGGGCGGGCGGTGCCGGACTTAACTATGGAAATGGTTAGGGCTGCAGCGGGAATGGCCACGCGGCCTCCGCCAGTCGACCGCAGTCTAGACTTGACTGTGGACACAAAAGTTAATTCGGGGAAATCTACCCGGTGAAATTTGGTTGGCTCTATTCAAGAAAAAGCTTTTTTAATGGTACGCGGAACGCGCCCGTGCATACACAAGAGGATAGTGGTACGCGACTCCTGGGACATTGAGGCAATTTTTATTGGTCTGTATACCCTGGCGAACCGGTGAAGGGAAACGCAAAAGAAAAGAGGAAAAAAAAGAAAAGAAAAGAAAAGAAAACAGAGAGAGAGAGAGAGAGAGAGAGAGAGAGAGAGAGAGAGAGAGAGATGAAGGGAGGAATGGGCGGATGAATCGAATAAAAGGTATGTATTCAAACTATGAGATCTATAGTATGGTTATCGCATCTACCGGCGCGACGTGCATGTAGCCTAGTTGGAGTGCTGCACGGGGGGCAACAGCGCGATCTTAGAGTCCACGCCGAAGGTGAAGGAGTCGGAGGAAGAGGACTCCGACGACGAGGAGCTGGAGGCTGAGAAGGAAGACTCGGACGAAGACGAAGACTCGTAAGAGGACGACGAAGAAGCGGCCGAAGAGGAGGCTGACGACGCTGACGACGAAGTAGACGAGGCAGAAGAGGAAGAGGTTGAAGTCGAAGTGGAGGAGGACGAGCTCGACACATACACATCACCGACGGAGTTGACGGCATCATCGGTGAACATGTAATTGTTGGCGCAGTAGAAGAAGGCGTAGCGCGTTACAGAGGACTGGGAATCGAGCCAGGAGACCGCCTCATCGAGGAAGCTGACGGTGGTGTCGGTGTCGGAGACGCCGCTGGTGTCGGCGCTCAGGCCGAATTCGGTGAGCCAGACCTCGGAGATGTCGTATTCGGCGGCGGCCTCGATGGCTTCGTTGACAAAGGTCTTGAGTTCGTCCACGGAGTCGCCGTACCAGTGCACGGCGAGCGCAGAGATGTTGCAGCTTGAGCAGTCGCTCATGAAGCTCTTGAACCAGTCCAGTCCCTCGCCGCTGCTAGTGGAAGAAGTCACGGCGGGACTGACCAGCTTGGCGCTGTTGGCGTAGGGAGTGATGTACTCGGCGTAGAGTTCCGCCGCGGTGGCAGCGGTCATGTCAGCCTGCGACGACATGTCGGGCTCGTTGAAGCCGAGGATGTACGAACTGCCCGACGAGAGTGCAGTCTCAACTGCGTCGGTCCAGCCATCGACATAGTCAGAGCCAGAGCCCCAAAGCATGGGGACGTATTCCACATTGGAGGGCATGTCGCCCCCCATAGAGCTGCCCCAGTTGTACGACCACGACACGGTACCAGCCTCGTCGGTGGTCAGGGTGCTCACCAGGGTAGCATCATTGTACGCAGCTCCGCGCTTACCGGTAGAGCGCTTCTGCAGGCTGGTCCTCCGAGATTGGACCGGGAAGGCAACAGCCGAAGTAGCAACCAGGCCAGCGGTCAGAATGTGGGCGAAAGAGGGCATCTTGCGGACAATGATCGGACAAGGTCAAAAGGATTTAAATGAATGGGTTCTCGAATGAGGTTGTGTTGAGAAAAGACTGTCTTGGGACAAATGAATGACCTGAAGCAGTAGAAGGAAAGACTAGGTGCACAGCACGCGATTCGAACAAGGAATGAATGAATGAGGAATTCAATTGACCAGGCGATGGAGATATTAGTGATGAAGCAGGGGAACGTGTGTTATATAGGCAAGCGAGCCCTAAGTTGGCAGGTAACCGCCGGTCCGCCCGGCATCGCGGCCATGGGCAGATGGTGCCTGAGTGGGCGCATGGCTGAGAATCTAGAATCGGTATACCATTCGATGACAGCCCCGCTGCTGCGTAAGTCAATGATGGACGCCTATCCAAGCCCTAACCGTGAGTGTGGGGTGCTGTACTATGGTCGGAGGACGCTGAAGACCTCACTAGTCACTAGTGTCTAGTCACTACCATAGACAGGCTGATGTCGCATTGACTGACAGTGTAGCCATTGGCTTGAAAGTTGACGCCGGCTCGTTTGGATCAATTTTAGCAGTCGACCGCAGCAGCCGGTGGATCCATGGCGACGTTGTTGTCATGGCCGTGGTGGGTCTGTCATTAGTCCAGAACTCTAGATCGGTCCAAACAATCGACGGAAGTATCTTCTGTGCGATAACGATTGGACTATTTTCAGGCATCAAGAACTAGATTAGCCCCGACAAACATGAAACACATACGTAAGCCTTGCTGAAACACCAGGAGTCAATGCACCGGCCATGTGTTCCTGAAAGGCTACAACCTACTACTCCGTACAACTTGCTGAGGTTGCGCGATGCTGCTGGAATCTACCAACCAATTTACCACAATCCTCAACATCCTTTCGCCTGCTGTGATTTGACAAATCGGTTGTTCGCTCCACACTCCATACTCTCAGTTTTTATCTTCTCGAGGAGTCATCTAGTTTATTCACCGCGACATCGCCAACCACCCTTGAGACAGCGATCCTTTCCTCGAAGTCTTTGGGGAGTAGAGCAAGTACTGTACTTTCAGCTCCCTCGCGGTTTTACAAGCCCCACCACACATCCAAAGCTTTTGCAACACTCGAGTTCACCGCCGTAGCGTTTGCCAGACTCATCTGCCTTGTGGGGCAACTTGGTCCAGTGGGATTGTCATCCGGTCAATACCCGTTGACCTAGCATGAATCACGGCCAGCCAACCAAAGAAACTATGGGCATCAGAGAGGATGCCCTAAAGTAGACGTAGTCAACGACCAGTCGGCGCTGAGACTGTCTTCGTCGACTAGGATTGGACTGTACACGGCGCTCGTTCTCGTAAGGCACGAACCTCGTCTTGCAATAGCCCGAATTTCGCCCACAGACCTCGGTTGCCTTGCGCTCATGCCACCATCACACTCGCGCGTGGGGATAAATCTACGTACAATTTCCTGACCCCATTCCTGCTCACGCAGGATGGTACTCTGACCAGTCGGTAGGCCCATCGACCACGACTTCCACCTCCGGCATATCCCGAAAACTCTGCCCTCGTACCCCCACGTCCTAGCGGGCCCTGTCCGTGCTGCTTCTCCAGCTTGGATCTTCGTCCTCCGACCGGCCCCAACTCCTGGGCCCCCCTAGCGCGAACTGATCCACGTACACGCTACAATGGATTCACGAATTGAGCGCTCTCCTACTTCCTATGTGGTTGGTAGCAGGGGATTTCTTGCGAAATGCGGTCCCTTTGCGGCACAGACCCAATATCAACGGCAAGACGGGCGGATTTAAATCGCACTTGATCCTCCCGCAGTCGACTGTAAATTGAAAAGGGGAGTCTGTCGGATGCTGTAGCAGTGCGGGTGTGCATGTCGATCTCGACGATAAACGACTCCGGGATTTCTCGTGTGCGTTAGCATGGTAGTGAGTTACACTATGCTTTTAGATGGTGTTAAAAAGAACCTATAGCGGTTTTTCATTCCGGCTTTCTGTTTGGCCTCTCTGCTTAAATAACCGAGGCCAGAAATATATAACAGCGACTGTTCCACTCGCCGAAACATAGAACAATTTACATCTGACCTTTCAGCCTGAACAGAAAACCACGAACCATTACACCAACATATTAGCCTGACAAAGATACCATAGCATCTTTTGGTACATACATAATGACCAGATCCATTTGTTCTATAGCCTGACAACCATGTGGAACCGTGCTCGATGAGAGTGCACAGCGCATTATCCGTATAATTAGGATATAATCAGAGAGATGAGTGTAAATGTCACCCACATGGGCCTATGGCGCAATTGGTAGCGCGTACGACTCCAGATCGTAAGGTTGCCTGATCGAGCCGGGCTGGGCTCATTCCTTTTTTGCTTTCCAAGGTTTTTCTCCTGGCTCGCCACCCCCTTTTCCTTGTCCCAATGTCCATGTTGATTGGTTCTGACTTTGCGGCTGGCCCCGCTGAATGCCCTCGGAATTTATTCCTCTTTGGAAAACCTGTCACTAAGACCTTTGCGAGGTCGAATGCGTAGGTCTTGTGCCCGGTTCTCTATCACCCTTCCCCATATATTTCAACTCTTGTTGAAAGAAGAGGTGTCGAAAGCGTTATTGATAAGGACCAAATCCAATCCATGACCATCACATGTAAAGCAGCAAGCCTAAAAGCAGTCCAGAATACCTCCTGCGACATCAAGCGGAGGAAGCCTAGACTCATGTCGCTACCACGGCAGAAACCTGAATGCGACGATCGCGAACCAACAAAATCATAGACAGTATGGGCATTGAGTCGCAAAATTACAGCTATGACCGCCCGCGCGGAGGCTAATACCAAGAGCTCTTCAACAAAACACACCCAGCTGTGAGAACATGTGTGTGTATTGAGATGTGTGTAGCTAGTGGAATACATCTGGCGGAGACGCTGAAGTCCGAGATCTCACATCAGTCGGTAACCGCTCCCTCCCCTTTGAACTCTGTGCAAATCATTTGAATCTCTGGCATAGTGGACGTTACAAAAAAAAAAAAAAAAAAAAAAAAAAAACAAGCTCGCCTAGCTTCAAGTATACCTGACCCGATGGGAAGTTCCATATCCGAGAGGCCCCTTCCACAGGGGCAGCAGTCAGTTGTACCTTCTATATACAGAGACTCCAACGCACAAAAAACCGATCAACTCGTGCATCGGAAGACTTGGTATGATTTGTACGAATCACACTTCAAAAACAACCTACGTATTCCTATTGTTATCCCCTTCTATTTTACTCCATCTTTGAAAGGAAGAAAGGAACCGAAACAGAAAACCACAACCATGACAACCGACCCAGCCGCGAGTCAGCCCGCAGCTTCTGCGTCCCAACCACCTACAGATCGGTGGGAAGACTCTCCCGTGGATCGTGATGCTCTCCAGGCCCACGAGTACTGCACCCAAAGATGTCTGCTGGGCCTGCAACGCCGTGGTAGGCTGGACGAGAAGTGCCCCAACGTCGAACGGCACCGAGTTAACGGCGGTACCCATCACCCCACGACCGTGGCGGAGCTGGTGCAGCAGATACGATTGGGACTGGACCACAATCTGGAGCGTGCGATGCCCATCGTCGGGCCCGGCTACAGACGTGCTGCTCGCCCTGGCGGCTCCGGTGCTCCCTTCAAGGTCGTCTCTCCTCGGTTCGGATACACGGTTATCGGCAAAGGAACCATATGTCGGGTCTGGCCGCGCCTCGAACGGGAGGCGGATGTGTACACGCAAATCTTGGTGGCAGCACAGGGGTCCGCGGTGCCCGTGTTCTTGGGTAAGATCAACCTGCAGCAGCCATATGAGCTAGAGGGCTTCGGACGGGTCCGCCACATGCTCTTGATGGGCTACGGGGGCGAGGAGATCGGGATGGTGACGACTATGGATTAGTGGGTCCGGTACAATCATGAAACCACGTCCGCCCACGAGATCGAGGTCCTTGGGGTCGTGCACAAGGACCTGGCCCCGCGGAACGTGCTGTGGAATGCGGAGCTGGGCCGGGCCATGATCATCGACTACGAGGCGTGTGACCTCGTGCTGGACCGGATCCCAAGGCGGCCTGCTTGGGTCCCACAGGGGCTGGCGAGTCGCCTGTCGCAACAAATGTCTTTGGCCATGATCCCAAACGTTAACCATGGGCATTGCAGATACCACAACGTGTGCTGCCACCATGATCCGCACAAGACTTGTCCAATGAGAATCTATGGCTTACCACCGTAGATCTGATTTCTATTCAGACTGGACTGATAGATTAGTTTAGCCAGATTTCGTTCTTGATGTACTAGAATCCATGTCCGAGATGATCGTCGAGGAACTCTTAGGGCGCTACACAGCCGTCTTTAAATCCCATAGTAAGCGTCGAGGTGACGCGGCCCCCGCAGTAATCAAAGGGAAAGGGTTTATCTGAGCCATGCGTTCTTTATCTAACGGTCATTGGCTATTAGGGAAGGCTAAGCTCAATAGTGGTTAGCATGCTTGCTCGGATAGAACGGGTCAGCATGGGTCCCGACTTAACAATTAGTTGGACGGGCGCAGACCCAGGATAATAATTCGCGCATACATCCTCCCATCCTCAGCCGTGCAAGATATAACATCTTACCGAGACATATGTTGCCCTGGATTATGGGTTAATAACGCATACTGGAAGGTCTAAGTGTTTGTTGGTTCGCTCCCTTCTCAGGCCTTCTGTGGCTCAGGGCTACATGTTGCCCCGAGCTAGTGAGATCTGGGTGGTGGTCTTCTCTAGGCGAACCGTGATAAGATAATTAAAATGCCTCACATAGCATTCGTTTCTCACTGGATCCAAGAGAAACTCTATCCTGGAGCTCTCTTCAGGTAGCTACCGGGAGATGATGAGGCAATTACATGAGCGATAATACGAGACGTCGTGATTGAGGTCAGTTTCCTGTGGGCAAGCCCGACCATGAATTTCCAAGGTTAGCTTTTCGGGTACAGACAATATTCAACTCACTCAGCCGTCAATGATCTACTCTATGGCAACGGGCTAGATAGCCAGCGTCTCGGGCTTTTCGAGTATAAATCCAGGATGACTTGCTGCTGGATTTCTCCCATAATTCCATCTCATAATACAAACGTTCTTTGTTACCCCAGCTTCACAAAGCCGCCAACATGATCCGAGTCATCCTAGCCTTCATTTACTTCCATCTCATCAGACTCGGACAAACAGCAGTTGTCCCTCTTCCTTCGAGCACCGGGCCATGCGACGTCACGCTTCAAGCAAGTGAACTAATCGACCTGTCTCGAACCGATCCTTTTGACCCCAAAGGAGGAAAACGTGCTCTGATGGTCACCACCTTCACCCCGGGAAGTTGCGGAAGTGTACTGTCCACATCATACATCCCGAATGCAACAGCCAGGTATGAGGACGAGTTTTTCCAGTCTTTCGGAATAACCTCAGGAACGTTCGAGTCGTTTCGGATTCAAACCCAAACCGAGCAGCAGCCACCGCCTTCCAGTCTTGAAGGAAATTACCCGGTTGTACTGTTCTCACCAGCTCTGGGGACCTCAAGATTGATATACACATCGCTGCTTCAGGACCTTGCCAGTTACGGATTTGCCGTCATCTCCGTCGATCATCCGTACGATGCCGACATCGTGGAGTACCCCGACGGCCGCACGATTGTCGGAATCCTCGGGAACATCAGCACAGATGCGCAATACGACTCAGCATTGAACGTTCGCGTTCAAGATATGAGATTCGTCCTGAATCAGACCCACAACACCACGGCGCTCGGGGACATCTTCCCGTTGGCCCGGGGAAATGCCCAGCTACTCTCTCTAGATCGAGCAACAATCTTCGGCCATTCCCTGGGCGGAGCCACCGCCGCGCAGACCCTAATGGTTGATTCTCGATTCGTCGGAGGCATCAACCTGGATGGTTCACTGTGGGGGTCTGTCGTGGACGAAGGACTATCGCGCCCGTTCCTGATGTTCGGGAACGCCAACCACACCCAGGCAACGGACGCCAGCTGGGCAGCGGTTTGGCCGCATCTGCGAGGATGGAAACTGGAGCTTCAACTCGCACAGTCGAAGCACTATACGTTCTCCGATTTCCCAGTGCTGGTGGATGCCCTGAGTATCTCGGACGAAGCTAAGCAGATTGTTCAGGCCGGGTATATTGGAACGATAGGCGGGCTGCGGGCCAGGAACGTGATTGTTTCGTACATCACTGCCACACTGCGGTACTTTGTCCATGGGTACACGTCTATTTTACTGAGCGGGCCCTCGGCAGATTTTCCTGATGTGACTTTTGTGTCTTCCTGACCGAGGGGCGTTTTCTTGGACGATCGGCCTGGTGGGAGAGGTGCGTTGCCCGCTAGCCCTATGCTGACGCTGTGGTTGGACCTGGTTAGGCAAGGAAATTGATTAAGTCAATAACAATCACTATCCTAAGCTCTTATTGTCCACGATATAGTGGTAGGAGATCCTAGCAGACAGACATAAATTACTGAACAATCATTCATTGTCAATAGCTCGTAAAGTAACAATCATGATGTTCTAGAACAAACACTTGGCACGACGACACTTTCTTTGAATAGACAATCCCTCTTTCAGACTATATTAACCACACAAAGAGCCCTGACAACCAAGCTTTGCTTGTGAAATAGGGTCTCCAAGAGTCCGTGTCCAACGTAGTCGTTCTCTTGAGAGTAGTCATTATCTGCATCAATCTTTATCTATGACCGATCCTGTTTGTATCTCACCAACCATGCCGGAGTGCTTCTCATGCAACTGCATCTCGGACAGCACCGCCATTCCCATAGCTCACCTATAAAGCACCCTCAACACCTCTTACGCCAACTCAGTCTCCCCACATCCACCAAAATCCTCATCCCCAAGGACCTGCGCCAACAGCTTCTGTTTCCTTCACCAATAGGAACCATCAGCCATGGCATCAACCGGCACCCCCCCCGGTGCACAGCACCATCGAGGGCGGCCACTGGGTCTCCGGGGCGGGGCGAGCGGCGCAGCGGGGCGGCCGTCATCTGCGGCGGCCGCGTGCGCCTGTTCACCGACGAGCCCACCTTCCGCCAGCCGGTGGCGCTCCCCGTCTACCATCTGAATGAGGCCGAGTGGCCCGCGGTCGACGGCATGGCCCCGCCCCTGCCGGTGCTCCTCGCGTTTCAGGAGCGTCTGATGAAGTCCGGGACTGGGTTGACTGAGGAACGACTGTAGGTTGGACTGGTCCTATTAACAGGGGAGGTAGCTGGTAGAGGCGAAAATATAGACATAAAATAGAATATGAAAAGAAAGGGTATCATGAACCAGAGCTACCGGGCGATTGATGTTATTCTGGAAGCTGGATATGCAATTGTGTCAATTACATCTGCTTGGAATCGTAATTTTTCTCACCGCTCAGCACGCCCATACTGAATATTCCGCACAGAAAGCCTCACATCCAGGATTTATCACAAATCCGTGCCCCCGACACAATGGGAAAAGACTAAGTCAAAGTAGGAAACATATCGCACGGTAGGCTTGAACGGATTGTATTGCAAATCAAAACAGTCTCCAGCACATACGACCACAGGGTGTGGAAAACAGGGCTTCCCGTCCGCTCAGCCGTACTTAAGCCACACGCCGGGAGGTTAGTAGTTGGGTGGGTGACCACCAGCGAATCCCTTCTGTTGTATGTTTTCTTTTTGGTTTCAACGTGGACTATTTCTGGCTCTCTTGGTCAATTTTTGCAGGTTGATGGCAAAGGATATGGGTCCGGAGTCGTTATTGAAACCTCCAATATGGGCGTACCTCCGTTATCTGACCCCACCATTACCACAAGGTACCACCCGCCATCCATAGGCAACTCGGCGAATTCGCGTATAGCACCTGTATAGATGCACTGATGCCATTTCATACATAAGACCGACCGATAAGAACCAACTTTCGCACCGCGTTGACTCGAGTAAATTCGCTCCTGTTTGTTGCACCGAGTCCAAGAAACATGGATCTTCTTTCACGATTCATTCGAGTGGCTAATGCGATTGTCCTCAACATCCCAAGCCCCGTTCACGGTGATGCCTTCCTTGTCATGAAAAGTGGCTTGATTCTTGAGGGTTGATAATGGAATGGTAGTTTACTTACGCGGTGGGTCCATGATCCCATACTTCTTGGGTTGGGTAACATTGCAGTGCCGTGAGCAGAAACTGGAATCGTGAGAGATGACCTTCTACTTGAGGGTGGAAAGATCACACTTACTACAGCGATACCCCACATACAGATGGCCGTAGCAAGAATGCTCACGGGAATCTTAATATTTGTCCTGTTTGATAGACGCCAGTACAAGGCCAGAATAAAGCACTTGACAAGGACAATGATGCCGGTGTTAGGCAGTCCACAAGAGAATAGCCCAATATCTGCTCTCTGTGTAGCATCGCGCCTCACAGTCTGTAGTGACTTCCAAGAGCGCGTTTCCAATAGTCGTGTAATGCCAAATGGACCCGCCTTACACCGCAATAACGAAGCAGTCAGGCTGGCGCCGCAAGTCTAATCAACAATATTAGAAACTCTCAACCGGGAGCCGTCACCCGGGAGCAGAAGTGACAGACTTACCAGTGAGACTAGAATCAGCCAGTCATCAAGCCATAAACCCGCTGTGTTTTTCCAGCAGCACCAGAATCGAAGACCGACGCAAAGAAATGCCATGCAGAAAGATATTGTTGAAGAGGCATACGAATTAGGTTGGCGAGTTTGGGAAAGACCCACAGAGAACATGGAATGAGACATCATAGTCACAGGAAGCTCTGATCCTCCGTACCGGGGATTTATGATCCAATTTCATATCCCCGCAACCTTGACGAACCTTCCAGGGGACGATGAACCTGTCACAGACTCACCGAGACAGGCAGGGTGGTGCAGGGCAAGGTTCCTTCCGAGGTTTCGGTCCGCATTACTAGACAGGACAGCGGCAAAACTCACCACTATCGGACCCAATTGACAGTTAGTAGACACTGTCAGCGAGTGGTTTGATTTCAGCCCCCAAGAATCAGTCACTGCGGAGTAATAGCGGACGGCAAAGCGAAGCTCCACTGTTTTCTTTCCGTCGTGAGTGGCTAGTATTGCCAAGGATTCACACCTACTGAAGCAACCTATAAGTATAGTGTGTGCAAGTATTACTTAGCCCCCCCCACTTGCATTACATGTTAGAACTCGGTACCCAAATCACCTCGTACCGGTATTATTCTTCTTCATTCGATAGGCGTGGTACTTCTAAGCTTACTGGCAGGTAGCACTAGCAGGCAGTCGTTGCAACCTGACATGTAAGCTACTCATTAGTTTCGATTGCGTGATGTTTCAATCTGACATGCAGCTGAGCCTCAGCCCAGCTTGTAAACCTGCAGGGGTACATACAGTATGTGAGAATTAGTAAGATTAGATAAGTAATTCAATCCACTGACAAATAGCTACTAACTTAACTAAGACTAAGTTGCTTCTTTAGCCATCCGGACCTCTCAGCCTCTTTCTTCTCAGCAACAACATCCAACATAACGAAATTGCAACCGGTTTTCCCAGCCAGAATTCCCTCCACTATGCCTGCGGCGAACCTCCCAGTGATCGTTATCGTTCCAGGCGCCTTCGGCACACCTGAAGGCTTTGAGAAGTTGCGACCGTATCTGACCCAAGCCGGATACGCAACACACCCCGGATCATACCCCAGTTGCAATCCCTCTGATGCGGCCGACGTGTCCTCCCCTCAAGATATTGCTTTCCTGCGCGACAACGTCTTACTCCCTCTTCTGCACGAACAGGGTAAAGATGTCGTCATCATCGCTCACTCATACGGGGGTGTAGTTGCCGGTGGTGCAGCCAAAGGACTTGCCAAGGGGACCAGACATGCCCAAGGTCAAGCGACGGGCGTCGTCGGGCTGATTTACGTGGCGGGCAATATTACCCTTGAGGGAGAGCCGCTCTTGACGGCTGTCGGCGGCGCTTACCCTCCTTTTATCAAAGTCGACACGGTACGTACGGTCTACCCAGAACCGCAATCATCACCATAGGCTGTTACGTAAATATTCTTTCTGTTCCCATTTGTTCCTAGCCTTCTCAAGGGCTTGCTGTCATCGAACCAGCGATGGACGTTCTGTACAATGACTGCGACCGTGCCCTGGAGCCGGGATTGGCGAAGTTCATGCAGCCACACGCACTCCGAGCGTTTGAAACCCCGCCCACTGCCCCAGCCTGGGCGGAGAGTGCGTTTGATGGGAGGAGAGCGTATGTGCGTACCCTGGACGACTGCTGTAACCCTGCATCGTTGCAGGATATGTGGCTGGAGAAGTCCAAGGTCGAATGGGATGTGGTGGACTTCAAGACCGGACACATGCCGTTTGTGAGCCAGCCTCAGGCTTTGGCGGAGCAGATCACCAAGTTCATTGATGGGTTTGTTGCGAAGTAGATGGTGGCGTATTCAGTGCCCTCAGCAGGGTGCAGAGCTCGAAATACATACCAATCAAGTTGTCGTGCTCGGTAAATTGTTAACAACTCACACTTTTGTATCATAAGACGGCCCGGTTGAACTTGAAAAGCCTTTCGATAGTGTTTACCAGAAGAGTCAATTTGTAACCTCTCTCAGAACTATTGCGAGCCAAAAGAAATCTCTGAAATGCAAAGAGGTGAGATATTTCTCGCGTTTACATTACCGACGAGTCTGTTGAGTCCATCTTCTTCGTCACCCATACCAGTTTGGGGACCATGATCGAAGCACAATTCGAAATCCCCATCATCACGCTGTACTCCAGATTCCGGGATGCCTGTGAAGGTTTCAGTACGTTGGTGGCAACATTCTTTCCATGTGCTCATATACCCATAGGCAATTTCGATACTGTACGCCCATAGCCGACGAGTGTTGGGTCTCTAGTATAACTCACACATCCCTCCAGAAACCTGGTGACACCGCTGTCATAGTTAATGCCCTTGTATGCTCTTTTGGCTCTCTGAAATCAGATTGGTATTGTCGTAATTGCGCCTTTCTTCCGTTGTCTGTCGTGTGAACGATTGAAAAAAAGGAAAGAAGAGGGGGGGAGGAGGACAGTCTCATCGCCTTGCCGCTAACGAGCCTGTATGGGATTGATGAAGCAAAAAGACTCGTAAGATGCCTTGCGAGACTGCCCCAAGGCCAGTGCAACAACATGCCATTGCGGCACCTTCATCGGTATTCGTGTGATGGGACAGATTTTGCGGATCTTTGTATACTATCATTACAACGGCACCCTTTTCCGAGAAGAAGAACACCTCCTTCCGAGAATTGTACCCTCTTGTCACTGGCTGGGCTTTCGGGGCCTCGGATGTTCGGGATCCTTGCAAGGGGGGTGGAGGAGAGTAAGTCGGGAGGTCAATACTATACTTGGGCATGATGTCATAAAGCACCGGGCCAGAGTCAATGCTACCATATTTCAGACTAGGGATATGATTTCACAAGAACACGCACAAGTAGTTATGGACAGACATAGACAGACAAGAGGCTTGTGATTGATTGCTGGCAGATGTCTTGTAGTCAAATCGTTGGGTTACGAAAAGAGGCGGAATTGCTCAGGAGTTGGGGCCCTGGGTACGGTGGACCACACAGATTGTCAATACTGCATCAATAAGCTACAGTACGTACTCTGTAGATATAGTTGCATACAAGGACAAGTAGTGATACATTTGCCAAGGCGAAGCGCCGATCGCTCGAAATCGGCGGCTCGGAGCCTCGGAACACACCCCGATCGATCCATAACCGGGCTGTCGGGAGGAGAAGAGTCTCTGGCATTCCTGGACATGGAGGCCATGACAGCACAACAACCGACTGAGTGCCGGAAGTCATGCCGCTGTGGGGGGGTTCAAATTGCGGACTCACTGAAGATATAAAGTCCCTTGATTCCTGACAGTCATGACATACCAGCAAACCATTAACACATAGCCGAAGAAGCCAGCCACCGAAGCACACCAGCAAAGATGTTCTACCAACCTGGAGTCACCGAACATGGACTACCCCATGATCCCTTCAAGGTTCGAGTCCAACCCACGACCTCAGTCACCGCACCTCACAACCACTAACCGGAAAAACAATGCAGGCCTGCGTCGTTCCCCGCCCAATTGGATGGATCTCCACGAAGAACAAGCACGGCCAATGCAACCTGGCGCCCTACTCACAGTTCAACAACCTGACCTTCGACCCACCGTACGTAATGTTCTCCTCCAACCAGACGGCCCAGGGGATCCGAAAGGACACGGTCATTAACGCCGAGGAGACCGGGACCTTCGTGTGGAATCTCGCCACCTGGGACCTGCGCGAGGCCGTCAACATCACCGCCGAGCAGACCCCCTACGGCACCGACGAGTTCGAGCTCTGCAAGATCACCAAGGAGCAGGCTACGCTGGTGGATGTCCCCATGATCAAGGAGTCCCCTGTCAAGTTCGAGTGCGAGTACCACACCACCGTGCGCCTGCCGGGCAACCCGCCCATGGGCACCGTCGACATCGTGATCGGGAAGGTGATCGGTGTGCACATTGCGGACAGCGTGCTCACCGACGGCCTGCTCGACATCAAGAAGACGCAGCCCATCGCGCGCTGCGGCTACTACCAGTACACCGTTGTGAAGGACACCTTCGAGATGATCATCCCCAACATGTCGGCCGATGTGCTATATGGGTTGGAGGGGAATGCGGCGAGGAATCGCAGCAAGAATGAAGCGAACAAGGCGGCGACAAGTCAGAACCGTGTCTGAAGTTGCTGCCAAGGGGAGTAGTTGGTCAGACGATGAAGGGGTGTCGAGGATGGACTCGACTCCGTGAGGCTCTTGGGGCGGAACTGTGCATATGGGCGGCTTGCCCGGCCACTAGACTGTGACGCCCGCTAGTATAGTACCTTGGTAAGTACGTGTATATAAGATTGGCTTTGAATCTCCGTTATGAAGAAGCACAGGAACATAATCATGTGGACTTGAGAATAATGCGATTTAGCACAAGCCCTGCAGATCCCCTGCCTCTGTACCTCGTAAGTCCGGATCGAGCCATTTGGGCGTACAGCTTCCCCCCAAGTCAATCATCCAAGCATCCCGATGCCAGCAATCAAAACATTTGCGAAAACAACATCTCCCCAGCAGAGCTTGTTCCGGCGGAGAGTTCTCACGTCGTCACGAACCTGGTTGTGCCGCTTCTGGTATGGAGGCACCAACCATGATTACTACCCCGATCGAGCGCGAGTGAAGTGGTACACCCCCCACTTACTTTGTTCCATACTCTGCATAGGGGACCACTAGCTCCTGTGTTAGTAGGCTGTAGTAAGTGAGTCGTTGAACACTGATTTCTGGGGATCCGGAGGATTCAGCGGCAGCCGGAAGGAAAATGATAAGGGAGGCAAGAGGTATTGGCGGTGAAAAAAACTAGTGCATAGTGCTGAGGAGGTAATCAAACCTAGGGCTATCGTTTTCAGCGTGGCTAATGAGTTCTGCATTCTTTAACCAGGAAATTTTGCATGATCACTGTCGAGAATAAATAACGGCAGTGCTGCGGCTGTCAAGGCATGTGGACTTCTTCCCTAAGGGAAGCCCTCACGAGAGCGACCATAACGATCCCCGGAAATGGGCCAATTGAAGACAAGGTACCCAAGTTCCAAGGCTCTAGATGGTGTTTTTGAAGATGGTGAGGCTAGTGAGGGTGTCCTGTCCATACTCAAGAAGGAAATTACGAGATGCCAGACAGACAAGCTTGGGGGTCATGCAGTCCAGCTCATCCAGGTATTTTGTGCTCCGGGATGGATTACTAGCGCGTACTTACGAAAGAGGGATGGAAAAAAGCAAGTAGAGCCTGCATCTTTGCTGAGAAGAAAACTTAGGGAATTCAAGCTAGTGAACTTGTACAAAACGCGTTGAAGCAAAGTGTTCGATAACTGAAGAAAATCACATCAAAAGCACAGACAATCGAGTGTTCGGTTGCAATCAATACTGGAACTGGAGCCGTCTTCTGTTATCCAGGCCTTTCCTTGCTGATATCCGACCCGTTTCCTCCACAAGCGAGGGTATACCTCACCCAAAAGGAGACTGTTGAAGTTAGGATTCATTGTCGGCAGCTTCTCCATCACGCTTCTCAGGGGCAGTGTAGGAGGTGTAGTAGAAGCGCTTGTCAAGGGACTCCTCATCAGCTTCACGCTTCTCAGGGGCATAAGCCAAGTAGGTAAAGCGCTTGTCGAGGGCCTGGTCGTCGGCATCACGCTTCTCGGGGGCCACATAGTGAGTGTAGTAGAAGCGCTTGTCGAGGGCATCCTCGTCCCGCTTCTCGGGGGCCACATAGTGAGTGTAGTAGAAGCGCTTGTCGAGGGCCTCCTCGTCACGCTTCTCAGGGGCATAGGTAGTGTAGAAGAAGCGCTTGTCGAGGGCCTCCTCGTCACGCTTCTCAGGGGCATAGGTAGTGTAGAAGAAGCGCTTGTCGAGTGCATCCTCGTCACGCTTCTCAGGGGCCACATAGTGAGTGTAGTAAAAGCGCTTGTCTAAGTCCTGAGAGGACGCCTCGACCTGGTCAAGGTTGGAGGTGGGGAGGGCGAAGGTGATACCTGCGGCTCCAAGGAGCGCAAGAAGGCGAGAGAGCTGCATTTTGACGAGCAAGATAGTCCAAAGTACTGAGAAGAAGTGTGGCAGAGGTGAGATGGAGAAAGATGAGAAGAAGCCGTCGATGTGAACTGATAGTCCTTTATAACATGGTAGAACGGCGTGCTCTTGTGGCCTGCTTGTCTTCTGCGGTACAGGAAGTAACCCGACCATTACAGTACATTCCCCGCCGGCTCAGGCTTCGGTGATTTTCAGCTGCTCTGTAGCCGGCTGCTTGTCAGAATTACCGAGTTTGGGCTTGGCACCATTCTGTAGACACCAAACCTTGCTGCCTTTGATGCTACGCATGACGATACAGCTTAGCATTGCGAGAGAGAGGGTGGTGGTATGCGGTCTGGGCTATTACTGCTTTAGGCTTTTATGCGGTCAATTTAGGAATTGGCGCACAGTAAGTTCCGGAAGGTAGACTCGAGTTAGTAACTTACCACTATTGACTATTGATGATAATCACGAACCAAAACGAGTAATATGGTTCATGGGCTGATCTATTGCTTTTCCCGATGTGTGACAGCACGAGCAGAGAATGTTGTGCAACCAGTGAGGGAAGGCCCGACCCCAATCACAGGTCTCTGATCTCGATACTACATGAGCGAGACTGTTCTTCGAGCCCACCTTTGTCCGAAGAGCGAGTTCAGCATACATCATGATGCAGTAGCGTGGGGAGATGTTGTGGTCCGCAGGTCAGTCGTCCCATTACTATTGCTAATCGGACTGCGAAAGAGCCGTAAAGCAGCGAGTGACCTCCAATCTTTCCAGCTTAGGCTGTCCTTGCTCGAGTAAGGCATGTCACAAAAGACCCTGTATATTCATTACATGCACCAAGTCTGTGATCGTCTGTTCAGCTCCGCCATTGATGTTGGCGATGCATGGGACCCGCTGTCGATCACTTTCGGCGTGCATGATGCCATCCATTCCTGTTGTCCTTTCTCACTCTATCACTCACAATGATAGACACTGGGTTGCATTTCCTCACATGTTGGAGTGATTTTGGTACACCTCATTTTCACCCTCAGCATCCCCGATTGAACTGAGTCTTCGGAACATCACTCTCTCTCACCCACACCCGCATACACATACAAGGACACACAATGCTGTTCTCTAAACTCCTCAGAACCTTTCGTCAAGATTTCAAGTTTCAAGCTCTACAAACAGAGAGTCACGATAGCGATGAGGAGAACATCGAGTCAGAGGAGCTGCTTACCAAGAGGGGCCCGCCGCGAAGTCCCTCAAGAGCCTGGATCTACTTGACAATGGCAAACGCAGTTCTCCTGAGCATTACCATCGGCCTAGTTCTCAGCGCCAAGGGCAGCTTCTCCAGTGAAGAGAAAAATGCCATCCTTAGGCCAGTGTCATGGTGGTGTGAGTCTCCATACTTCGTTCGCAATGCTTCCCCGGACCTAAACCTGCGGACTAACACAATGAAGCGCCTATCCTGGACGACATTGAGATTCCAAGATACCAAACGACGCTGAATGGAACGCTCTTCGCTCTCCCAGAAATATCGATCGCCCGCGAAGAGCCCAGCGCCGCCAACGACGCCGCTTGGAAGCGATTCGAAGACGTCCTGACACATGTCGTGACTCGCGAGCAGATTATCAAGCTCGGTAAAAACCCCGACACCGTCGCGCGCTTCGATAATGACTACTGGGGAATGGGCGATGATGCCTACATGGTTCAGCTGGACGTGATGCATGTAAGCATACCCGTCGGCCCCGTTTCTCTCGTGCTTCCGCCCCGTGCGAAGCAAAGGCCCTGACTGACCCCATGGATCGATAGCAAATCCACTGCCTGAACATGCTGCGCAAAGCCGCTTTCGCCGACTACCCCGGCTACGAACCCGAGCTGGACGTCAAAGACAAGATGTGGTGGATTCATCTGGGCCACTGCACCGACATCTTGCTACAGAACCTGCAGTGCAATGCTAATACGGAGGTCCTAACATTGGACTGGGTCGAAGATCGCCACGCGCCATGGCCCGACTTCAGTGTGAACCGCAAATGTCGCGACTTCAATGCCCTCTTGGACTGGCAGCACGACAATGCGGTCGACACCGCCAAATTCGATGCCATGCCCCTCCCGAAGGATGCATTTGTGTGGCCGGCCCCGTGGAAAAAACAAGACTATGAGCTTGGCGTGAAGTTGGGGGATCATCATCTGCAGGAAGGCGAGCCTCTTAGGGCCCCACATGAGCACCATGCGGATCATTCGATGTGAGTCATGAGGCAGCTAGGTTTAGAAGATGGCCGCAGGGCCTTTGCTTTACGTGACGTATTCTTGTTGGGCTGCGAAAAGATCTATGGAACCAATTCTAGCAGTTTGCTTAATAACACACACTCTCTCTTCCTGTCACCACCTTGTGTAACAAGTCCGACAATGCCATGCGTAGGGCAAAGTATTGGCCCAGAGTTATATGACGTGGTATTTGGCGCACCTGGGCCCTGTGCATATGTCTATTTGCTCGATTCGCCTCCACGGTACTCCGTACTCCGTACCTAGTACACGCAGTATTACAGCCGAGGCTCATGATACCCACCAATTTTATTTACATGAAGTGATCAGGCGCTCAAAGCCAGCTTGGAAGCTGCAGGAGGACGGATACAAGCGTCCGTCCTGCAAATGCGCATTCTTTGCCATTTCTAGCCACCGACAAAACAAGGCATCTCTATCATCTTTAACCGTGGGGACGGATATATCCGAAGAGTGGATGACTGATTGGTATATCTGATACTATCCAATGGAAATTTGTATTTCGTCTCAGATCATACGCAGATCCGATTCAATCAGTAAGGTGGGCCTAGGTGCTGTACGGAGTGCAGTACCTACGTAGTGGTCAATGCTGGTGGCTGGCTGGAAAGTTGCTCATATTCCGATTCCGGAAATGATCGGTCCTACCCGTGGACCCCCGTCGGTGAAGGCACTCACTGAGTCCAATTACATTTGCAGGATCACCGCTAACTTATTATTCAATAATCCTTCGCCTACGACATACTCCGTACCGGTACATGATTGCTGCCCCGGCTGTCTAGTTTCAATGGATGCAGAGACTGTCATACGGTCGCAAATAGTGCTTTAATTGAGTACAGTGTGCTGCTCCGTACTCCGTAGCGTGTGATTCAAGCATGCCGTGGTAGAGATGTCACATTCCTCACGCAGTAAGTGAGTGCAGGTGCAGAAATACTCACCGCCATTCGGCCCCCTCTGGAATGCTGATAGAGAGAGGGAGGGAGAGAGACACTATTATCCATCCTGCTTGTGCAGAGGACCCCCCCGCACCAGCCTTCCATTCCAACAACCGAGCCATCCTGAGGGCCTTTTGTGTGTTCCACTTCTTCTAAAGTTCTGCCTGCTCCTCACAATGACCTTTCCTGGCGTGTCTTTAGAGTCAGGTCATAGTCCCCAAGGCGAAGATGAACCGTTCCTTCCAAGAGGGCAGCCCGGCAGCCCGGCTGGCTGTAGCGGGGGCCCAGAGCCGAAGTTGTCACCACGCACCCGTCTGCGCCTGATCATAACAGTGGTCGCGATTCTGCTATGCTTCCAAGTTGGCGGCCAGATGATCGGGGGTCCAATGGTACGAGTGATCGAGATGATTTCTTGTGATAGCTACTGGCGGCGACACGATCCAGCTCGACTGCCCGCCTCCGGCCATCTGCCCGAGCACCTGTGCAAGATCGCAGCAGTGCAGACTGAAGTGGCCACGGTGAAAGGATACTCCGACCTGCTGGAGGGACTACTGTGTTTGTTAAGCTTCAAACTCAAATCAAACATGAGTTAGTGCTGACCTTCCATGCAGGCGCCATTTGCGCCATTCCCTACGGACTCTTGGCGGATCGGTATGGCCGCCGACGAGCCATCCGCCTCACGGTTCCTGGGTTCTTACTTAATGCCATTATCACAAACTCAGTCTTGTGGTTTTCCGGCATTTTCCCTCTCCGAGCTATCTGGTTTGCTGCACTCAGCTGGATCATCGGGGGAGGGCCAGCTGTGGCACTCGTCGTGATTTGGGCCATGCTGGCCGACCTAGCCACCGATGCGCAGCGCGCAGCCCTGTTCTTCCAGGTCGGGCTCGCCAGTCAAGTGGCAAGTTTCCTGGCCAGCCTCATCAGTTCTGGACTCATGGCTCTCAACCCATGGATTCCGCTGCTGATTGGTTGTGGTACGGTGATGCTGGGCCTTGGCTGTGCGCTTTCACTTCCCGAGACCATGAATATGCCCGTAAGAAGAAAAGAACCAGCAGCATCAGACCCAAACGAGCCAGTCTCGACATGTGACACGTCTGCGAAGCCAGAGCTCACATCCTTTCCACTACCGAAGAAACTGGCACGTCTCATCCATCCGTACCTCTTCGTCTTCAACCAGCAATCACTCTTGCTCCTGTTCGCCTTTGCCACCGTCGAGGTGGTGCAGCGGTCCTTCCCATTCCTGACCCAGCACATCTCCAGGCGCTTCGCCTGGACCTTGGCCCAAGCGAATTTGATCATATCCTTCCATGCGGGAATCAGTATCCTCGTCTTCCTGTTCCTTCTCCCGTACCTCTCCCAAAAGGTTTTCCACTTTTTATCCCTTCCCGAAAGAGACCTGCAGGTCGCACGTCTCAGTCTCGTGGCCCTGCTTCTGGGCTCGCTCGGAATTGCTCTCTCTCCATCCGTCTTCTTTTTGGTTCCCAGTGTAGGTGTCTATGCGGCGGGAGCCGGCTTTACCCTAACCATGCGGTCACTGGCTACCGCTCTGGTCAAACGCGAGGAGACCGCGCGACTGTATTCCGCGATCGAGATCTTGCAGTACATGGGCAATATCCTGGGTAGTCTGTGCTTTACGAATGCGTTCAAGCTGGGATTGCAAATTGGTGGACTGGGGTCCGGGTGGGTGTGGGTGCTGGGTAGTCTGCTCGATGGGCTGGTGGGAATCGCACTGACACTTGTACGGGTATAGACCTACATACACCTTTCAGCACCAAAGATTTTGTCCTTCATAAGGGAAGCGATAAATGCATAGTTCATGCACTCTAAGTTGTATATCGCGGCCACCAGCATTCTTTCTGTCAGCGGCACTGGTGTGCTGTGCTCCCGGATGAGCCACTGCAATGCCCAAAGTCGTCTGTAAGTGGCGAGAACAACCACCTCTTCTGACAGACTAACATTGCATCCCTCAGTTTGCAGAATCATTTTCAAAGCCGCCGGGTTGGACGCAGGACCCTTTAGAACTTTCTTTGTAATCGGCATTGTGCGCCCGGCATGTTCGAGGACGCGTTGCAAATTTTGCAATGGCCCACAACTTCTCATCATGGAAAGCATCAACTCCGGTGATATTGGGATGTCCTCATGTTGTCTGTCGAGAAGAATAGAAAATGCCTCTGAAATCCGTGCTGCTTGCACAGCGGCCCGATGCGTAATGGGCACTTTGGGGTTTCTTTGAAGCAGGACTTGTAAGGCATGAGGATTCGGCGCTAAAAGTTCCATAATCTTCTTATCGACTTCCATGAAACGCTCATCTAAGAGAAAATTGAGTACCACGCTGACGTCCAACAGACCCCTTTGGAAAGATAGCTGCGGCATTTGATGGATCATCCGCTTGATAGGAGGATGGATATGCGGCTGCTGCAACAAAAACATTAGACTAGGGGGGCTGAAACATGCACTGACAAACATCTCATCAGTCACTCGAATCTCTGGCCGATGACGAAAGATGGTCTCCAGTGTGGTGAGCTTCAAGGACCGTACAGCACGCTGGAGTACTGCATCCGTGATAGGGAGCGCCTAGATATAAAATTATTCCTCCAGTTTCAGTAAATACGTCATGACTGTTTCCTGTTCCGCAGCATTCAGTACTATATCTTCTGTGATTGGAACGCCCAAACCCCCGTTGTTCATTAGCATTTCAAGGATCGGCAGAGGGTCATTGTCACGGAATACTTTGGCGCGGGTTGCTGCTGCGAGTAGCACCGCCGGGGTGACAGTGAATCCAGCTTGCTGTCTGCACAAGAACATTTCGAGAATCTGTCTGACAAACGGTCCATTTATTGCTGATAGCATAACAGCCTCGCCCATGGGGAAGTTTGCTTTGCATACATCCAACAGACAACCCAAAGTCTCCAACACGGATAAATAGCCTGTATCTGACTCTATCGCTTCACAGAAGATACGCTCGCTAACTCCAGCACGATATTCTGGTCGACTAAGAAGGTACTGCATGACACTAGCGCCTTCAAAGATGCGGGCTGCTGCTTTCAGAACTTCCTCGACCACCAGGCCTTCGTTACCCACTGTCTTGAGAAGTGATTCCATTTCTTCTCCGCATGCGCCTTCTGCAAACTTGAGGCTGCTTGATCTACTAATAGGTGGAGTTCCGTCAGCAGCAGGCCAGATCGTACTCTGTACTGTACTGTAGGGCCATGACACGTGATGCCAATTTGGGCTTGATATGTTGTTTCGGTCGGTACAAGACTTCTCAACGGAGCCTTGCCCTTTGCTTGCTTGCGCCTTGCTGTATGCACTGGAAACTCTTGAATATAGTAACTTGATATTCTAAGAACTCCATAATTGATTCAGAGTATTCAAGATGGAGAAGTTGATTTTGTCGACTCTTTAGTCGATGAATTTGGGATTACCAAAGATAGAAAAATAACTTATAAAGTCTTATTCGTTTTTATGTTGATTTCTCAACTGTTTAAGTTTACTATCAGCAAGGCTTCCTCATCAAGAGCATTTCAACGTAAAGTAATAAGAATCTGTATAGTAGATCAATCGTGGATTGGGAATCATTCGCATGGCCTCTGTGGCTATACTTCTACAACTGCAACAACTGCAACAACCGCGGGGTTGTGCGCCTCCCACGCCTGCAGAAGAAGATGCCACTTGTGAGCGCAATTCGATAAAAAGAGGTTCACCGGCCGGCAATGCGGCCAAACGCGTGTATCTCCGTCCGGGGTGGTCAGCGCCGTCGAGCCTCCGGCGGGCCAGACATCGTGAAGCCCTAATTCGAACAGCCGCCAGTAGTCCCACAGCCCCATGCCTAGCGCCCGGAAGGGCTCGGGTGGTATGTTGTAACTGGCCTCGGGGGCTCCGTCTGCCTGCAGTAGACGCCAGGCGTATACGAAGTCCAGGACCTCGTGGTGCACGGTATTCTGGCGACTCTGGCCCCAGAGCTCATGCGAAGGTTCCCCCTCCCGCGGCTGAGCCGGGGGCGACCACACCGCGAAGGGGCCCCCCGGGCAGCGGGACGCATCGGGAAGCCTCTTCACGAGGATGATGTCGTGGTTGCCGTGAATCCGGTGCTTCCTCTCGATGCCACTCCAGTCGAAGAAGAACCTGCCTGTGTCCTCGCAGCAAGCCTGGGGTAACTCGGTCGTGCAGAGATCAGTAGTTCCAGCGTAGAGGCTTGCAAGGCATTCCGACACTTCGCATATCTCCTCCCAAGCGGCCACGTCTTTGCACAGGATATCCCACTCGGTATCGTCCTCTTCGATAAACCCCTCCTCCTGCCCGAGGAGTCCGCTCCATGCCGCATGTTCTCTTTGCAGAGATAGAAACCATCCGTCCGTCCAATCCAGCTGATCAGCAACCACCCAGAGATCACTAAAGGCCTGCAAGTGCCACAGGGCACGGTAGACGCGGAACTCCTCGATCCAGGAGAACGCACCCATATCCCGGAGCTTACATGGGACCAGGGACGGCATATGTCGGATGTCTTCGAAGTACCGGGGCAGCATAGCTTGCAGTCGCCCTCGCAGTGTTGTCAAGCACATGCAGGCCAGACGTTGGATATTGGCCGCGAGGCTTACCACGGCGCGGAGAGAGGCGCGGGTCGCCGTAGACATCGAGAGGCGATGGCGCTCCGCACTCACGAGGTTGAAACCGGTTCCGTCAACAAAGTCGCACAAACCTGTGTCCGGAATTGGCCCTCGTAGCTCGATACACACCTTGGAATAGCGTTCGAGATCATACGACATGACCGAGTTATGCTGGGGGATATGCTTCACAAGGGCCATCGCTTTAGGGTCTGGCTGACTATATGGTTCATCTCCCGGTTCGAACAGCGGAGTCAGCTGCGTCGAGTCCACAATAAGATCTTCCAGCGTTACCCAGTTTGCTGCGGTCTTCACAATCTCGACGAGTGACTCGCGGGGGACGTGACGGAAAGTATCCATCCTCGCGAATTTGCGTGGTCTGCGGTATGTGTTGTGTGGATGAAGTCTGATCAGAGGCTACGTCTGTACACGCGATTGAGGAAGCATGTTGTTAAGGATATATAGCTTATTAATCTTTTTATAGTTTCGGGGTTATCTTTTGCTCCGGCTGAATCAAGTACCATGAGATAATTTGTATAGACGATAAAAGCACGTTTCCCTAGTGAAGTGGCGAATGTTGTGCACTTGATTGTTGATTCACCTGATTGCATTTTAGAGACATCGAAAGAGATCAATGGGGGATTCTTTTTGACGAAGGCTGTGGTCTTTGTCTCCTGCATGATGGCAAAGGAAGCAAGCCCTCCGCAGTCACGGATTTTGGTCAATCCTTTCAGGACATTATCCTTGAAAAGTAATCCTTTGCTTGTCTGAAAGCGTAGATCATCCTCAGTTACAGTAAAGCCTAGGTAACCGGCGTTGTTGCTTGTATTTCTCGACCAAGGCACCATTGTGCACAGTTACCGTGGGACCATGCCCTGACGTTGTTTGCGACTTCCAATTCCCAAGCAGGGCTCGGAGCCCTGCCTTCGCCACAATATAACTTACCTGCCTTGAAGGAGTACTCTGTAACTTACATCATATGCTCTTGCATAAAGCATGAGCTCAATTGACTGCATCTGGATATGTCTAGGTGCCGGGGCCAGAGTCTGATATGCCGAAGAAGATGTACCTCAAGTCTTTCCCGGCGGAAGACGACTATCTATTTCAAGGCACAAGCCCATTTGTCAACTCAGACAACTGAGCCCAGAAGTCCAAGTCGGACTGTTCCCCGTCGTATGCATTAACTGGGGGCACTGAAGTCGGGCCCGAAGGCACCACGCCACCATTCAGCTTGGTCGAATACCCACGTTCGATACCTCGATATGCTTCGGCGTAGGCGGAGAAAATGGGCCGGCCTTGAAGCAGAATTCTGCTTCTGGGACTGCCACCTCTGCTCGCGGCCTCAAACTTCTTGATCAGCTCCCGAAGCATACCCGGAAGATCATACGTAGCGCGTGCGGTGGTCAGATCCCAGGCCTGATCCTCAACACACAGGAGGCGTAAGGCTTTGATGATGGCGAGCGCGAGGTGCAGAATGGTTACAAAAGTCAGGGCGGGATATGATTCGACTGGCACCAGGCGGAACTCCTCATGGAGTGCATGTGTGCTCTGCAGACAGTCCCATATCCTGCGGCATCTGAGATGCGTAGACTCAATGATCTCGTTCTGATCGCCGTATCTGAAGGGTTCGAACAAGCGAATACGGACGGTGGCACAGTGGGTTTGCAACAGATCTTGACTAAGGAGTTAGCTATGCCACTTGTTAAATTGATTGTAGCTGACCTACGGTTCCACACCAAGTTGGCGGGCAGCTGGTTGACAAATGCATCAAGCTCATTTTGAATAGAGGCAACAGCGATAGAATAAATACCGCCGAGCGGCCTGTCGTTGTTGGCACCGGTCGTCTCCCAGAACGCATCGTTCACCTTCATCGCGATTTTCCGTATGCGCACCAGCTGCACGAGTAATGCATCCGTCGGGTATTCCTGATCGTGTAACAGTTGACTGCAGCAGTCATCAAAGTGTGCTGTGTACTCTGGCCTGCTTCGTTTGCCGAGAAGGCTACATAGACTATTGCAGTTCGGGTCAACATCATGACACTCAAAAGATGACAGGGTTAACACATACGTGGAGCTAATATAGTAGACCCCAAGTAAGGTTCTCCGATCGGCGCGAGTTTGTTTCGACTGGACTGGGAGATCATCACGCAAATGAGCTGCGTCCTCAACGATTGACTTGAACGATAGATCCATCGCCTTTTGTGGTCTAGTCAGCTTCAGATCTTCGATCAAACCAACTGCCAATTGCAGAAGTGCGGTATCTTTCTCCGTGGCATAAAAATAGATATCATTCCTAACCATACGATCCGGTCAGTTCAACCACATCTCCTCCTTTGTGGAAAGAAGGCATAGGTCCCTACCAGGCAAGAAAGACCAGTATTGCTTGTACAAGCTCCAGGTTCTTCCCCGTCAAAACAACAGCCTCATGTGCAATCTGCCTTCGAAACCAGCTCTCGAACGTAGCGGAAGAGTCCGATGGTGGAGGCCTACAAACACATAAAATCGTCTTGGTGAGCAGCGGCTTCTCTTCCAGCGCCTGGGAAAGATTCGAGGAGGGCAGGGGAACGAAAGGGAATTCGGGAAGCATGGTGGTCATATATTCTTCAAGACTTCGGTCGGCTTCAGAACGTGACATCTCAAACCCGGGGAATATAGAGATTGATCCACGCGGTGAGGCTACTGATTCTACATTCTCTGATGAATGAGCCGAGGGATGTATTTGAGGCGTTGTGGTTGGCGCAGCGCCCTCGGTCTCGTGGAATGAAGAACGTTGCTCGGAGTCAGGTGGGCATTTTCCATCGGCGGTCAAGAGGTTCATGATATCGTCCAATTTTTGCTCTAATATTTTGGCATGACTGGGGCGCTTCCAATGAGTTTTGCGTGATTCGGGCCGGCCAGGTCCACCACTGGCCTACCATCATCAGGGTTACTTACGTAGCCTTGCCTCGCCGTTTTTTTGACACAGCATACAACTTGGAACATGTTAAATTGTTCCGAGAGCACCTGCACCATCATCGATGAGAATCATTCGATCAGATTGGTCGGATAGTTGAACAAAGCCGTGCACGCACCGTTGACAGACGCCATTCTCATTGTCTCGCCAGACGCACTTGGCCTTCGCCCGAGAACAGTTGGTGCAGGCGCGAGGCCTCTCAGCATGCATTGGGCTGGGCATTTACTTTCTTGAGCAAAATAGGAATAACTAGATTGGTAGGTACCGGTAGACAGGACACAGAGACACAAAAATGGAGATACGTGGTATTATTTTGCACGTTGTCTGAGGACTGAGAAAAGACATGATATCATTGAACCTTGAAGGGGGGAGGGGCGCACCGGAGCGGAAGGCAAAAAAGTCTGCGGGTCCGAAAATGATCCACGTAATCCACCCCCGCACCAATCAGATACTGGCCTCGATCCTCCTGCCGGGAGCCCCGGCGACTTTTTTGCTTTCCGCTCCGCCGTGTTTTACTAGACGGTGTATAGGGCGCTAAGGAAAAGTCCGTTATGCTCTAATAGGGGAACAGTATATTTTCCATTATAAAGACCGGGGGGGAAAGGGGGGATAAATCTCATCCCACTCACACTCATTAATCTCTCTGTGGTCACTTCCCTAGCCCTGGATCATACATAGTTTCGTCTTTTCACAGATAAACCGAAATTCGAATAACTCCTTTCCTTTTCGATTCAAAGTTGTGTTCATTCTCTAGGCTCTCTCAAACAGCCATGGGTGCTCAAGTGGTGACTAGCACACAGAGCGTGTCATCGACGTCGGCGGACAATAATGAGGTCTCTAGGCAGAGCCCCGAATCTACCGCTAGCTTCAGAAACTACTTGGTTAGACCACTTCTCCCCAGACTGCTCATCATGAAATACCAACTTATCCTTGCAGCGCGTCTTTACCTATGCAGCACGATGGGATTACCTATTTCTTAGCGCTGGAATCCTCGCGGCAATAGGCTCCGGAATCACCCAGCCCCTCATGTTCGTACTCTTCGGTGAGCAAGCATCTCCCCATTTATCTCCTTTGCCGTACCAACGCTAATTGTAGAGCAGGCAAATTCGTCGGCGAGTTCACAGGGGTTGTAACCGGAAGTGGAAGTGCGGACCACGCAGAAACTGAACATACTCTCAATCGGCTATGGTAATGCCCTACCTGCCTACCCTCCATTGACCCGTTGACTGATCTCCACAGCCTCTTCGTGTTTGCCCTGTTCATTGTCCGCTTTGGCCTCGCTTCATTCCACAAGTTCGCCTTTCGCATGATCAGTACCCGACTGTCGGCTGCGGTACGAGCGCATTACCTTCAGCACCTCTTCCATCAGAGCATGTATGTGCTGGACTCCCTGCCACCGGGACATGCCGTGGGGACGATCACGAGTAGCAGCAATACCTTGCAGGGCGGCATCTCCGAGAAACTTGCGGTCTTCATCGAATACACCACCCTCATCATGGCCTCCGTTGTCGTTGCCTTGATATGGAGCTGGGAGCTCTCCCTGGTCACTGTGGCAGGCTTTGTGGCGACCATCCTCGGCGTCGGTCCCTTGGTCCGACTCACGGTCAAGGGCCAGGATAACCTGACCCACCTGGAAGGACAGGCCGCCAGTGTTGCCAGTGAGAGCTTTGCGGGCATCCGCATGATCATGGCCTGCGGTGCACAGCGGCAGACGATCGAAAAGTACGGTTCTATTGTCGAACAGGCTAAAAAGCAAGCGGTGGCGATGAATCCGCTCACCTCGCTCCAATTCTCCTTGACCGTCAGTCCCACCACATCACAGTGCCCTCTCTAACAGGAAAAACGGGATGACGGAATTTGACTTCTGGTAGTTCTTCGGCGTCTTCGGGACTGTCGCTCTGACGTTTTGGTATGGTACGCTGATCTTCACGAAAGGTAGACTGGACAGCGTAGGGGTGATCACCGTGTAAGGAAGACGAAGCCCCAGAAAGCATTCCCATGTAAAAGCGCTAACACTGGAAGCTAGGGTCCTCATGAACCTGACCACTATCTTTTTCTCCCTCGATCGGGTTTCCTCTCCTATGCAGGCAATAACTAAAGCGTCCCTTGCGGCTTCGGAGTTCTTCTCCGTGATTGACGCGCCCCTCCCCCCAAAGGGTATTCTGAAGGCACCCCAAGTTTCCGCTACGGATGATATCATCTTCGAGAACGTCTCTTTCGCGTACCCAAGCAGACCTAGTCTCAAGATCCTCGACCGACTTGACCTCCGGATCCAGGCTGGCAAGATTACCGCCATTGTGGGCCCATCAGGATCGGGCAAGAGCACCATCGTCGGTCTGATTGAGCGTTGGTATTCCTTGACGCAACCGTACACGATTGCCACCGGCTCAGTGCCGCAGGAAAGGAAGGGCTCTGCAGAGATAGCTGCTTTCGATAACCTGAGGTCTACTGGACCCGAGGTAGAAAAGCCGACAAATCCCATTGAGCTCCAAGGTGTCATCACAACATCTGGTCACCCCCTGGACGACATGGACGTGACCTGGTGGCGCTCCAGGATCGGCCTCGTCCAGCAGGAGCCGTTCTTGTTCAATGATACCATCTACGGTAATGTGGTTCGCGGACTGATCGGAACACCATGGGAGCACGACTCCGAAGCGCGCAAGCGAGAACGTGTCAAAGACGCCTGCCAAGAGGCTTTTGCCGACGAATTCATCAACAAACTCCCCCTGGTATGGATTGTAAGTGTACCCGATCGACAAGATGCTAATCGGCTTTAGGGTTATGATACCAATGTTGGCGATGGCGGCGCTCGACTCTCCGGGGGCCAACGCCAACGGCTGGCCATTGCTCGGGCTATCGTGAAAATGCCTGACATTCTGATCCTCGACGAGGCCACCAGCGCCATTGATGTCAGCGGTGAGCGCATTGTCCAGGCAGCACTTGACAAGGCAGCTCAGCACCGGACCACTATCGTCATCGCACATCGACTCTCTACAATTCGAAATGCAGACCACATCGTGGTCCTCAAGAAGGGCAAGGTGGTGGAGTCGGGTAACCATCAGAGCCTAATTTCTGTGGATGGAGGGGTCTATCGTGGTCTCGTTGATGCACAGGCATTTTCCCTTGAGGATCCCACCTGGAGTATTGTGGGGAGTGACATTAACACGGAAAGTATTGACGCTCTAAGCCTTGAAGAGATCTGGACGAAGCCTGAGCACTGCGACGACCGGACTGAAGATACAGGGAGCAAGATAAGGACAGACCGCGGAGTTTTCGGAAGCTTTTTCCTCTTATTCCTCGAGTCACGGGCTTATTGGGGCTTCATGGTCTTCGGCATTCTTGCCTCGGCTGCAGCTGGAGCCGCGCAGCCCCTCTACGCATGGATGTTTGCCAGGTCCATCGATATGTTCAAGTGGCAAAGTAACCATACCAAGCTTATGGACGAGGCGGACCTTATGGGTGCTATGTGGACTGTTTTTGCCGCCTCAGCTGGGATTGTCTACTTCGTGACGTTTGTCTGCTCGGGACGTGTTGCGTCGCTGATTCGAGCCAAGTATCAGACGCAGTACTTCGAGTCTCTCCTCTTCCAACGAGCAGGATACTTCGAGGAAGGGGGCCACTCTCTCGGTACTTTGACCGCCCGGGTCCGAGATGACCCTCTCAAGCTCGAGGAAATGATGGGGATCAACATCGCCCAACTCGCCATCGCCTTGTTCAACATCGTGGGCGGCCTCATCATCGCGCTCGCCTATGGTTGGAAGCTCGCCCTGGTCTCCATGTGTGCAGTGGCCCCGCTCTGTGTCTTCTCGGGGTATATTCGATTCCGATATGAGCTTCAGTTTGAGAACATGAACGACGCGGTCTTCGCCGAGAGCTCTCAGTTCGCGTCGGAGGCAATTGGGGCTTTCCGCACGGTCACGTCGCTGACGCTCGAGCAATCCATCCTTGATCGCTTCGAAAGGCTATCCCAGGGGCATGTTACCGCTGCCTACAAGAAAGCTCGCTGGGTAAGCATTATCCTGGGATTCTCCGAAAGCACCAACCTGGGCTGCCAGGCACTCATCTTCTACTATGGCGGCCACCTCTTCCTCGGCGGAGAGATCGGCACCGTGGCTTTCTTTGTGTGCTTGATGGCCATTATGAACGCGGCGGAGGGATTCGGCAAGAGTCTGAGTTTCGGCCCCAATGCTGCCCAGGCGGCCGCCGCATCAGGCCGGATGTTGGAAGCGAGAGAGTCCAGCTTGGTCGAGTGCCCCCAGCACGGCGATATTCCTGTGCGACCAGGCGGGATTGCGATTGAGCTTCGTGACATTTCTTTGCGGTATCCCGGGCAAGAGGTCTCGGTGCTCAATGGATTGAACATGACGATCGAGGAGGGACAGTTTGCGGCCGTCGTCGGCGCATCGGGCTGTGGCAAGACGAGCATCATATCTTTGCTCGAGCGGTTCCACGAGCCCGAGAAGGGGCAAGTTCTCTTCAATGGGAAAGATATCTCGCAGGTCGACATTTATGCGTTTCGCAAGCATCTGTCTCTGGTCGCCCAAGAACCTATACTCTTTCAAGGTTGGTACACACACACACACACACAACACTTCTGTCCTTCTAGACCAATGTGATCTTAACTCACTCTCGACCAGGGACGATCCGGGAGAACATCCTGCTTGGCATCGACTCGAGCGCCGTCACGGACGACCAACTCCACATCGCTAGCCGCGACGCATTGATCCACGACTTCATCATGTCTCTCCCTGAGGGCTATAGCACCAACATCGGGTCCCGCGGGATTGCTCTCTCCGGTGGGCAGAAGCAGCGCCTGGCCATCGCTCGAGCCTTAATCCGCAACCCCCGGCTGCTTCTGCTCGACGAAGCGACGAGCTCTCTGGACTCGGAGAGCGAGCGACTCGTCCAGGCGGCCTTCGAGCGAGCAGGAAAGGGACGGACCATGATCGCCGTGGCGCATCGGTTGGCGACCGTGCAGAATGCCGACATTATTTTTGTGCTGGGGGAGGGTGGCAGGCTGTTGGAAAGGGGCAGTCATCTGGAGCTGCTCCGGAAAAGAGGTGTTTATTATCAGATGGTATGTTCAGAAGACCAAGGTCTCTATCGCTTGTTTATACAATTCTGACTAACACAACGTAGTGTCAGAATCAGGCTCTCGATCAATAGTGTTGAACACGCGGTACTTTACATAAGGCGAGGACTGGCAGAAAGATAGAGATAGGGGGTGAAGTGCTGTGGAATATTCATTTCCCTTCTATTTCCAGGTACCATACATGATTATCCCGCTCATAGAAGTGAATCTGTCAAGCACTAACACGGCAGGATCGACTTGCAAGTCACCCCCGTATCTGTGTATACACAGCGGTTGTTGTCGGATCGCTTGTCTCCCGGGACTAGAATGAGTCGTGCGAGATCTCGCTACTGGAACTCTAGGACCCATGTGAGAATATGACATCATCAATGCATGCCTTGCATGAGGGACGGTGGATTGCCCTCCTGTAGCTGAGTCTACAATGGCAAGATATTTACAAAGTCGAACTACAACATCAAGGCCTAGGCATAAAGCCAAACTATCCTCTGGCGATCTAAAGCTGTTATAAAGGTATACATGTAAAGTGAATTCAATACATCATGATAAACACCGAAAGGCATCCCCAAACAAAAGGAGTCCTACCTAGGCTCAATTTTTATTATCGTTTTTTACCCCGTTCTTGCTCTTCTTCCTACCATGTCTATCTGTAATACCCTCTCTCAAAGCGAAGAGCTACAAACGTAAGCAAGCAGAAAAACACTCACCTCACCTCAACCGCCTAGCGTCCAGCAACAATCCCCTGAAATGCGGCCGGAATCAAGACCACTCAATGAGTCAGAGCCATATGGAACCCGCGCATAACATGCGCATACGGAATCCCCGAGTACCACTCGAGCTCGTTGTCGAACACGAACTCGACCGCCTCGTGGGTGCCCCAGCAGGTCTCGCGGAAGAACCGCACGCGGTCCTCGTAGACGACCAGCGCCCCGCGGCGCCGGTGGTCCTGCGGCTCCTGGCTCCAGAATGCCTGGAGCACGCGTTTCGCGAACGCGACCCAGCGGTCACGGGGGACATGCGCCTCCTGGAGGAGGAGGGTGTGGGTCCGGGCCTGCGCGGGCGTCTGGGCTGGGTTGTTTTCCACGATGGCGTACGGGACGTCGTCGAGCATGCCGAAGAGGGGGGTCCCACCTGCTTGCATTGTGACTGGATGTTGTTGTTGGTGTTTGGGTGGTTAGTTGGGGATGTTAGTATAGACTTGGCTTTGGTGTCAGGTCTGGTGGGTTATGGAGGAGATGAGAGTCGAGTACAGAGTGTTTTTTGGGGCATATTTATAGATATTTCTGTCAAGGAGTGCGATGGGTTTGGGAAACTGTCTGTGGGTATATCCCGTTATACTGGGAAGATTGCATCATGTTTGCTGCGGACCAGATACAGCTCAAAGAGTCCTCTATGGGGAAATCCACATGGCGCTCACGAGACAAAGATTGAGGAATGGAATTGTCCAGGACATCGAAGTCCAGAGACTCCAGTATTCCCAAAGCGAATGGGCCCTTTCTATAGAGGATTGTATCCTGTTGCCGACGAAGTCCGATATAGACAAAGTCTTCAGCACATAGACTCATCTTACTGGAGAACTCAACTCAAGATCTCCAGGACAGGAGGAACTAGTTGCCCAAGGAAGTAGTTGGGGTCGAATGGAAACAAAAGCATATTGGAGAGATTCCGCTACATCTCAAGCAGATAATGAATGTGTTGGTAGACTGTCACCAAAGACAAAGCTTCGTTTAGGCAAAACTCCTGAAGTCCAAGTCTGTTAGCGGGGGTCTTTGGCTCGATAACCTCGAAGACAAGCAAAGGTTTACCGGGAAAAAAGGTCACTATCAACATAGACTAAAGGTAATACCACAGGTAATACCAGGGGTATTTATGCCTTGTCAAGGCTAATATTCCAACACTGATAGATACTTTAGATCACCTATTGATCAGTCGGAATTCAGCTCGTCCTGCGTAGATTGCCGCAAGCGCCGCACCCTCTAGCGAGCCGTCCAAGGTAGCAACAATGCTTCCGCAGTCGTGAACAAGAGCTACTGCGAATACACGCAAAGGCTACGTTGCCAGGGTTTGACAACATGGCTGAATAGAGTATTGTGGAACAGATGGGCCATCACCAGGAAGATGAGGACTGAAGAGATGAACTGCCGATGGCCTCAAGTGCCGCATGGAGGAAGAGGAATCCAGCTAGAGAGATTAAAGATGCTACAAACTACGAAGAGGAGAGAAGGCGGCAGTCCCGACTTAGGGCTGCAACATCTTTGTGATTGACAGCTCGGAGTTTCCCGAGACTGACAGTCTACCTGCGAAGGTAATGTAAGTGGTTATCAGTACCGTCGGCAGTACTCGCAAGTCGTTTACAGTAAAAAGGTCCACACCTCGCGATGAAGGACTTGCTAACAAATAGGGCAGGCAGGTCTCCAGACACAGGGTGACAGGATTGACTAGAAGGCGCCTCCTCCCAAGTGGGTGGAGGATGCTTCGGCGACCGAACAGAGTAATGCATGATTCTCCTTATTGTGGTTGAGCCTAGCGAGAATAAATGGAGCATCACTAGTTGCGTAATGCTCAGAATCCTATTATAAGTAGTTTTCCATTGAGATTGAATGTCCTAAGCACGCATGGCAGAAGTTCGGTGCGGGTTCTAGCCCTGACAGGTATTGGGACCCGGGAACGTGGAAGATGACCACGCGACGTTGTTTTGGATGATAGAATATATTTTGGAACCAGTGTTTTCTGAGGATGTATTTCAACTCGCTGTTTTGTCTGTCCTCGGGCAGAATTTGCAGAATTTAATGGGTCAAAGATAGAAGGGGTAGCTAGTTTACGTGGAGCTTGGGTATGACTACCTAGTAAGGTCAGTGTCAGTTTGCCTATTGTCAGAGTCGCGAGGCTCGGTTAGAAGAGATGACAGCCATGTAAGAACAGGAATAGCACTGGGCCATAGCATTTTCCTCCTAAAAGCCCCACTTGAACACGGTGCGGAAGAGTGCATGCAATGTAAAAAAAGAAAAAGAGAAGCCCAACGCGGGGGTTGAACCCGCAACCTTGAGATTAAGAGTCTCACGCTCTGCCGATTGAGCTAGCCGGGCTGATTTGTTGAAAGGCATTGTCACTCTTGGTTATATAATCCAAAAGCAGAGCCGGAAACAAGAAACCGCCACATCCACCCAAGGAATCGATGTCATTCTTGCGTTGACACTATACAAAGCCTTGGATTCGCCCATGCGGTCGCATATATGTGGAACGTGGCCGGACCGAAGTTGCTTCTCATCCATCTTCCTCACGCATTTTTTTTTTGGAAGACGAACCTGATTACATGTGACGCCATTCTCCTACGGTCTTGGGCAAGACCCCTCTTGTTGGCGCTGGAAATATAATCCTATGCCCCTTCCTTGCTTTTCGCACCAACAAAGCCAACCAGGGTTACGCTACGGATTTACCACCCTTGTAGCCTGATTCGACTATGCTTGTTTTGCATGTGCACCTTTCAGCCTAGCCACTGCATGAGAACACTAGTTACTGTACCTCAGCATCGCCTCCGTGCTAGCTGCAGGGCAGCACCACACCACGGGAAATACTTCTCTTGACCGTCATTGTGGCCCAAGGACATGACCAGAGACCGGATCGAGGATTGTGCGATTTGAATTTAACCACCGTCACCAAGGGGCAAGATCCAGAACCGCCTCCCACAGATAAGCGATTACGGTACAGTAGCGGTGCCAGGAAGGAATGCGAGGTGCGATGACGGCAGCGTAAGTCAAAACACAAAACAAAAGTCAATTCATTGAACAGGGAAACACAGAAAGACTGACTGATGAGCAGGTTAATTGTATGTATGAGTAGCTGGCTCTGAGTCAAAGAGATGCATGCATCATGACCTGAATTGCCGGGTCGAAATTCACCTATCCGAGCCCCTCCGTTCACAATCGATGAATGCAACTGCTGGGACTTTTTCAAGCGCGCAATACCGAAAGATGAGTTTGCGAACTCGACCGCCTGCCCATCTCTGAGAATACTGTACATGGCACCGATTCAATGCCGGCAAAGAGCATAGTATGGTGATATCACAGATAACCTTATTTGACACCAGGGCACGAACCACCACCACCACCCAACATGACAACCGATCCAGCCATCTTTTGACTTCTAGAATCGCTGTTTCCGATGTTACTGAAGATCCGAGGGATTGATTAGGTTTTTGAATGTTTTTTTTTTTTTTTTTTTCCTTCTTTCTTTCTCCTTGCCCCTTTAGCGATTCCCGTGGGTATGAAATCCAATCCACGGCCGCTGGCCCAAAGTCACAACATCATGTTGTCTCACGGGGCAGCCTGGAGTCATTGTCCATTGCCCATAATAGGCAAGGGTGCAGAAGGGGCAGGCTGAATAGAATAACTAGTACTAGGTAGGTAGCTGAGTCGAGGCCTTAGGCTACCTATCGTGCATCGGCCACGGTGGCTTCTCAGCCTATCAATCGGGGCCGGAAAATGCATCCGCTGAGGTCGGCGGGCGGGCAGGGCTTCCAGACCTTTGCAGCGGCGCCGACGTGTCATAGTTAGCGCATGAGTTTTCATCTCCGGTTTCTCCTAAACAAAAACACTCGCCGCTTATCAATGTTCTTGATGGCGCTGCAACAACAACAACAACAATTCCAACAACACCAACCACCACCACAGCATAGCACCCTTCTGCTCCCCCCTCCGTCCGACCCTGAATGACCCACCTTTCTTTTTTCTCATCTCGTCAGTGAGATCGAACATCCTTGCCCCTGAAGTCATGGCCCAACAAGGGTCCGGCTCCACGACAGCCTACCGCCCTCTCGCCCCGAAGCCGACCCTCTTGCCTTCGAAACGGGGGGCATCCGATCCTCCAGAGCCCCCGGGGCCTTCCAAACCGGGGAACGCCAAGAAGGCACTCAAAAGATCCCCATCGTCCTGCGAGGGGTGTAGAAGGAAGCGCACGAGAGTAATTGCCCCCTTCCCTTCCCCCTCCCCTTCAAATGCTGCCTGTTGGTGCAAGATGAGAGAGAGAGAGAGAGGATGAGAGCATCCATCTCCCCGAGGAGATCCTCACTGCATACAAAAACAGTCCCCCGTCCCCATGTCCCTGCCCTTACCCTCTTTTCACCCGGTCATCCTATCTATCTATCTATCTACTCTTCTAACAACACGCCTTCCCCCGACCCAACCGGGGAAACGGCACTACCCAATAGTGTACCGCCTATGAAAGCGGGGTGCCATGTACCATGTGCCAAATCCACCAGGTGGAATGCGTGCTGCTCCCGCACAGCGACAGGCGCCGGAAGACCACCATGGAGTACATGCGGCGGCAGGCCGTCTACTACCGGGAGTACCTCGAGCAGTTCATCCGGCTGGCGCGCTCCGACGACCCGGCGATCATCCTGGCGGCGATCGCCATCATCCAGGCCCACCACTCCGAGGAGGAGACTCGGGCCCTCCTGGACTCCCTGGTCCCGAACGACGGGAAGCCCATCCTGCCCGAGGAGGAGGAATTAATCAAGGCGATTCGAGAGAGGGAGGCGCAGGCCGCCTCCACCGCCGCCGGCAGCAGCGGCGGCGGCGGCCAAAGTAAAGATAGCGCGGGACCTGGCCTGGACCCGTTGCCTGAACAGGATTGAGGGGGGGATTTTGGACGGGGGAGGAGCTACGCTTCTCGTTCTAGCCCTCCCTCTTTCTACCTCGCTCCCTCCCGGGTGAGAGAATTACCTATGATAGCCCCTTATACCTATGGGGTATCGCTGGAGAATGATTGGAGGATAGAACGAGGGAGAAAGGCGCGCGGAGGGAGAAGAGATGAAGCAGGACTGAATCGCGGCGGAAACAACTGACAGGAACAATGCAAGGGACAGTCATAGGAGGAGTGAGCTACTGCGTTAAATTACTGAATTGTTGCAGAGACACGAGCGGGAAGTGGTGGGGGGTTTGTTCTTTTGTGCAATTAGCTTTGACCAAACATTTGCCTGCGCATAAACTGAATGTTGAACACTGAATGCAATCCGAGGAGCTGTCACTGGTTTATCTGTGACCGTATTGTCCAGCCCGCCATTCTATAGACCGTCTTATATATGTTATGTCAAGTGTATTGTTCAACTTAGGATATATTGGGCAAGGCTGCGGTACAGTACATCAGTTCAACAGGAACACCAGAAGCGGTCCGAGAATAAGCAAGACAAGGCATGGCGAGAGAACCAACGCTGAGAAACCAGAAGGGTTGCGGCAGGATGTAGCATTTTTCTTTTCTTTTCTTTTCTTTTCTGTTTTTTTCTTGTTTGCTTGTTGGTCTTTTGGGGGTTTGTTTTCCTTTCCCCCCGTTTTCAGACTGCAGCCCCAACCCAGTCATTCATCTTCTCGTGGAGCAGGACAGTGCCCGGGATATACCCGACGAGAGACGGCTCGTTCGAGAAACTGCCCACCTTCCTCAAGTATTCGTACGTGGTGCCGTCGCCAAAGGCGAGGTATCGCAGCTCCTTCGCGTAGCCCGCGCGTAGGGGCGCTTCGGCGACTGTTAGGAATTCCGCGGGAGGCGTCGAGAAGTCGTCTTGCATGTCGATGTAGAGGACTTGCAGATTGGGGAGGGAGAGGGCGGACTTGATGGCTTCCTGTGGTTTGGAGAGAGTTGCAATCTTGTCAGTCTATGCTTTCATGACAGCTGTTTGAATGGAGGGAGGAGGAGGAGTCAAAGGGCAAAGGCCAAAGGCCAAAGAGCAAGGGACAAGAAAAAAAGTCTCTGACCGCGTCGACCTTGTCTTGTCGGATACGAAGCTCTTCCAACTGCGGGAGCTTGGTTGCAATCAGACGCAGCAACTCTACACAGGAGCAGGGTCGATCTTCGTGGCACGGTAGGCTCAGACCCAGCACCTTCAGGGTGGCCCCATGCTGCTGCTCGAGCACCTCCAAGAGCGACTCGGAGGCCACCATTTGACTAGACGTTTGCCCGCGGATCGGGATGCCATGGAAGACCTCCAGCCCACTGAAGGCACGCAGGAAGCCGTCGATCGAGTTGTTGACGAGATCCGTGGTGAGCCGCACAGGGCGGAAGTCCGCCTCGAGGCCGGCGTCCCAGAAGTCCCGGACGGTGGTGGCGAGCGAGTCCGGGTCGAGGAAGTCCAGGGTGACAGTGGTGAGTTTGGACGGTCGCAGCATGGCCCAGAAGTCGGCGGGCGTGACCCCTAGGGCAGCGAAGCCGCGCAGGTCCAGCAGGTGGAGTTGCGAGGCCAGATGTGTGGGCCAGCCCTCGAATAGGGTGCTGACGCTGATCCCGGAATTATTATCCGCCCAGATCGTGAGTTCCCGCAGGTTCGTCGCGCTCCTGACGGCCGTTCCCACCGATCTCATCACGTCCACGTCGTCCACTTGCACGAGCGAGAGCACCGTCAGGCTCATCGAGAGCTTCATGTTCAACGGGGGTCGGAAGAAGGGCTTGGGGGTGCAGTCGGTGCCCATGCGCAGCTGTAGATTCCGAAGCATCGGCCGCAAGACGACATTCGAGACCAGATACTGAGTCAGGGAGACCTGCATATCCCAACTGTGGGTGTGTGTCGCCCGCATTAATTATCGAAGAGTCCCCAAGCGTGGTTGCGGAGCGTGCTGGCTTACACGAATTCCTCCAAGTTGGGCATACGGACTACGCAGCTGCAGAGAAGACTGCTGAGCAACCTGGCTGCCGGGGAGAGGATTCTCCTCGGCGCAAGCCAGGAGTCGATCGAGGCATACGTCGAATACCAGGTCCCAGACACGATCACTCGCTTGATGAACCCCATCTTGTCGAACTCGGGGTGGCCAAGCGTGTCCAGCTTCATCAGAAGTTTGTCGTGAGAATCGATGTGTCCAGGGCTATGGAAGCGGACTGTGTGGTAGAGGTAGGGGTTGACAAGACCATTGAGCTCTCGCGAGACACGAGCCAGAGCAGCCATGTCGCTATAACTCAACTGCCACTCATCAGTATTCATCAGTTGTGGCGGGTGGGAGGCAGCACTTAGGGCGAATTGGCTCACGTCTGACCATAACTCATCCATAAACAGCCGAAATATGACTGCCATCGCAACGAAGATACTATGGAGTTGGGGTTTACGAAGGGCACAAAGTGTAGGACAAGATTTTTACAGTGTTTAACTACTCAGACTTTGGTTGTGATGTCATGAATCATCATCTGAACTGCATGTAACTAACGTATCTTGACCCATGAGTGATTGCTGGTTCACATGTTACACCATCTAACTGCTCGACGTTTCCCTCGACCGAGAGATTCCCTGGATCCCGGGTCCGAAACCTGAAAGCGGCACGGAAATAAGAGTACCTTATTCAAGCTTAAATTCCAATCAGGAGACACCCCGTTGTGACCACTGTTCCTCAAAATGAGGGGAATCCCGACGCCCAGGATGAGGTCATGTCGTAACCGAACAACCGAACCCACACTGCACAAATAAGGCCCGTCCCGGAATCTATATCAGCGTGGGCTCGGATTGGTTCACCCAAACTGCCAGCGTGTTTTAACACCTACAGTACCGTTGGACCAGCTGCTGTCACTGCCACCGAACTCCATTGGATCTGGTGCGCAGCTGATGGAATCATGTAGTTCTGAAGGGAATATGTACTGTACAGTACACAATTGCTAGTGGTTGTGTGCACCCCCTGACTCCCGGCCCTCTCAATCCACGGGTAGCCCTAAACAAATGCCTCCTACAGAACGCCTCCCAATCCTTTCCAAAATCCGCCCCAATCCAATCACTGAAGTCCACTCCATACCGATTTCCCTCCTCGAAGAACCCATACGTCCCCAGCATCTGATACCCCCACGTATTGAGCAGATCCTGCACGCCGCCCGCGGAATCCCGATTCCAGAGCTTCCTCGCCAACCCCAGCCATCCATCGAACGCGACCGGACGCGTTGCCCACGCTCGACCATCCTCCGCGTCCCCCTTCTTCTCCTGCTGCTGCTCTTGCCTCCGTAAAATCCCCAACAATTCCTTCGAGCTCATTGTGAAATCCGCGAAGTACGTCGGCCGATCGCGAAAACGCACCGGGTCGTGCAGCTCGGCCACCAGCGCGGCCCACAATATCGAAGGCCGACATGCTGACACGCTTGGTAGTCTCGATCTTGCTCAGTGTGAATATGTGAATAGTCTCAATGTGACAATCGGTGATCTAATAAGCTTGGCTCCAAGAAGACGTCGAAGGACCCAGGGGTGCTGTTCGCATGTCCACTGTATCACGGTGGAACCCGAAGCCGGAGATGCCACGGAAAAGATATCTGGTCTCGCGACTAATGATTTTTGTATAACGTTACTGCACTTTGCCTAAACCCACAGACAACAAGCATTATATGACATCGTAACTAGTGCATACACAAGGCCATTTTTATCGTCATCATAATCGAAAAACCAAACAAGGTCCAAGGCATAGTCGTGATGTTTCCTCTCCCAATCGCCACTCGAGCATTAACCAAGCAGAGAAAAGAAGTGATACCAGTTCGCGGTCCAATTTGTTCGTAATGTATCATCAAGCGAGACAATTCAAACCCACCGTGAGAACAAACATAGTCCTAGCGGAAGTCCGAGTCCACCCCGTTCTCCGCATACACCTGCAAGCTATACTTGGCGAAGTTGCTCTTCTTGCGCATCCGCTCCCCGTAGCGCGACAAGAGTGGCGGCACGATGCAAAATAGCGTCGCTACAGCAGCCAGAATTGACATCCCGACGTTCGCGCCCAGCCCGTCGAACATGGCACTACCGAACAACGGGAACGTGGCGGAAAGCAGAGACCGGACGATGGAGAGGGCGGCGAACCCGCTGGCGGCGTAGCTGAGGTAGGAGTCGGCCATGTACTGCGAGACGACGACCTCCATCTCGTTCAGGCCGTAGCCGGTAAAGAAGAGGGCGACCACGGGGACAAACCAGTGGATGCCCGCGCCGACTGGGGGGATGGTCCAGGCGAACCACCACAGCGACAGGGCGAGGACGGGGGCGCCAATGTAGATGCCCGTCAGCTTGTGCTCGGGCTTCACCTTGAGGCCCTCCTTCAGGCGTCGCTGTGTGACGCGGTAGTCGAGGATGCGGGTTGCGATGTTCGGGATGAACCCCACGCCGAGGGCGAGGAAGGGCAGGCTCGAGTCCTCCGTGCTGAAGCCGAAGGCCTCGAAGATGGGTGGGAGAGCCTCGGCGAACAGATAAATAAGGGCTACGCAGACAGAAAACACCATGGTCACGACGAAGACTATCGGCTCAGTGAAAAACAATCGTAACGGTCGGAAGAGTCCTACGTGCGCAAAGGTGCGAAGGTCCGGCATGAAGTCGGGGTTGAGGGCAAGCAGCGACTCGTTACCGGTCAACTTCCGCAACGCTTGGACCTCCCGGGCCAGGATCAAGGATGGTCGCGACTCTTTGATGCACATGAGCATGGCTGCGAGAACACAGGTCACGATTGCTCCGATGTTGAAGACCCATCTCCTGTAACTTCGTGCGTCAGAAATCGGCGCCAAAAGTGAGACGGGAATTCGAGCCAACATACCACCCGTATCGATACGTGACATAGGAGCTCATGATGGGTCCCGCACTGACTCCGAGACATGCCATGGCAACATAATACAGCATCACCCAGATGCGATCCTGTGAATTAAACAGGTCTTCAATGCTTCCAGTAATGACTATCGTTGGAATGGCAGACAAAAATCCAGTGACCAAGCGTCCTATCACCAGAGCGCTGGCCGAGGGAACGGCGCCGATCAAAAGGCAGAAGACACTGTACAAGAGAGCACTCAAGACATAGAGCCGTTTCCGACCAAACGTTTCCGAGTATGGTGGGAAAACCACGCCGCCTAGACCTTGTCCCAGAAGATATCTAAGACATGTTAATACCGCGCCGGATGTGAAGAGCATAGAACCCACGTGGAAACATATAAAAACAAAGTGAAGGTTTTTCCGGTGCCTAGCTCGAGCTGTGCGGCCTTTGCAGTTGCGGCCTAGTGACATATTAGCTGATGCGCCGCACACAATCCCGATCATTGCAATGTTTGGACTCACCCCGGAAGTACTCATCGCAGTCCTACAATACTCCATTAGCAGATGCCACGGAGTCGACTAGGTATGCTCACGTGAAGAACTCCAGAAGACCGATCACGGTTATGTCATAGGTCTTGCGTGCTGGGTGCCAGTTGCGTGGATGCTTCCTGTTGGTCTTACCCCATCGCAGGTGAGCTCCATCTGGAGTCAGCTCCAGCCCATGCTCCGTTGCAAGACGATCTAGGTCAGTATAATTTGCAAGTTTTAATTCACCCATCGTGAAAACATTGATAAACCTTGGTCATCAACCTGGTTTGCTAGGTTGATTTTAAACGCCCAGCACAAGAGCCCTAAACAAGGGATACATACCTCTTACACTGGGCCAAAGGGGTGGTCACTGCTGCCAGGCAGATCAACATTCACATCTAATCGATAATCGCTAGGAGCCAGCTGCCTAGAGAGAACTGGAAAGACAGCAGAGTACAGGGCCATAGCCGACGGACGCACGGTGACCATACACCAGCTGTCCTGTGCTACCTGAAGCCTTGAAGTTGAGATGCCGAGGTGCCGGCTATCATTGGCTCAGGTGCTAGGAGTCAGCTCCTTTGCATATGCTTCAAGACGATACTGAGTCGTATACACGCCACGCGACTCACGACCCTGTGCTTGTACACATCAGCATCGTCGCGTCCGCGAAGACAAGTGGGTCGCCTGATGATGTTCAGGGTCACGAAGACCTGGCGCCGGTCGAAAGGGTCAAAGCTTCAGCTTTATTAAGATGGCGCTGGGATCCGGGTACATTGGGCCTGGAATGTGAAAAAGCGAGGATCAAGTACCCGGCGCTTATAGTTTGCGACGAAAAAAGCAAGCTTCCAACGCGTTCGATGTCGGGGTGATGTCGGAAAATAATTGGGCGTCCAGAAGAAATGATATCATGCTGCCCCTTGGGCGCTTCCCTTTCAGGTATGGGATCATAGCTGAGGATGTAACATGCGACCAGCCAGCGCGTATAACGTGATGGATCAACCCTTTGGCACGCTTCAGCGGCCCCAGCCGGGATTTGTAATGCTGTTCGCAATTTCTGGATCGTTTGATCACCCTGAGACGAAGGGAGGATGATCCTCATTCTGACTCGTCATCACTTTGAGACGGCAATCCTATAGGACAGGGTACACAGTATTAGCTGAAAGTTTCATAACGCATGGATAAAGTGATAGAGGACAGATTGTCTGGGGAGCACAGCACATCCCAGAGAAGGGGAGTCGGACTGCGGACGTACTGTAGGTACAGCACACTTAATGTTGGTGGTTGGGAGGGAGAATGCAAGCCTGAGGCAGAAATCGTCTATGCGCGAGTAGGCGGTCACCAAGGCGGCATTGGACTTATCCGTCCATGCACTGCCATCGCTGCTTTAGTCGTTCATGCCGCTTTTGCATCGGCCATGCCTTTACTTCTTGAGCTCGATGGATGATTTCTGTGACCAATGCATCTCGGTCTTCAGGCTCCGTAAAGTACTCCCCGTATAGACTCACAGCAACCACACCATTGACCAGAGCCGGCTTGCAATCAATGTGATTCAGAGCAATGCCACAGATTTTCAAAACAATGGAGCGTACTTGGGATTCCGTCCTGCGATGTGCCGCCCGGTTTGCGTTTCTGGTATTGCCCGCAATTCAGCAAGCGACATCGCTCTTCGTGATAAGGGGTAGACTCACTCAAGGTGCGGATTCTCGGCAGTCAAGATCATTCTTGATAGCTCAAGGTGCTGGCTTCCTGTTATTTGATCCTCGGAGCTATACCAGATAGTCGGAAAAGGCTGGCCCTGCAGCTTCTCCGCTCGCTTTTCAAGGATAGGCACTAGTTTGCTTCGACACGCGTCCACCAGTTCCTGTTCACGCCGCACAAGCCGCTCTACGCCAATCAGCTATACTCGTTCCCCTGGGTAAATCTGGTGACGGCAAGACAAACCCCATTCATCAATCGATCGGTCTTCCCAGAAACACTTCGTGACCTCGCTGGCGAGCATGATGAATTTATTTGCGACCGATGCTCTTCTCCAGTCCTGGGGCTGAAACTGCATGATCGGAGCACGTTCTCTGGTGAGCGCGTAGTATACCTCCTGTCTGACCGCGATCCAGTATGCTGCTGTTGCCAGCGACTGCTCGACGCGATGTGACATCATCGACTCGATGATTGTCTGAGTGATGGCTAGAAAGTTGACTCGGCTGTGGGCGGCAGTCTCTGCAGGCCCTTCGTCGTCCATATCTTCCTCCATCTCCTCATACTGGCGCAGGATGACTGCGGCGACCATGATATTCTCTTGATCGACCGGGTCCGATACGTCGGGAAACTTGACAAGGTCGGGTATACACCTTAGTGTGTATTCCACCGCGGTGGCGTCTTCCATATCCGTGAGTAATTGTCCATGGTACACAATCCCTTGCGGGGTTTTGTACTGGGGAAGACGAGCCAGATGCCGCGCCGACACAGCAAAAATAGCGTTTCGCACTGTCGAGCAGTGCCGTGCTCGTCGGGGGACTTCCAGTCGGAAGTGCCTGAGATGATCGCAATGATCGAACTGCGCCGTGTCAGGACCTGGCCCTCGACGCAAATAGGGCTCAACATACCCAGGGAGAAATCTCCTCGACAAAGTATCGAAGTAGACAAGCCTCTTGCAAGGATGCCTGGTGTGCCAAATAGCATGGCGACTCATCGCCATGCCTGCGCTTGAGTGCGCTGGAACGGCTGAGATCAGATGATGATCCATTGGCTTGTTGGCGATTCTGGACAGCCGGGGCCGAACGTACGACGGATGCTTCCGTGCTTTCTTGCAAATGCCCTGAGCTTAAGCACTGCAGCACGGGGCCTCCTTGCGTCAGGAGCGAATGCCCCTTGTCCATTTCGAATTGCCCATTCTGAGTTGTGAATCGTGCATCGGGAGATCCCGACGATGACGAGCCAGTTTGTACCCTTGCTCCTCCACTAGTCTCCGGCGAGGACAACAGGGCCCCGTAATGCTCCTCGTAAGCATGCCGAACCAGGTGGCGTGTCGGCACCTCCAGCCCATTGGAGACGTGCTGCTGTCCGAATAGTGACTTCCACCGCTTGGGCTCACTGCTCACCCAAGCCTGGTTTCCCGAAAAGCTGGCGTCGAAGCCCGCCGTAGATCCCTGTCGGAACGGTGACTTGCGTGGGACCGGCTGGCAGGTCCAGCCCTTCTCTTTGCATCGCGTACAAACTGGCCGTAGCCTATCACCTGAGGTCTCACACGGGGTTGGAGTTAGCGTAAGGGGGTCCGGAAAGATTGTTGGTTTGTCCATCACTCACAGCGCACGTGCTTTTCTGGATAGATGGATGGATGGATGGTTGATTAGCGAGAGCGCCTGGCTGAATCACTGTGGAGGTCAAGGCATACCTCGACAGTTGGAGCATGGGGTCTGAGGAGTCGATGCTTTGGCTGTGGCTGACATGGTGTTGGGAGGTGGATGTGATGGAAGTTTTGGTTTGTTGTGGAACTTCAAGTCGACGGCGGCGGTTGCTCTTTGCAGTCAATGTGCAAGCGGGGAGGGGAGCTCAACCCCGCACCCGCACTCATTTCCCCACATCCACTCTGAGGAAATCACTCCGATCGTTGCTTTGGAGGTCTCACTGGAGACAATCTTCATGACAATGCTGGACGATCATCACTCAGTGTTCGCTGCTTAGCGCCGCTTGATCGAGAATAAGGCACTACAGGATAAATTCGTCTCCCTCTGGTTTGACTACGACAGAACTGCAAGCGTTCCTCGATGGTATCATAGTGTGTGCTACGCCTGCCAACAGAAGTTTTCTTAGATGATTGTCCAAATAACCAAGCACAATAACTCCAGTAATAGCTTCTAATACTCGTCTAAAGTAGTCGCTCGTGCGCCGACACGGCACTGCATATTGCCCATTTGGGCAAGTATCGGCGGAGTTTCGGGGGGCACGGCGGGCTCAGAATTACCCGATACGGCAGGTGCCGGCGTGCCGCTTGGTTGTCTACACAGTATTCAACTCATGCTTGTATAAATAGGGCGAAGTCTTCTCAAGAGATTCGTATCATGCTTCTCTCTGTCATCAGCACACACACACACACTCTCTCTCTCTCGAACAACTCCATCCTACAAAATCTTCCAAACATGACCCGAACAACGAACCCTCTCAAGATTGCCGTTGTCGGTCTTGGTCGCATGGTATGGGATGATTCCTACTTCCTGGACAACCCCAGCACTAACACTCATTCAGGGCAAACGCCATGTTCACACCCTCCTGTATCGCGTCCCTCACGCCCAGGTGGTAGGAGTATGCAGCTCCGACGCGAGCGAGGTCAAGTGGGCCCGGAGCAACCAAGAATACAGCGACTTCGGCATCACCGTCTACGACAACTACGACCAGATGCTGGATCACCCGGGTCTGCAGGCCGTCTGGATCTCCAGCAGCACAGATGTGCACGCCAGCCAATCGCTTGCGGCGATCGCGAAGGACCTGCATGTGCTCTGCGAGAAGCCGCTCAGCACCGACCTTGCAGAAGTACAAGACTCCTCTCATCCTTCACACGACGCTCTACTAACAAGACGGCCGCAATCAGGCACAATCCGTCGTCGACGCCGCCCGCGCCAAGCCCTCGCTCAAGGTGATGGCGGGCTTCTCCCGACGCTTCGACGCCTCCTACCGCGACGCCGCCGCCAAGATCTACGACCAGGGCGCCATCGGGACCCCGTTCCTGGTCCGCTCAAACACCTGCGACCTGCGCGACGAGACGGGGTTCTTTGTGCGGTACGCTGCCCGCAACGGCGGCATCTTCGTCGACTGCGCCATCCACGACATCGACCTCTCCCTCTGGTTCCTGGGGAACCCGACCCCGAAGGCGTGCTGGGCGGCCGGCACCCTGCAGCATCACCCGGAGCTGCGCGCGCTGTCCGACGTGGACAACGCGGTCGGGGTGGTGGAGTTCGGGGGCGGCAAGATCGCCTACTTCTACTGCTCGCGGACGCAGGCCCACGGCCACGACGTCTGCACGGAGATCACGGGCACGGAGGGCAAGCTGATGGTCAACGTGGTGCCTCGGCAGAACCACGTGGTGCTGGCGGATACGCTGGGGCTGCGCCACGAGGTGCAGCCGGAGTACTGGGAGCGGTTCGAGCATGCGTTCGCGCTGGAGGCCAACGAGTTCATTGCGGCCGTGCGGGAGGACCGGGAGGTGCCGCTGCCGCTGGAGGCGGGCATAAAGGTCATGCAGATCGGGCAGGCGCTGCAGCATGCGTTGTTGTCGGGGGAGGTGGTGCGGTTTGATGAGAGTGGGACGCGGTTGAACTAGACTTAGGGTCTTGCTACGCAGACGATGTCGGGGGTGATTGTGCAATATAAAGTTCGGCTTGGTGCTCAAATGCCTGACTTGTTCTGTAGGCCCCGTTCCAGTCTGAATTTTGGAACTACTTGATTCTTCTCTTGATACTCGGCACCATGATGAGATCGCATTGTTAGACACCGAGCATTTACACAAACCACCATAGAAGATGTGACCGAGTGAGTTACTGCCTGAGGCACGAAGGCGGTGTTTGCTCAGGCGGGACTGCGGCATCTCGGGGAATGGCTTTCCACGCATAAATTATGGTGCTAAACCCACTCACCGTTCACACAGCGTGTGGGCTATAACAATCGACCATAAGCATAAGCACAAACGTCCGCATAAGCATACCCCGCCAACCACAAAACCAACTTCACCCTCACTTCATCTTCACAGTACCAACCACCACCACCACTACAAAATGTCCACCGCCCAACTATCCCAAGCCTTCCCCTGGCTCCAATCCCCAATCCTCATCAACGCCCCGATGAGCGGCTTCGCCACCAGCTCACTCGCGATCGCCGTGACCCGCGCCGGAGGCCTAGGATACATCGGCTTCCTATCCTCCCTCCCCGAACTCGAGACCGAGTTACAGATCGCGCGACAGAACCTCCCGCCCCCACCCAACACCGACCTCCTGCCCATCGGCCTGGGGATCATCGTGGCGGTCACCGCCCCCTCGGCCGTCACCGCGCTGGTCGCCGAGTACAAGCCCGCGGCCGTGTGGCTGTCCTTTGGCGAGCCGGCCGATTTCGCCGCGTGGACGGACATGATCCGCACCGCGTCGCCGCACACGCACGTCTGGATCCAGATCGGCAGCGTCAAGGCAGCCATCGACGCCGCGCGGGCGTGCCGCCCGGACGCGCTGGTCCTCCAGGGGTCTGACGCGGGCGGGCACGGCCACGCGCGCGGCGCGAGTCTGATCGCGCTGCTGCCGGAGGTGGCGGATGCGCTTGCGCTCAGCGACGAAGTCCAGGCGGTGGACGGGAGCGGGATCCCGCTGATTGCCGCGGGCGGGATCGTGGACGGCCGCGGGGCCGCGGCGGCGGTGGTGCTGGGCGCGGCGGGGGTGGTCATGGGCACGCGATTCCTGGCCGCGGAGGAGGCGGTCGTCCCCGCGCAGTACCGCGAGGAGCTGTTTCGGGCGTCGGACGGCGGGGAGGCCACCGCGCGGTCGCGGGTGTTTGATGAGATGTGGGGCCCCACTTTCTGGCCGGAGATGTACGATGGTCGGAGTTTGGTGAATCGCTGGTATGAGAGGGAGCAGCAGGGGGTCGGGATTGAGGCGATCCGGGCGGAGCTGCAGCGGGATCTCGGGCGGCTGCGGGAGACGGAGGGCGCCTTTGCCGATACGAAGAGCCTTTGGGCTGGATCCGGGGTGGGGCTGGTGAAGAAGGTGCAAAAGGCGGCGGAGATTGTGGAGGAGGTGAGGGAGGATGCAAAGAAACGATTGCAGGCAGGTGGTGCTTTGTTTTGAGCATTGGGGGTATGCTTGTTTCTCAATTGGCCGGTTATTTGCGTGTATCACTCAAGGTTGCTTGAGAGCATTGGCCAAGTCTACATGTAAGATCTTGATCGACAGCAGGTGTTTCGGCCTATACATGAAAGGTGACCTGTATTGCATGACCCAGGTGACAAGCTCGTATACTCGAATTCAACAAACGAGCACGTCGACACTAAACACCTCCAAAGAACTCCTGGCGACGATCAATCTCATCTTGAACACTGCCTAATTTCTATCCAATCTGATCCCATTCCCTCCATCTTGTCCCGATAATAAGCTCATAATCTAGCATTTCCGTGAATTCCGTAAATTCCGGGATCATGCAGGACAACACTAAGCAAAACATGGCAAGGATCGACTTTCCTCACGCAAATAACCTACGATCATCCGGGTAAATCGGGATAGTTGAGCAAAGCTCCACCGAAGCTACCAGGTAGGCTCAGGTCAACTACAACACATAAAAGCCCGACCTGGCCACTATCACACCCATCACCATCACCACGAAACCACCTCCCCAACCCAACCTCAATCCACCATGAGCCTGCAACCCCCCAAAGTCGCCTTCGTGACTGGCGCCAACGGCATCAGCGGCTACGCCATCGTCGAGCATCTAATCCGACAGCCCAAAGAAGAATGGTGCACTTCCCCTGACCCCCCGCTACCCCAACGGTCTACAGCACATCTAAAACAACCCAACACAGGTCCCGAATCATCGTCTCATCCCGCCGCCCGCTCCCGGTTCCCTGGATCGATCCCCGCGTGGAATTCGTGGCCGCCGACTTCCTGCGACCAGTCGCGAAACTAATCGCACAGCTGGAAGATATCTGCGCCCCGGTCACGCACGCATTCTTCACCTCGTACGTGCACGACGATGATTTCCGCGTCCTCAAGGACAAGAATATCCCGCTGTTCCGCAACTTCCTGGATGCCGTGGATGCAGTCTGTCCGGCGTTGCAGCGCGTGAGTCTGCAGACCGGCGGGAAGGTGAGCATCTCCTTTCTGTCTTGTTGATAGCCTTCCGGAAAGTAACGCGACACAGTACTACGGCGTCCACCTGGGGCCCGTCAAAGTGCCGCTCGAGGAGACCTTCCCGCGCTACAAGGACCAGGGGTATAACTTCTACTACAACCAGGAGGATTACCTGCGGGAGGTGCAGGGCCGGCGGGATACCTGGTCGTATAATATCATCCGGCCGAATGCAATTAATGGTTATGCTCCGCATGGTGAGGGCCTCCCACATACAAATTACTCGGGCAAGGAGGAGAAAGCAGCGGGCTGATGACGCACACAGCGAACGGCATGTCCGAGGCACTCACCGTCGCGATCTACATGCTGGTCTGCCGCGAGCTCGGCCAACCCGCGGCCTTTCCGGGCAACGAGTACTTCTGGAACTCGATCGACGACAACTCCTACGCCCCGAGTCTGGCCGACCTCACCGTGTGGGCGTCCACGCACGAGCACTGCAAGGATGAGGTGTTCAACCATGTCAACGGCGACGTCTTCGTCTGGAAGCACATGTGGCAGGATGTGGCCGAGTATTTCGGGGTGGAGGTTCGTTGCTCTCCATTGATCAAAACAGATGCGGTGCGGAAATATTGACCATGCTGTAGGCACCGGAGCCGAACTTCGAGAAGGCCTCGGGGCAGGCCAACACCCTCAGTAACGAGATTGACATGGTGGAATGGGCGAAAGACAAACAAGAGGTTTGGGAGAGGGTCGTGCAGGAGTATGGAGGCAAGGTGGAGGCTTTTGGCTGGGGTACCTGGGGCTTCTTCAACTGGGCGACCGGGAAATCGTGGTTGACTATCTCTTCCATCAACAAGGCGAGGAAGATGGGTTGGACGCGACACGATAAGACGTTTGATACCTGGATTGAGACGTTCCGGTCCTTTGAGAATGCCGGAGTTCTACCTTCGCACAGGGCTCTGACCGGGGGAAGGAATCGGGCATAGTGGTTTGCTGAGCCCAGCGATCACTGGACAAAATATTCAAGACTGAGCTCTAACCTAGAAGATGCTATTTTTGTTGACCGTTGAATGTTGAATGTTGAATGCCATGTGCTGGCGCTTGAAGCTTTGTGTCTAGTAACATTCCTTGTGGTGGTGCGGGACTCGCGTAGAAGAACAACGAAGCGGCTCCGAAATATCGATAGGCCAATTGAGGGCGTGACTTCGATTAAAGAGCACTAGAGCCAATAACGCATTGTCAAGAAAGTAAAGAAGGTGCCTACAAAGACTCCAAAAGTTCTTTCGCATACCCCCAGCCTCTTCCAAAAAGTCACGCCAAGTACGATAAGCCAGCGGCAAGAATGACACCAACATCTTCAGGGAGATAGCCCTGATCCGCCTTCACATTCCACAGCCCACGCCTTCCCCGGGCCATCAAACCTCTTCATCCTGATCCATACAGCGCAGAGAAGGATAAATACTACACACCAATCCCACCGCGTCGTCGCCCTTCAGCCAACAAACAGCCAAAGATCACTACAACCATCTCACTCTTCCAGAGTACTGCATCACACCAACCACCAAAATGTTCCTCCCTCCCAAACACATCGTCCCCCTCCTCCTGACCACACTCACAACCCTAACCACCGCCTCCCCCGAGCAAAAGCCGGCTTACCGAATCACCTCCCCCGCGGACTCCGCGATCCTAACCCCCAACACCCCCAGCGTGATCGCCTGGACCACCACGCAACGCACCTCAGCCAAACTCTCCATCCACCTCGAAACCACCACCAACCACACCAACCTCTACACCATCGCCACCAACATCACCAATTCAGGGTCTATCTCCTGGTCTCCACCAGCCCGCATCCCGCCAGGCGAGGAGTACATCATCGTCCTCGACCCAACCACTTCCCCGGACAACACCACCACCACCACCACCTCTCCATCTACCTCAAATCTCACCCCAGAAGAAGAAGAAACCTACAAATCCCCCCCCTTCACCATCACCGCCCCCAAATCCCCACCCAACAACTCCACCTCCACAGCAACAACCAACGCCACCACCGCAGAAGAACCAACCTACTACCCGACCGAAAACCAAGCCATCGCCCGCGGCACAACCACCATCGTGACGTGGCCCGTCGCGCCGGACCGGAAATCCGGGCACGTGAGCGTCTACCTCACGGAGGGGCAGTCGGAGTCCACCGCCACGAATGTGTCGACGGTGGCCACGCACGTCGCCAACTCGGGGAGTCTGGCGTGCGTGCTGCCGGGGAATCTGACGCTGGCGGAGGATTACCGGTTTGCGGTGATGGGGGCGCAGGGTGGCGAGGATGTGCGGTATTCGGCGGTGTTTCGGGTGGTGGATGGGGATGAGGAGGAGAATAGTGATGGGAGGGAGGACGGGGACGAAGGTGAGGAGAATGAGGATGAGGATGAGGATGATGATGGGGTGAAGGATGTGCAGGAGAAGGATGAGGAGGATGAGGGGAATGAGGCTCATGCTGCGGAGACGAGTGCTACGTCTACGGAGAGTGGGCTCGCCACTGGTTCGACGGGGGCGTTGAAGTCGGATTCGACGTGGATTGCGACTGCGGGGGGATCCAGGGTGGTGAGGACTGGGGGATGGGTTGCGCTTGGGATGGCGGGTGTTTCGTTGCTTCTTTAGGGTTGGGCGTGTGGCTCTACTGAGCGAGGCCGTGTTGCATCTTTCTGTCGGGGCTTTATTAGCGTGGATTGGTTAGCCATTGGATTATGATAGTAATATGTTACACAATGTTGAATCTGGCTGAAGCTGCTTCATATTCGATGTATTCACTTACCGTTCTCACCCTTCTCAGCTATAGTGTAGTCGTCTGGCACCATTGGCTGCTATCTTTATCTCATCTTGCCAACAGTGACCGTGCGATGTCGTGCAGCCATCGGATTCGTGGACTTCAGCACCGAGAGCCGTCACAGTCACTGGATCTCTGGGTCGTAACCCTGCTAAAACGTGCGGCACGATGGCTAGCGCTCAATCAAGACCCTGTCAAGCAGGCCATGGCGTCCTAGGTTCCTCTCGTACCCCACGCAAGAAATCCGGGTAAATCCGTTCGAAGACCTCACCACTTCAGCGTGAAGTCATTCCATGAGAGACCTCTACATGCCAAGAACAGGAGAACAAGGAGAAGAGGCGAGAAAGTCACCTTAGCCTTGGTAAGACAGCATGGCACGGACGCTGAACACGACCCATGACTCCATTCGCCAGCAAGCAAAGGTCCAGCCAAGTCTCACAAAGTGATACTCAGACCAGGCCTGATAAAGTGAGAGGCAGAATGCTCCACCTTCGCTTCCCTCTGCTAAAAGCAGGCACTACAGAAGCTGGCCCCACTTTCAGGGTGCTTCCTCTCAGATGGGATGCGGGGTTCGTATTAGTCGCGATCCTCGACCCCGGGGATACCAGAAACTGCTTCAAACCTAATCGTTAGAGCCTTATGGAAATCTAGCTCAGGAGCAGTCTGGGAGTTCGGTTCGAGAGACCCATCCCGCCGGGAAACCAAACAAACGCCTGCCCAGATGGATCCATGTGGCGATCCCCGTAGGTCTGGTACTTAATCTTACGAGGCGGCCAGCCCAATACGCCGGGCAGTTGAGCGGCTGTAGTACCCGCTATCACGGCCATACTTTACGAGAACTCGATCTTCATCCTCAGAAGCAATGTCTGTAGCTCGTGAATCTCATCAAGATCTTCTTCAAGCATTCAGTCGTGAGATCAGAGATCGCATCTCTGCAAGACGAACGACCCGGTCTAGACCTGGGCACCTTGTCTATAAAATGCTCAATGCATCCTGGACAACCCTGTATTTTTTCTCCTCATCATCATCAACAACAAACAATCACAGAGCAACACAAAGAGCCTCACCCAAATCCCTTCGGACCACCCATCCTCAATCAAGATGCAGTTGAAGAACATCCTCGCCGTCTTTGCCGCCCTCAACCTCGTCACCGCCGCCCCGACCCCCGACGAGGACGACCTCGAATTCATCGACGGTCCCGAGGGAAGTGCCGATGAGTTTGATATCGTGAAGCGAGGCCAGGCCACTTTCTACTGCAAAGGGGCTGTCGTCAATAGCAAGGATAAAGGTGGCGTGGCCGGGACCAAATGCGGGCTGTCGTGTAAGTGCTAAAACACCGAGCGCTCATTTGTTAGGCAAAGGACAGTTCTGACAGAGCGGGTTCAAAAGATGACTATGGCTGCACCAACCTCGTGTGCTACAGTGGCAAGTATATCGCCTGGCCAGCTCCAGTACGTTATCCTCCACCACTCCAGTCTTCAATGCAAGGAAGCCACTAACACACTGGGACCACCAGAAATATGGCAAGTGGGATTCCTACATCGTCTGCAGCTAGACGCCTCAGCGTGGCTGCGAGAACCGAGCGATGCACTTCTGCTGTGCTAGCTCCATGTTGTGCAATGCATTGGAGATGATCTACCCCAAGGCAACGATTCTTGGTGAATATGGATCGTGAGGGAAAGCGGAATTTTGTGTATTGGTGTAGCGACGAGCGAAAACCGAGAGGAAATGTAATCAGTATTCCTTAGTTGAATTGGATTTATTATTCTTTTTCAATCAAGTCACGAACAGTGGATAATATGATCCAGGATGATGTATGCCAAGCAGATTAAATCTTAGGGCTAGATAATCAGTGGTCGATCCGTATGTTCTTCCATGGAAAGGTCGGATTCGCCGTTTGCGGTCGGTCGCGCCACGAGCTGGAGCCCTTGTCCGTCCCACAGCTCAAAATGCTTTTCCAACCAGGCTTGCATTATATATTCCAGTTGCTAAGATTCACGATGACTTTTCGTTCCTCGAGATTTCCGCACTGCGCTCTTCAAGCACACGGAGAACCGGGATCGGCGGTCCAGATCTGGCAGCCGGGTAGTTTGATAAGAACGAAATAGCCACGAACAGCCGCGGGTATCCGTCGCAGAACGGCCATGAAACCTTTTCTGCAAACGGACCCGTCACAGGTTTGCTACTGAGCAAGCCAAGAGGACATGTAGTCTGTAGTATACTTCCACAAGAACGGAAAGCACCGCTCGAATCATTCGACAACTTCTGCTTGTCAACAACGGTGTGATTCCACGAGTCTTTATAGTAGGACTGGAATCGCATATAGACGTATATACCCAGTCGGTCAACGTTCTTCATTCTACAATGAATGCTGACTCAACACCAATGGCCCAATACCTCAGCTATCAAGTTCCTCAACAGTCGACTTGCGCCTGTAGACCGACGCCGGAACTCCTGCTCCTTGCAAGTGGCACGGAATCACAAGCAAGCTTGACTGAAGGGACCCTACAAGTGATAAGCAGCTGCTGCGGATGGAAAATAGCAGTTCTGTCAACACTTAGTAAGATTGATACTCTGTTACGGACTGGAGTTGAGCATGATCCTAAGCTTCGATAATGAAGACTTGAATCTCTTGCTTTCTTCAAACGATTTCTATCTCTCGCAAGTGAAGCGGAATACCCCCGTATCTCCGGCTTTGCGTCGGCTACGGCCATGCGTCTGGGGGCAGATCGATCGTGTTTTTTTGTCCGGCCAGTCTCAGCCAAGACCGGGGAGATCCACTTTTTCTCAGGAAAAATGCGGGGTAAGGGGACGAAAGGCGTGGCAGGGAACGTGATACTCGTCTCCTGGAATTGAACTATAAATATCGATCTCCCGTAGCAAGAACAACTGAGATCTTGGAGCCATTGTGCGCCTATTGTGGCCTCTTCAGCGATTATCAAGCTTCTGCTAGAATTACGAAAGCCCGATCTATAAAGGGTTCTCATCCAGAAGCTAGGCTCCGCAAATGTCTCACCGTGCTGAGTCGGTCAGGTTTGACCTGCAACTGGAGAGTGCGCGACACAGCATGGAGGAAGATGTGTCGAAAAAGGCTCCCCCACAGAATGACAGCCCCGGGGATCCGTTTGGGGAGGAGGTCGAAGGGCAAATGCAGTACAAGACATTAAGTTGGTGGTATGTGAATCACACCTGACGCCTTGAAAACACTAACAGAAACTCTAGGCAATGTGGGATGCGTACGTCGTCCGCCTCTTTGAATATCGATGACACAGCCATTTACAAATAGTAGTAATGATCGCCGAAACCGTGTCCCTGGGGATCTTATCGCTCCCAGCGGCTGTTGCAGCTCTGGGGATTGTTCCGTACGTTGCCCCTTCTCCTGCAAAAGTCGCAACTCGCTCATTGTGGCCCAGATCAATCATCGCCCTGCTCGGGCTAGGATGCATGGCAACATACACAGGGTACGTGATCGGACAGTTCAGATGGCGATATCCGCATGTGCACAGCATGGCCGACGCAGGGGAGGTGCTGTGGGGCTCGTTCGGCCGTGAGCTGCTAGGAGGGGGCCTCATCCTCCTCCTCATCTTCGTGATGGGCAGCCATCTACTGACCTTTTCGGTGGCGATGAGCACAATGACGGAGCACGCGACCTGCTCCATTGCCTTTAGCATCGTGGGCTTCGCCATCTCGCTACTCTGCACACTACCGCGCACCATGCGAGGAATGACCCTCATGGCTATCATCTGTACGTGGTCGCCCACTCCAACCCTTGCCCAAACATACCACATCTAACCCTAAAACCAGGCTTCATAAGCATCCTCTCCGCCATCTTCGTGGTAACCATCGACCTCGGCATCATCAACAAAGACCACTACCACGCCACCGCAGTCCACCGCACCGACCTCAACAAAGGCTTCCTAGCCATCACCAACATGGTCTTTGCATTCGGTAAGCCCTCCCCCTGCTCCCTCACCCCAAGCCACAACCCCAACTAACCCAAGCATCCAGCCGCCCACGCCGCCTTCTTCAGCTTCATCTCCGAACTCAAACACCCAAAAGACTACCCCAAAGCCCTCTACCTCCTCCAAACCATCGACACAACCCTCTACATCCTCGTCGCCGTGCTCATCTACTACTTCGCCGGGCCGACCGTCGTCTCCCCGGCATTGGGCTCTGCCTCGCCGGTGGTCCGGAAGGTCGCCTACGGAGTGGCCTTGCCGACTGTACGTTTCCCCTTACTTCCCCTTCCAATCCATCAATTCCCTTCAACCTCCACCCCACCCCACCCCACCCCTAGAAGACCAGATCACACTGACTCCTCCCCTGTCCGGGGGCCAAAGATCATCATCTCCGGCGTCGTCAACGGCCACATCGCCTGCAAATACATCTACATCCGGCTCTTCCGCGGCACGGACCGGGTGCACGCGACCGACTGGACGAGCTACGCGCTGTGGGCGGGGATCGCGCTGGGCGTGTGGGCGCTGGCCTGGGTCATCGCCGAGGCGATTCCGAGCTTTAGCAATATCTTGAGCTTGGTGGTGCGTTTCCCCCCGCTCCCCCTTTCCCCTGCTCTTTCTTCTGCGGGTGCGAAAAAGATAAGGTGAAGTCATGGGAGGTTGAGATGTTAACTTGACCGTGCATGGGATTAGGCTTCGTTGCTTGCGACGTGGTTTACTTGTACGTTGTTCTTCCCTTTCCCTTGTTGATCTGTGTATGGAGTGGGAATAGTCAAGCTAACTGCTGGTGAGGGGGATGGCTTAGACGGACTTCCGGGGATTTTCTGGCTGTATCTGAACTGGGGGTTGTGGTTCAGCAGCCTCGGGAAGTTCGCCTTGACGGTGGTGAATGTGTTTATGTTTTGCGCCGGGGCGATTATTGTGAGCCCCTCGGTGTGTGAGATGTCTATGCTGAGAGGTGAAACTAATGAAGGATGCAGTGTGGCCTGGGGCTCTACGTTTCTGGGAAAGCAATCCATGAGACGCCCGCGCAGGCCTCGTTCTCTTGTGCTAGTTCTTGAGGGTCACAAATAGAGGGTTCCTAGGTTTGTTGGCGTAGAGGTACGGAATCGGATAGAGGGCAAGCACATGCAGAAGTCAATAGGGTCTTGGAAATAAAAGGAAGACTAGCGTTGAAGGACCTGGACATTAAATAAAATATACTACACCCAACCATAAACAACAAACACTCGCCATCACGGCATAATCAAAACACGCACACAACAAAAACTACCACTTGAACTTCTTCGGCACAAACCGACTTGCCTGACTCTGTAGAAATCCCTTCTTCTCTTGCTCCGCCTGCGGCTCAGCAACAGCCTCCGACTCCGGAGTCTCCTTCGTCTCAACGCCTGGCTCCTTCTCCTCACTCTTCTGCCGCCGCTCGATGATCTCCACCGCCCAGCCCATCGAAGCCATCTTCGCGAACATGAGCGGCGTCACCTTGTTCTTCCCCTCCGTCGATGGATCCGCCCCAGCGTCGAGCAGCAGCTCCACCGTCCGCTCCCACGAGGCTTGCCCATCTAGATCGGCAAGGAGCTCCGCTTGGCCCTGGGCGCGCAGCTCATGGGCGATCGCCCCGGCGGTCTGCAAGAACAGGAGCAGGGGCGTGCGGTGCTCCTCATCCTTGGCGTCGACGTCCGCCCCGTGATCAATGAGCCGCTTCGCCATGACCTCACTGTCCATGCCGACAACGGCGACATGGAGCGGCGTCTGGCCGACGCTGTCGCGGGTATTCACGTCAGCGCCGTGGGCGAGCAGTGCGTCGACGGTCCTTTCCGCGTCCTTGACCTTCGCAGCGATGTGGAGAGCGGTCTGCGCTGTGTTGATGGCATGGTAGGTGTCGATGAGCGTCTTGGACGCCTTCCACGCCGCGAGACCCTTGGCGGCCAGGCCCATGCCGACGGTGGTCTTGCGGTTGGAGTCTGCGCCGCCCTTGAGGAGGGCTTCGACGAGGGCTTCTAGCCCAGGGACCCCTGCCGCTTTGTGAAGAGGGGTGATGCCGCTGCTGTTGGTGACGTTGGGGTCGGCGGAGTGGGCCAGGAGCGTGGTCACCGTTTCGACGGAGCGGCCGTCGATGGCATAATGCAGCGCGGTGTTGCCGCCGCTTCGTGTGAAGATGTTGGGTCGGGCGCCGGCTTTGAGCAGTTCCTTGACCATCTTGGGGCCCGCATCGGAGCGTTCGGCGGCGGCGAAGTGCAGGGCTGTGCGACCGGGGTGAAGGAGCCCGATGGTCGTCGCATCGACGATGGCCCCATTTTGCAGCAGCCAAGTGACCATCTCGACCGCCTCGGAGTCCGCCGCAATGTGGATCGCACTCCAGCCTGAGGTGTCGGGCGCCGCGACGGCCGATGGCAGCGAGAAGATGGACATATTCCAGGATGTGGCGCGATCGGCCAGCCACGGGAGGTTGAGCCGAGCGGACACGAAGAGCAAGCTGGTGCTAGTGGAGAAGCCGGAGTCTGATTGTAAAGCGGGACATGTTAGTGCTACGAACGATTCGAAGCGCTTGAACAATACGACTTACACTTTCCATGCGTCCATCGCTTCAGAAGATCATAGGCCTTCAACCAATTTTGCAAGGACACTGATTCTGCCTCGAAGAATCGCTTCATGCCAACCACGTCACTTTCTTCCCGAATCTGGCTTTCGCGGAGATGATCTCCAAGGAATTCGATGGAATACTGGAGGAAAGGATACCCCGCGAGGTATTCCTGTCTAGTCTTGGTAAGCTCGACTTCGTCGATCTTCCAGTCTTTGTTCACCGGTGGCTTGGGGACATCGTGGCGCTGAATCTCCTCGAATTGCAGATATGCCAAACAGACCGAAGCCATCTGCCGATGGGCATCGGACTTGCTCATCCCGAATCGGGGATAGTCTTTGGCCCCTTCCTCGCTGAAAACATGGGTCAAAAAGTCCTTGACAGACTGATGACTCAGATAGACAGCGCCACTCCGGACTGCGAAAAGAGTGCCCCAGCTGTTCTCGATATTCTGCCGCAACGCCTGCAGATCCTCCTCGCTTGCGCTTGCGCCCGTATACTCCTTCCCTTCCTGGAGCGTGAGAATCACATCCAACTCCCGCAGAGTCAATGGACGACAGGCGAAATAGATCCACATGAGCAGTGTGCGCAACCGACCGACCACGTCCCGCGACTGTCGCTCCAAGAATGCGCTGTAGAAGGCCTCGACATCGGACGGGATGTTGTGCAGCCTTTCCTTGACCCGGGCCTCGGTCCAGACACCCTCCCAGGTAGACAGGTCATCAAGAACCAGCGACAACCACATGAACATGCCCTTGGAGCTTTCCTTAAGTTGGCCCGTGATATCTTCGCGAAGTGTGTCCGGGAACTTGCGATATTCCTGGATGCGACGAACCCTTCGCTCGGCGACTTGCCTGATGTCCTCCTGGTTCCCCTCGGGCATGTGCACCGTGAACTCGGGAAGCATTTTGTCGGAGACAATGGCACTGCCTCGGTCCGAGATGATGCACCGGAATGTGAACTTACGGCCCAGGTCGTTTGCCTTCTTACTGATTCTGGTGGACAAATCATCAACAATCCGGAGGATAGGAGCGATGAAATGCCCGCATTGATCTAGTCCGTCGATGACAAAATACAACACTTCCAGACTAGGATCAGCCACGATATCCTCGATGATTCGAAGCAGTACATCGCGTGAGTGGAACTCGTCCACGTCAATCGTGCTGCCGTTGGATGACCCCTGCAAGTCTTCAAGATTTTGCACGTGCTGCAGTGCATATTTGATAAGACCGCGGTTCTGCTGTAGCAGCTTGTAAAGCAAGGTTCTGAGAACCCAGATGGGAGCCTTGCGGTGCTCGTTTTTATCATCGCAAAAACAAGCCACCGCGATCGTCTTCCCAGGTGTTCCAACCTCTGGGCTCAGGATCACATCCTCAGTCAAGGAAGGCGATTGGGGGCTGGTGCTTGAGCGCAGGCTGGATTGGATAGCTCTTGTGAAATATTTCAGTAGTACAGTCTTCCCACTGCCGGGGATCCCTCGAATGTACAGCGGAGTAGTTGTTGGCGGATCGGTTTGGATCCAGCTCCGAAAGGCTGTACATTCGAAAATCCATTCACAGGTCCCGGGAAACGCGCGAGCGATGTCATGTCGGTCCCCGGAGTCGCCTGCAACTAGTGCGTCGAGCAATTTCTCTTCGACCGTCTTCTTCTCGCCTGCAGACCAAAGCAAGTGTGTTAGCGTGCGCCCAAGGCAAGTCACAACTCATCACCAGGCGCATTTTACCCATATAGACGGAAGCTCCGGCAGCGATGGTAACCTGTTGAATGGCATCACTGTAGAACGATGCTTCCATCGAGCCATAATTCTGGCCCATCTGAAGGCCAGAGTTGGTCGAATTGTTGAACGCGGCTGACGCCGGTGGTGGTGCCTGGAGCTATAGTGTCAGCATTAGGGCCACAACGTCGACCTATCTACCTCTTCTCAACCGAAGCACAATACTTACCGTGTCAACCATCGTACCGGATTCTCTCCCCAAAGAATACCACAGTCTTGAATCTTGAATCTTCCAGACTGCAGCGCGAATAGAAAGACGCACGGTCGTACGCAAGTCGTTGTTAAATAAGACCGATCTGATGGGATGCAGCCGGTGCAGCAAGCAAGTTCTGATTGACAGTAAGCAGGGGCTGCATCTCCGTATCTGCTGAAAAGGTCAACACTGCCTCGATTGGGTGCCACCGGGATGGACGGCGTTCTCCTAGTCGGATTCAATTGTCAGAAGACTTTCAGCCCTCCGCGGCGCGGGTGTGATTATAAGTGCAGATTCCAGCTGCATCCAATGAGGGGGCAGATATGCACCTCGCTTGCAGTCGCCCAAACAAACCACTCCCCGTCAGCATCGATCAGCGCTCCCACCTCATCCCGATGACACCCCCTCCTTCTCCTTACTCCGTACAGTTCATCTAACTTCCTGCAGGAGATGGTCCATGGCCGAGCCCCTCTCCCATCACCACACGCACGCACGGCACCCGTTCGGAACAGCGTGGAAAGCAAGCAGTCTATATTGACTTTTAGCGCCAGCCATTCAGTTTGTGGATCATGGAAATTGCGGAATCATTGGACCAAAGTACCACCGTCGCGATTGGGCCTCGTTTGGGATTATTGCAGCTGCTGGATCTGTGATTGTCTCTCCTGAGGGACGATGCCCGATCCTCGGGATGCTCCTCATCATCAGTTGGGACATAAATTCGGTCGGCCCCAGCACGAAAGGATAGTCCCTGTCACTATCACCACTGGCCCGACCGTTATCTTAACATATATTTGTGATCGAAAGCTTTGTAGTGCCAATGGAACTGAAGGTGATCCGGGACCCCGGCGACGCTCGCGTGGAGTAAGTTACACCACATCTCTTAAGTGTACGACGTTACAACGTTATTTTCCTGGAACTCTCATGCTCGGGGAATACTGATTATGGAACTCTGAAGCATTGTTTTCGTCCACGGTTGGCATGGCGAGCAGCCCGGCTGGACCTCTGCCGCCAAATCAGTGTTCTGGCCAGAGAAGCTCTTTGCGAGCAAGGTTTCCGAGGCGCGCGTATTCTCGTTTGAGTACGATGTCACTCTCGAAACGTTCTGGAACGAGGAAGACCTTATTACCGAACTTTCGAACGAGCTAATGGACCAGCTTATGGATCAACGCACTGAGCCGGAGAAGGTTGCCCCGCCCCCTTCCCTGTAACCTTCCCAGCTGCTGACAATACGACCAGGAGAAACGAGCTGTGATTCTTGTAGCGCATTGCCTTGGAGGGTTGATCTGCGAAAATGTAGGCTTCCTGGCGTGCAGCCTAGTCGCCCCCCTCCCGGATACCCCATTGAATCAAAGGTTGACAAACAAGCATAGGCGCTCGTCCAAGGAGCTGAGCACAACGACCGGAAAGCCCTTGTCAGCTGTGTCAAGGGGCTCCTTCTACTTGGGACCCCACATTACCACCCTGGGGTGTTGAGTGAAGCAAACAAGTACTTCGAGCTAGCGGGAGAAGAGGCCCCTAGCGAGTTTGGCCTGGAAGAAAAGTCAGACTGGGTGATGGGGATCCCGCGCGAGTTCGCTAAGCTCCGTGCCGCCGGGTTGGAGATGGACATCCAATGTTTCTACGAGGGATCCCCTACCGATCTCAACGGGAAGGGAGTCAAGATCGTGGAGATGGCCTTGGCGCGGTGCCCCGACGGGCCTCCCGCAGAGCGGCTGGCAGCCAACCATGTGAAGATGAGTCAGTTCGAGGATGAGAATGATCGCGACTTTGTCAAAGTGCTGCGGGTCCTGAAGAAATGGGTGGCTAAGGTTCCCGCCCCGGAGAAAGATGGAGGCACTACAGTCAACAATGTCTCTCACGCCTCCTTTGCGGGATCGACAAACTCGGGGTATCAGTTGGGTCAGAATGTCGGTAATCAAAGTGGGTTCGTTTTTGGAAGAGCATAGTGGTGGAAATGGTATCGTGTGGTTTATCAGGATGATGAATTCTAGCTCTGAAGCTTTCAGGAATGATGATATCGTGCATCGAGTGCTGTTGTGTGACCTTGAAACTGTGTAGACTGTGGGCGAGTAGGCAAGACAGATGCAGTCGGCGGTGCAAATCACCCCCATTGGCGTAAGGCATGAAGTCTCGCAGCCTACTTGACGCCTGGGACAGAGCTTCGCCTGTATATTGATAACAAATCAACCAGAAATCAAGGTGCTACTTCCGTGACCAACCCGATTGGTCGCCAGACGGGCCACTTGGACGGCCGGGATCGAACATGGCCCTATGGCCAACACACGGTCCAAGTGAGGGGCGACTGGAGGGGTTCCACCGAAGTTTGACAAGTGTATCACGGACCCACGGGAGTTAGAACCATGACAAACATCCATAAGCCCTTGTAATCGGATATACCCGGAGGGGTGCCATGCAGATGGTCCGTACGTGGGTATCTGCTATTGGTGTTGCTGCCTGCCGCGGGCGCTACGGTGGCTAGCTGATGAGACGGGAAGGCCCTGTGAGAAAGTGCCAACCTCAGCTTGCCGGAGTGTCCGACATCGCGCCGTTGGCTGTGCTGGAGATAGATTGCAGAGCACGGCAGCGCCGAGCACTGCACCGTAGGCGAGGCGTATCACAAGACGTGGGGTTGGAAACCGTGTGTGGACTGAGAAGAACCACTGTCCGTGCGATCGGTCAATCTTATCTGGTGTGAACTTCCCACCACAGGGCATGGTGGCCTTGAACCTGTTTCCAGGGCCTGATCACTTCTCTTATTGAGTCTCTACTACACATGACCTTGACGAAGATGGCAATCGAAGCAGCAAGCAATGCATCGGCCGAGGCGTCCGACCTTGCCCAGTTGTGGCAAGGCGCCGTGGAGGACTATGAGAAGAGAACCGGGAAGAATCTGAAACTGGGCCAATTCAGGAGTATGAACGATGTGATGGCAGGAACGGAAGGCCTTGCAACCAGATTCAAAGACTTTCGCGATGATAAATCGAAGATGGCCAAAGTCCGCACCGCGTTGAAGAACAACATGTGGATCATCCAGAAGGTCGTCAACACTATCCAGACGGTCGGAACTGCGGTTTCGGTGAGGTTGAAGTCAATTCACAACATATGGCATCATTTTTGACTCGTAACTCACAGGCATTTCCACCTGCCATGCCGGCCAGTTTGATCTTCACGGCCTTTGGCCAAGTCATGCAGGTATGCGATCACTGCAAAGGAGGGTGTGGTGTGTCTTGCACCGGCACGTTTGGCTAAATCGAGCCTAGTCATTCGCCGATACATCTGCAGACTATGACAAGATCATGGGCTTCTTCGAGTTCACACATCGCTTCTTCGATCGACTTTCGATCATCGAGGAAAGAACACCGGCTCTACCTCCATTCCAACGATGCGTCACGCGCGTCTTCTCCAGCATCCTCAAGATCTGCGCCGTCGCGCAGAAGTATGCCGCGGAGAAAAGGTTCAGTATGTGCTTCCGCTTTGTTCTTCGGGTAATGTTCAATTTGTTGAACCGTGGCTAATGCTGATAACACCCGTCAGAGAAATGGTTCGAGAATCTGGTAAAAGGAGCCGATGGAGATCTTACCGCAGCAAACAGCGAGATGGAAGAAGCCATCAACGAGCTAAGTCAAGCCGTGGGTCTAGCGACCCTGAGAACAGTCGAGATCATCGACGAGGTTGTCAAGAGCATGAACGGGCAGGTAGAATTCCTCGTCGCGAACGCCACCCTCCTCGATGAGCGAACCGAAGCGATCCAGTCGAACACCAATACCATCATGGAGCAGAATCAGGATCTCGGGTCCAAGCAGGATGCAATGACGCAGTTGCAGAAAGAAACACTGGAGATGGTGAGCGAGCAATCCCGGCTATTCAGCAGCGTGGTTGGCTACTTCGGGTCGGTTCAGATGGGCGAGAACTTTGGCGACAGCTTCAAGACCAGCGTGTTGAAGCTCGGGGTGGTGAGGCTGCGATTGGCGCGCTGGGGGCAGTCGGTCGGCCTAGCCAATGTCAACGATGTGCACTCCCTGGAAGAGTCGAAGCTCTCACCTGATGATATACCCCGTGTATCTGAGCTCCTAGAAGGGATTCTCGACCAGTTTGCTGATGCTGAGAGAATCTCGAAGCGATTCCAGTTGCGTCACCGCAACGCGACCGCAGTTCTTGATCCTACCAAGGACCTGGACAAGGTCGCTGCATCGCTGCATCAGAAGATAAATGATCTCTCTCTTCGACGACAGGGAAACTCGGATGCAGAGCCCAATAAAGAGTTGACATTGTACGAAGAGAAGAATTTCACGAGACTGATCGAGGACATTAACGAGTTGGTAAATGACCTGGTCGAGTTGTTCCCAGGGATCGAGGATGCGCAACGCAAGCTTGCAGAGGAAGAGGTGTCGGAGATGAAGAGCATCAAGGGCGCGCTACCTATCCTGAAAGAAGTGGCTGCCGATCAAGACAATCTGTTGACTGAGACCGTTGTTAAGGTGATCCAACAAACCTCGACGACGACATACACCAACTCGGTGGTGTTCTCAGGAAACAACTCGGGATTTCAAGTGGGAAACAACGCGGGGAGAATCAGCAAAGTGCGGTGGAACTGAGTGGAGACAAAGAGTATGTAGAAGCATCTAATAATGAACACTGGAACGGTCAAGTTGATGTTGTAGTGATGGTAAAGTAGCAGTAGCTGCGTGTTCTACGAACTATGACATAGTGTGGGGAGATAGAACGTAGAAATGTAGACTCTTGTACCGGTCGCCTACTTCGGCGTTATTTCGTGAATGTGCTCTTAGAGCGGTTAGTGATTGTTGGGCTATGTTTATTAGATGGGTAGGACTCGGTAACCAGCAGGGCCGATGGCGTACTTAGCAACACACTGGCTGATCGTAGAGGCAAACGCCCTCGGTCCTGTGTTCGAACCCCGGCTGGCACTTCCAGACGCTGGCTCTACCATTTCGGGATTCAACGGTATGAAAACACCCGGGGATAAGAGGGGTTTTCGTAGCACTGTTCGGGGATAAATCCTCCAACAGTGTGAGCCTTTTGCTATTCTATTCTAGTTCCTTTTTTGATTTATTTATTTTTTTTGGTTTTATTTTACACTGCAGTTACAGGAAAGTGTCGCTCGAAGCCATGGTCATTACTCAACAACCATCACGATTGCGAATTCTACTCGCACAAGACCCTGTCTTTCTAGATCTCAATACAAGTCGCCAAACTTCAGAAAGGGTGATCATCCTTCCAAATACCCTGCGCAATCCATACAACACCATCTCTGACCTGTTTGTACGCAGGATTAAAACCTGAGTCATATCTGACCATCTCGTCGTGCGTCGTGTTGAGGTAAATATGTCGAGCATTTCGGGTCCCCTACCGATGTCTTGTCAACCAGCGCTTTTGTTAGCACTCACGGGTCAATAAGCATCTCAACATGCGTTTTTACATGATCTGACCCATGCTCGTGACCATAGACTGTCCGAAAATCCCGGCTGATTTCCTCATACCGTCGCAAGGTATGAAGTAGCCAAGACGCTTCCTCGAAGTAAGCATCATCCGCCGCATGCGCCCCTCCGCTATGGGCCAAGTAGCTCTCCAAGCCCTCAAGTCTGGCGTCCCTTTCTGGGGTACTCATATAGAGGACCCCGCATGTGGACCTCTTTACTTCGTGAAGATTTCCATCGGGGTGGGAGGCGGAATAGAGCAATGCCTGTCGAGGAAGTGGTTGGAAACCCGCCTGGCCATCTTAGGGGTGCAGGGGCAGACATACATTCTTGACAATCGACCCTCCTGCGCTATGGGCAACGAATATAAGTGGACGTTGGTGGGTCTATGCTCGGCTTGGTATCAGCCTTCATCCCGATAGCCACACCTTGATTAGCATTTACCTTTGAGCCTGCTCTGTGTTGCCACAGATCACTAACTAGTTTCTGTGATAGTACCTGCATCAGAGGTTCTTTGCCAGCACAGCTTGTGTCCGTGGAGCTATATCCCCATGAGTAGGTATTGATATTTGGGGTGTCTTGAGGGAGCACGTCCCGCAGCCAATTGACCCCCGACGCACTTGTCCAGGAGTCTTGCGGGTGGCCCTTCCAACCATGCACGGCGACCAGGCTAATATCAGTTACTCAGAGATATAGGAATAAAGGTCGCTCAAGAGTGCCCGTACTCAATTTCTGGGTCTGGAGAGGTATGCACAATAGTGAGACGTGTCTTGATATCCTCCTCTTGTGTTGACCGGGGTGCGTCCTACTATCAATCAGAGAGGATAATGATGGGCCGGTCGGGGTACTCAACGCTTCGGGAGGCATCGGATTTTGCGAAGAAGCGAATGCATCTGAACGGCATGATGATTTGATTTTACCTCATGTCAAGAGCAAGTGGGGACCGCATCGCTGACCTGATGTTCTTGATTCAGCCTGCGGCGGGGTGTGGGGCACCTGCGGTTTGTGCCATCCTTATTCACCGAGTTATGCACATATTATCCACCTACCGTACGTATAGTCCGCTCTGCCAGTATGCCTCTTGTTATGCTCATCACCCGCGTGATTACGACCCATCCTTGTGTAGATGACTGAGACCCCGAAGTCCATAAGTATATAGTTTCGCCACTAAATGTCCCATAATACCACGGGCCAAAGATCCTTATAACAGTCTAACCCTTCTTGCAAAGGTCAAATACGCGCGTCGGACACACTGCTAGACAGGTGCCGTTGAGATATGCCTCGACCGGTCAAGCATGTGGCGGCCTCATGAAGCAGAAGAGGAGAACATTTAGGAGACTGAAACAGCAGCTGAGGATGGTCCAGGGGTATACGTGAGCCTTGCTGGTGCATCCAGCTGGTCGATGAAGCGAGCTCGCCTTAATTGCGCTATCATCAAGTGCAGGGCAACCATGACCTCTCCCGGCAACATTTTGTCGTCGGTCTCCGCTCATGTTGCGTTAGACAAATGTTTTGATATTTGGCTTGAACCCTCGCTGAACACAGGGGATATATGTCAGACGTGCATCTCATGCGGTCTACGCGAACCGTCCTTGACGACAAATTGACCAACGATGCCTCAGAAAGAGGTATTTTGTCTCTTCCCATGAACCTTACCAAGAGGGTAAACTTGTACAACCGAAGAAGAAATCAAATAGAATGTGCAATAGACGATTGATGCAGGTGAAAGCGCCATTCGATAGCCGTGAACATCACGCCCGCCTCGAAAAATCACAATACTCCCTCTGATGAGTTTCCGCCTCCGTCGACACCTGCATGGTGCATGGTAACATACGTCTGTATTATTGTCTTCATCATAATCCCATCCTGGTCCAGATGATCGGGGGTGCTGCCAGTAACGATGGCATCCTGGCTCCCCAGCGTCGTATCGGCCAGACCCCGACGCCGATGGGCCTTCCGAGCGCTTCGTTGCTGCAAATGACTCGTTCCGGGCAATTGCGCGCCGTGGGAATTTTTGGCCGTGCTGGAGCCGAAGATTGAGGGAGCGTACGCCTTGATCAGGACGGAGAGGGAAGGGGCGCAGCCGCAGAAAATGGCTGAAACCGATGAACATAGTCCAGTTAGATCGCGAGTATTTCTCGACTAGAATCAGGAAGGGAGGCAATAACGTACCAACGTAAGCCTCGATCGTGCACCAATTGAGAGAGTCAGCCAGAAGGAGGTAATATTCCTCTTCGGCGGAGGTAAGTCTCCTCACGAAGTTGTAGCGAACGCAGGCAGCTATTATGCAGCATATATATCAGTCGAAATTCATGTGGGTTTCATGAATGGGAGGAGACAATACCAACCAGCAATGGATAGAATCCCGAGCCCAAAGACTCCCAGGATAGCCCCCTTCTTGCGCCAGGTCACCTGTAAGCCGTAGAGCATTGGAACGGGGAGGAGATAGATCAGGATGTCCGTCACGATGTTCAACACGCCATTAACCTCGTAAAATAGCTGCTGTGCGTCTAGGGACATGCAGCGGCTATCCCCTGTTGGGTTCGTCCAGAACAAGGATGGAGGACTGCAGCTGGCGAGTGAGCCGATGAAGCTCGCGAGGGATAGTCCGATGTTGAGGAACATAACGAGGAAGACAGCCCAGCGCATGGATCTACGGGGATCCAGGCGCAGGTAGAACCACAGTAAGGACATTTTGACCAGCCCCATAGAAAGCGTGTAGAAGATACGCGTCACCCAGATGCACTTGCCGGTGGCTAAGGTTAGGGAATAGTGTACGTAAAATGAATATTTCGAGGCGTACCTTTAGCATAGGCACAGTGTCGCTTTCCGTTATGGCAAGCGCATGTTTTCCGATCCCGTATTGGGAGCCGATCATGATTGTTATCGATAATCCGAAGTTGAGTATCTGGTCGACTGAGTGTGAGTGGAGATGGTTGGTGGTAGGGTCTCATGTCGCTCACCGCGCCGATTATCATCAGAACTAGACGTGTTTCTTAGTTTCGTCTCAAGAGCTGAGCGTTCAATTGACTTACTATCGTCCGTCCCCAGAGCGCGCAGCATGAAAGCACGGGCATAAATGCGCAGCGTGACAACGAGGGAGTCAAAAACGATGAAGCCAATGCCCACGCCAAAGATTGCCGCATGTCGTGTCTCGGAGATATCGTCTGGGAGCCCTGACCTTTGAGCGATAGCCATCTTCGACGTCTGGAGGATGTGCCATGAAGCAAGCACGGCCAGGGGTATTAGCAGGCTAAGTATGAGTCGCCATGCTGTCTGAATTGTAGTGGTCTGGTCCGGAATGTCTGGCTCACACAAAGAACAATTTACATCCTTGTCAACTCATCGGTCCAGAGATTCGATCAGCGGCAGCTTCGAAGCAGGCTGGGTGCTTTCAAATTGGGAGTGGAGTTGACGGCTAGCTTCTTTGACCGCTGCACACTAGAATCCTAGGGCTTACTAGGGCTTCCTCTGTAGACAGGGTATAAGGTCCCGAACGAATGATGTCCACAAGTTGGATTATCATGAGATTACGAATATCTCATAGGGGCTCCACTTATAATCTGCTAGGGTAATAGTTTGCTATGGTGAGGGACGGCCCATCGATTGACCGGTCGGTTCCCACAGGAGGGCACATTCACCACCCAACAACATTCAGAGTAAGAGGGTTTTCTACAGCGAAGCCTTTGCTTGGGGACAGTATCGATCGGACTGTGGTCATTGCGCGTGGCATTTCATTTTGAAAGAGGGAGATTGGTTGAAACAAGCCTTCAGGGTTTGCAATCAAATCCACAGGGCAGGACGGGGAACTTCGGTGCCTGCCGATGTCAGTGGGCGGTAGGCAGGCTCCTTACTTTGCGCCTACGTAGTAGGGTTAATTTAAAGCACTTAATGTGGTGAAATGGCATGATACTGCGACCTATCCACGTACTCCACAATGCCCAATGCCCAGGCGAACAACATGTAGTGATTGGGGCAACGATCGATCGGCTAGCGCCTACTAGTCGATTGACATTTCCGCGTACCTCGGCTCTGTCTGGGTTCCACAAATAGGGACCAAAGCATTCGGAGTCCGGCCGGTCGTGGGTCATAACTTGGTGAGACACAGACCAGGGTATGATTCAGTAGTCGCTTGGCGGGCTGATAGGGGAACTGGCCGAATGAATCATTGACAGCTTCCATAGTTCGGCGGCCGAGGGTGCTGGTCTTAATAAATACTGCCCCTCTCGTCAAGGGAGTCTAGAAAGGAGCGAGCCTGTGGCCGCAGACACATCATTATCTCCTCAAGAAGAAAGGCAAAGCAGTCGCAATGGCTGAATCGGAGAATGTTGCATTGGTCTTTGGAGCCAGTGGTATCTCTGGCTGGGCCGTTACAAGTTGCGCTCTCTCTTACCCCACACCCACCACCTTTAGCAGAGTGATTGGCTTGACAAACAAATCATTACCGCTGGAGCAAAGCGGTTTGCCACATGATCCTCGTCTGGAGTTACACTGCGGTGTGAATCTACGAGGGACTCTGGCCGAGGTGGTTGCACGATTGCACGAGAAGGTTCCCAACCTAGAAGAGGTCACCCACGTGTATTATCTGGGTGCGTAAGACGCCTGAAAGAAATTGATACGTCATAATCTAACCATACCAGCCTACTCCAATGTAACTGCATGGTCGATGGACGTGATGGCGATCCGAGATGTCAACGTGGAAATGACCTACAACGCCGTGCACGCCGTCGACAAGCTGTGCAGGGCTCTGAAGTTCTTCGTGCTTCAAACTGGAACTAACGTATATACTTGCTCAGCTCAAACTCAAAGCTCCCGGCTGACCTTGCGCAGAATTACGGAGTGTCTGTCTTTCGCTTCCAGGAACATATCGAGATCAATCCTCCCTTGCGCGAGGACAACCCGCGCATTCCTTCGCCCTGGGGCGACGAGATCTTCTACTATGCGCAGGTCGACCTGATCAAGGAAGCTAACAAGGGAAAGTCCTGGAAATGGTGCGAAGTTAGACCCGATCAGATCGTGGGTGCGTCTTCCCTCCTCCCTGAGATTTGACCTACGCTGACACTGCCGATGTGCAGGCCACGTCCCAATTCCCACCAGCATGACCTACGTCGAGCCCCTCGCGCTCTACCTGATGCTATATCGTTACGTGTATGGCCCCGAAGCCACTCCTGTCTACCCCGGTTCCTACGCGAACTACATTCACTCGCATACACCCTCGTCGCAGGATATCATCGCCCGGTCGGAGCTCTACCTTTCGCTCGAGAAGCCGGACCAGGCGCATGGAGAGGCCTTCAACACAGCCGACAACGCCACACCCGCACCGTTTTCCATCGTCTGGCCCAAGATGTGCGAGTACTTCGGCCTGACTGCCCAAGCTCCCACTCCCGATGTCAAGGGGTGGGCGGACATCGATAAGTGGTGGATCGCGCACCAGGACGACTACAAGAAGATGTGTGAAGAGTACAATCTACGTCCGCGCGAGATCCCCGCGGCGACATGGATCTTCCTGGCGGCAGGCATGAGCTTCCTGGCTCGCGACCGCGATCTGAGCTTGGATAAGATCCGGAGCGTGGGGTTCACGGAGGAGTACCCGGTGGCGTATGGGTATTTTCGGGTGTTTGGTCGACTGGCGCAGGAGAGGATTATTCTTAGCACGGAGGCTTGGTCGAAGTAGATTGGGGGACACGATGTGGGAACAAGCATGACCGCGGCTTATACATGTACAGTACACTCGTGTTAGTGATCCAGCTAATGGGTACATGCCTACGGCTTTGTATAGTTTGGGTTTGTATTGCGCGATATTGTGTGCTTTGCATTCCGGGCCTGTGGAGACAATTGTCCAATCGAGACCTTTCCCCTTCGCAGGCCTTCAATACCTGTGCTTCCAGGCTTTCAATCATGATCACCGGTCGAAGGTCTGTTGGTTCTCCATGTCGATCTGTACAATTGGCTTTCCATGACTCTTGCAGGTTTTCTTCCTATCAATCCTTTAAGGCCAGAAAACGCAGACAAAGAGCACTAATATATAGCTGGTTGAATAGTTAATCTAATAGATTAGAAAAGTTGTACTGTACCCCGTTTATCATATCTAGACCCAATAATTACTTCTCCATAAAGTATGATATAGATATGATGGGACCCCCTGGCTACGTACCCCTATGCATAATGTGGAGCCTGCGAGATGTGGCACATCGCATCATCTATGACGGTGGGTACCTACGATTTACAGACAAGTTACAAGTAATTCACATGGGTCGCTGGCTTCACTAGTTCAACTAGTTACATGCTAGTGCTTATGCACAGCCAGGGCTTGACTTGAATAGTGGGTATCCGGCGTGGACCTTCGGACCTATCCTTATGATTTTATGTACTGATGGGAGGTGTCTTGATACCATGAGAGTGGACTGAAGACTGCTAGCCATATCTCTTTAGCAACCCCTTTTGAGCACATATGGGAAGTATCAAGGGCTTCTCGATTCCTAAAGATCTTCCGTCGATGGCACAATGACCGTCCACGGAGATTCGGAGATCCTTTACCCATCAATACTTGAGGTCACAACTCTAGCCTCAGATCTATGCTTTCTTTTGCTATATTGCTTACATAGTCTACAAATAACACCCCCGGCACGGACAGCCACCTCAACTGCTCGAAGCCTTCTCTGCCTCCAACCTCTCCAAGTAAAAGTCGACCACATCCTTGACCGCATCTTCAAACGGCCGGAACGTCATTCCCAAAGCTTTCTCCGTCTCACTGGAATCGTACGCGATCGGCAGCGTCGGTAGGGTGGCCCGCGTGAGAACGCCAGCCGCCACGGCGGCCGAGTACTCCTTCTCCGCGACGCGCCACACGTCCGCGTAGTCGACCAAGGCGCAGGCCCCGAAACTGGATGGAGTCTGCGCGTCGGGCTGCCGCTGCACCACCCGCAGATACAACTCCGCCAGATCATCGATGTGAACGTAGCCCCCATGGATGGGGACGGGGCAGTCGATCCCCTTCACGCTGCGCAACAGGATCCCAGGCGAACTGTCCTTGGTGACCGCCGCCTCGGCGCTGAGGACGCGCTCGTCGCGCCCGTAGACGTAGCCGGGGGCCACTGTGGCCACGGAGAAAGGCGGTTGCTCGCGCTCGACGAACGCGTCCGTGTCGTTGAGCTCGGTGATCTTGGCGAGAACGTAGGCCTCAAAGACGTTGGAGAAAGTCTCGGGGGTCCCGGGCAGGGTGATGCGGGAGGCTGCGCTGACGGTGACGAAGGGGTCGGGCATGGGAGCCATGTTGGCCACGATCGACGAGGTGATCACGACCCGCGTGAGGGTGGGCACGCTCAGGGCGGACTTCAGCAGGTTGGCGGTGCCTTCCACCGTGGGCTTCCAGACTTGTGTGAGAGGGTCGAATCCAGGCACCGGCAGCGGAGCGCCCGTGTGGATCACGAATGACACATCTTGCAGTGCGGTCGTGAATGCATGCTCCGCCAGGATGTCCGGGACAAGGATGGAGGTCAGTCGGTCACCGGGATTGAGCTCCTGGATTACTGGGTTGGAGAAGATGGTTTGTGCTTTTGCCTCGGAGCGCACGGTGATTCTGATGTTGTAGTCGCTCTTGAGAAGGAGCTCTTGAAGGACGCGGAAGCCAATTAGGCCGGTGGCGCCCGTGAGAAGGACAAGGGGGGCCATGATGTGATGGGAAAAGAGAGAAGTGAGTGAGAAAAGAAGATTATATTGGTCAAGTGTGAAACAATGAATCCAACAGAAGATGAGATTTGGCGAAAGAGTACCTATTTATCCTCGATTGACGGGGGCATTAGGTGGGCAGGTGCCTTGCAGCTAGAGCGTCAGCCTCAGCCTCTTTGTTTCTCAGGAGGGGTAATGCCACTAATACAATTAGCGTCTTCTAGTTCTGGCTCCATTGTGTATTGTATGGAGATCAATGTACGATCATACAATAACAATTCCCCCGCCATGTGGAGCTTTATCTGGCGCTAATTCGAGATCGGTTATGATGAAATGAACATGGGGCTGCTGCACGACCATGTTGGCCTTTTTCATCAGCCGCAATACCAAATCATGGGTCGCGTGGAGTGCAACCCTCAAATGATATTGTATAGCGAGGTAGAGAGCGTACATATGAGGTTGCCAGGATTCTTCGGCTCAGACTCCGAAAACACCACACATCGTCTCTGCAGGTAGGGTCTGCGACTCGGCTATGTCTAAATCTATCAAGACTGCGATCGACAGCGAATCATCGGCAGGCAGTGGAGAAATCACAGAGAAGAGAGATGAGGAGAAAAAAGAAAAAGGAAAAAAAAAGATAAATTGGAATAGTGTGAGCTTGGGGCGGAAGGGATGCGTCTCGGATATTTTGATACACAAGTGCTGTACCAGATAACTTATCTCTAATCTTGACGTTTGCGGATAGATCATTTCTACTTAAGGCACCGTGTGAACGTAATCCCACCAATTTTGTCTTTCAGTCGTGGAAGAAAGCAGCAACTGCTACGCCTCCTTTATGAAAAGGGGCGCAGATGCATCCAATGCCCTTGTTGGGGTCTGTGGGTTCCCAACTCCGAGATGCGAAACAACAGCCCTTCTGGAAATCGATGTCCCTGACTGAAGTTCGATAGCCGTAAATGGGATTGCATAGGTGTCTCTCATCTCAAGACCCCAATCTCGACTTCTGTCAGCCTCTGTAACCCAAGATCGTAGACGCGGGGCGCCAACACATGGCTACCTAGTCGTGCGGTCGAGTCAACGAATTAGGGCAGCCGTGCCCTTCACCTCCCATTACATTTGGACCCAACAATTACTAGTATTCCTCCATGAAGTATGAAATGGATGTGCTGGGACACCCTGGCTACGCACCCCTATGCACCAGGCTTAATGTGGTAATCCCGAAGGAATCGATTTCCGGGCGGGCATGCATGCATGCATGCATCTACCCTCCCTCGCTTGATCCCCTCCGGCGATGGGGACGAATCTGATCTCTCGGTTTTGAAGTTCCGAGGACTAGGATGGCTCTCCTGCATACCTCGTGGAAAAGAAAACCGGAATAAACATCACACCCTCACCAACTGGCATTTCCGACTAAGAGTAACTGCCGAATGACTATCTTCGCGACAGAATAAATCCATATTGATAGGCGTCAGGACTGTAACCCAGCCCACCTCCTTACATCCCGCGCCTCCACACGCTCACCCAATCCGTGCCATTGCCCATCGCATGCGACCGTACCGCCTTCCAATGAGCGATTCTGGAGAACCCGATTGACCGAGCATTTTCTTCGCCAATTCCAAGCGAGGGGCTTCCATCGACGTCATAGGTGATCTCCTGCCCAGGATGGCCCAGGTGTGCCAGATACACCGATGACGGAGAGGCATAGGGCGGTCCCCCCGCGGATAACTTCTTGGTGGTGGGGAACTCGACGCAGACGATCAGGCTTTCGGGGTGCGTGGAAAGTAGTTCCCAGTATCGCTTGGCCCAGGCAGAGCGAAGATCCGGACTGAGGGCGCAGAAGAACTGTTTCTCCTGTCAGTGATAAGATACAATGTGTGCAGAACATCATAATATCCGATGCAAGTAGCACGCTATAGAGCTTGCTAGTTGCGACATCACTTTGACCTGCAGCAACCCGGGGGAAATAAAACCCAAATTTAACGTCAAGGGAACTGGGGTTGCCGGGGAGGAAAACGGGTATAACCTTACGGTGTAGTCGTAGATGAAGTCAAATGTGTCATGGCCATCCGCTTGGGATATCCAGTCATCTGAGAAAAAGTCTCCTAGGACAAAGCTGGTCTTCCCACGGCCACTACTCTCATCGCGGACGGGGTAATCGGCCAAGTGTTCGTCCGCCCAGGCTCTTGCCTCGTCCACGGCCTTGCTTGACACTTCGAGGCCATAGGCGTCATAGCCCAGGCTGGACAGGAGAAGAACATCGTAGCCACGCCCGCAGCCGGGCACCAAGGCACGCTTCCGACGCCGTTCTCCTGTCTCGTCTTCGATGAAGGCAGAGACGCCCAAGAGGTCCTGACGAATGCCAAAGAGGTCCACGAGCGCTGGGTTGGGAATTCCCTGGTCCCAAGGCAGGAAGTCACCCGCATCCCACAAGGCCGCCCAACGGTCGTTGGCGGGCGGTCCCTCACCACTGAAATGCTTGAATAGTCGAGAGGTGTTTTCTTGAGTAAGAGGGGTACCAGCTTGCGTCATTTTGATATGAGAAGGAAGAAGGAAAAGGTGGTTGTATCTCTAGATTATCACACTGTTGCTTCGTGGTTCTCTGTCGGTTGTTGATGCCGACGAAGATAGGTGACAGGTCAATAAGGGCCAACTTATATGTCTACAAGACACGCTGGCTATCAACGGACCTCGGATATTCACGTCATTCGTATTATCTGGAAGTGGGATCTCCTTGGACGGCGACTTCGCGCTTCTGGTCCCCGATGATGTCTTCCAATTGACTCTGGGGGCACACCCCAGGGTGTCCCAGTCTTGTCGAAGTGCATCTACCTGTTGCAGATCAATGGAAAATCTGATTTCAACCATTCGCCCTAAGCCTCCTGAGCCTCTAACGCATGAAGTAAAGACACGATCGTCCGACCTCCTTGCCACAGAACAGAGTCAATGTTTCTGCAAGTGCCCATATCCAGTGAGAATCGCCACCGTCGATTCAGCAAAGGTAGCCGGAAGTTAGAGACTAGAAACTCTTTTCACACTACCCCGCGGTGCGGTGGCCACCTACCAGTGGTTGCTGACATCACTGGGCGCGCTGTCGGCTATATAGAGCGAGAGATGGAGCCAGGTCTGATGTCAAGCTCAAAGATCCTAGTCGTTCCCACTCAGCCTCCCTTGTCTGTGCACCAGAATCTGCATCCTTGTTCATCTCTCTAGATCTCCACTTTCGATCTGCTGAAGAGAAAGATTCTAAGAATGGAAGAACCAATTGACATCATTCCCTATGATGCTGACGCGTTGAGGGAGAAGGAATATCCAATGCTTCGAGGTACACACTCACGATTGTCATGGCTCCTTATGCCCCACTTGTGAACTAACGTACCTGTGTAGACGAGACATACCTGGATCACACTGGTACCACTCTCTATGCGCAGTCTGCTTTGACGAGTTTCATGAACGAGATGTCGAGCAATCTGTTTGGAAACCCACACTCCGACTCACGATCCTCCCGGCTATCCACCGAAAGGGTTGATGAGATCAGGAAGCAAACATTGGAATTCTTTCATGCCGATCCAGAGCATTTCGACCTGGTCTTCGTTATGAACGCCACCGCGGCAATCAAACTGGTTCTCGAGGGCCTCACTCATCCGCCTGTCTCCGATGGCCCTGAGAAGACGCTCAAGGGGCCCGGACTCTGGGTTGGGTACCATCTCGAGTCTCACACGAGCGTTGTGGGTCTGCGTGAGCTGGCTGATGCCGGACAACACTGCTTCATGTCGGATAGCGAAGTCGAGGCCTGGATCCGGCCAAGTCCCGTCAGGGACAAGACCGATCGATGTCCAGGACAAACCTCCAAAACGTTCCAGGTTGGTATGTTTGCGTATCCAGGACAATCGAATATGACCGGACGACGGCTCCCTCTTCATTGGCCGGGCCGTCTCCGACAATCGGAATACGCCTCTCACCAGAGGGTCTTCACCCTGCTGGATGCTGCTGCACTCGCTCCCACTGCGTCTTTGGACTGCTTCCGGGACCCCGATGGAGCCCCCGATTTTACCGCCGTCAGCTTCTATAAGATATTCGGATTTCCCGACCTGGGAGGGCTGATTGTGCGTAAGGGATCCGCCCAGGCTCTCGTGCAGCGACCCTACTTTGGCGGAGGCACGGTTGAAATGGTCACTTGCTCCGACCACCCCTGGCATTCCAGGAGCCCATCCCGCATCCACGAAATACTTGAGGATGGAACGGTCCCCTTCCATAGCATCCTGGCTCTCGGGTGTGCCCTAAAAACCCACAAGCAGCTGTACACTTCTCAGGAGCACGTATCTCACCACACCACTCGGCTTACGGCACACCTCTACCAGCTGCTCTCCTCCCTTCGCCACCCTAACGGCGTCAAATTGTGCGAGATCTACCAAGACCCAGCGGCGGAGTACGGCAACAGTACGACCCAGGGGTCCATCGTCGCCTTCAACATCCGCTCCGACGAGGGGCGATGGCTCCGGCTCTCGCACGTTGAAGAGGCGGCCAACGAGCACCGCATCCACCTCCGCACAGGCTCAGTCTGTAACCCCGGCGGACTCACAAAGCTCCTCCAGCTGGATGAATGGGAGTTGTTTCAAAACTACACGGCCGGGGTACGTTGCGGCTGTCGCAGCGTGCTTGTGGGGCACAAGCCTTCCGGCATCATTCGCGTGAGCCTGGGGGCGATGAGCACCCTGAACGACGTCGAGCATTTTGTAGGGTTCGTGCATCATCTGTTCGGAGCAGGCGCCTTTCCTCCGCTTGTGCCAACGCTTCCGTCCAATTCACCTACTCCCAAGCATCTTCATGTACACACCTTGATGATCTACCCAATCCATGGCGCCGCAGCATACACAATCCCCGCGCAGCAGTCGTGGCATCTCACCTCGACAGGACTGCAGTGGGACCGACAATGGTGCCTGGTCGACCTGCAGACAGGCTCCGCCCTCGACCACCGCCATGCGCCGCGACTCCTACTCCTCCAACCGATGATAGACGCCGTGCACGGCATCCTGCGCATTAGCGTGCACCATTCGCTGCGCCGGCGCAACCCCAAACTACGGCAATCGATGGCTGTGCCCTTGCATGACCCCGGTCGAGATGTCCAGACACCCAAAGGCAATCTCTATCAGTGCCAGGCAACGAGCCTCAACAAGCTCGGTGGGCTCGGGGGCGGCACCAGCCTGCTCCGGCTATTCCACTCGCCAGATCTGGTTGCTTTCTTCACCGCGGCGCTCGGCGTCCCATGCACGCTGGCCCGATTTCTCGACCCAGCGGACTGTATCTCTCCCGCATGGAGAACGCTCCCCAAACAGCAGCCGATGGCAGAGGTCCATGTCTCGCCATCCGATCGACCGCTTTTGTCGCTGCCGCCCGAAGAGACCCAGATTATTCCCCATAAAGAGTCGCAAGGTGGGCAGTCACCACGTCGCGCTCTTCCGGTGGCCCTGACCGAGACACTGCGTGCCAATGCCCTGCTGGCTTCGGATGCTGCTACTGCTGCTACTCCTGAGAACCGTCAGTGGTATCTGTTGCAGTTAGGGCCCCGAGAGCAGCAGGCGCAAGCGAGCATCGTCCAATATGGGCGGATGAAAGCGGTGGCTATCACGGCGGAGCGACAGAGCCCGGAGATCTTTGAGCGGACGAGTCCAGTGGTGAAGATGGTGTGGAGAGAGGGGAACGAAGGAACGCTTTCAGTGCGTGCAGAACAACCGTTGGTACTGCGGGAGTAAACCGTTCGGTTGCTTCCAAGCCCTGATGATTTGAGCACTCTGAAGTAGTGCTTCGGAGCTTGCTGGGATAGTTGTCAAAGCCAGGATCAGCCCGTCACAGTTCAAACGGTTGACAGTGGTTGTGATCTCGCTCTCTAGGCACCATTCACTCACTTTGAGTTGTAGAAGCTGGACTCGTTTTCTTGCATGCGTTTTTCTGAAGGCATCGCGCCAGTGTTGGGTTTTGAACTTTTCGTTCTTGATTGCATGAAGATCACCTGCTGTTGGCTTTCTACATATGTTTCTCTCCAATTCCGGTTGCCAATAGGAGAGAGATTTAGGCAAAAATCTGATAGATGGGCAAAGAAACGTGTAAAAAAGACATAACACACAATTCCGCTTCTGATAAGGTATTAGCACGAAGTACAACATCAACAGATGTACAAGCAAGTGGAGAGAGGGGTAAGTAACCTCGCCACTCGAACTTTCCAGACTCACTGCTTAGCGATAAGAGCCGAGTTTCTGCCTGAGTCACCAAGGACCCTCAAACCGTGCTAGCGCAAACCCCGAGATCTCGCTATCATCACGTGCCGCGCCACCGGCTGGATCTCCCATGGCCGGATAAGAAACTCGTCTCCCCGTCACCACTGCACCTCCACTGCATCGTCTGCTACATCTCCCAATCCTCTCATCCAGCACCAACACCTCAAAATGACAGACACACAAGATCCCAGCGCCGCTGCCGCCGCCGTAGCCCCGCCAGCCCCCCTCTTCAAAAAGCGCGGCGCCAAAGCCCAAACGAACCTGCGCAAGAAACGCGCCGCCACGCCGCCCTCCGCTTCCTCGGGCGCCTCCTCCGACTCCGACTTCTCCTCCGACGAAGCCACGCACATCAAGCGCCGCAAGAAGAACGCCGGCGTCGTGAGCGCCTCCTCGGCCGCGCGCAGCACCACCACGCCCAACGATTTACCTTCTGCATCCACAAGCACAAGCACCGCGCCCCCGCTCCTCCCCGACACGAACGACGCAACCAAACAATCCAACTGGTACGACGAGACCGACACCAGCAGCGCCTCCAACCTCCTCGGCAAGACCCGCCACCCGCAATCCTCCCTCATCACCACCTCCACCGCCGAACAACCCGACGGAACCTACAAGGGCCTCGCGCACCAGACGCAGCAGACCTTCATCAAACGCAACCCGGACGCGCCCACCAAAAAGGCCGTGGGGCCCGTGCGGGCGCCCACCAACGTGCGCATGACCACGTTCACGGACTACGCGCCGGACGTGTGCAAGGACTACAAGCTGACGGGGTGGTGTGGGTTCGGCGACAACTGCAAGTTCCTGCACGACCGGTCGGACTACAAGGCCGGGTGGGAGTTGGACAAGGAGTGGGAGACCGTCACGAAGGGGAAGAAGGTGGTCGGCACGGTGGTGTCAGATCGGGCGCGCGGAGATGCTGGGGCGGGGGGCAGAGGTTTGGACGATGAGGATGCCGAGTTGGAGGAGATCCCGTTTGCGTGCATCATCTGCCAGCGGCCGTATACGGAGCCGATCGTCACGAAATGCGGGCATTATTTCTGCGAGGCGTGTGCGTTGAAGCGGTATCGGAAGGATCCGAGTTGCGCGGCTTGCGGGGCGGCGACGAACGGGGTGTTTAATTCGTCGAAGAAGCTGAAGAGGTTGTTGGAGAGGAAGGCGGAGAAGCAGGCGCAACGGAGGAGGGAGGCGGAGGAGAATGGGGAGGTGCTGAGTGAGGATGAGGAGGAGGAAGAGGATGAGTAGAGGGTGGGTTGTATGATATGCATATATGTATAGAGACCAGGATATTGTCTTAATATAATTAGGGGCCTTGAGCGACAAATAAGTCATGTCAAAAATTTTTTGTGCCGTTGACGTAGCCTGCTCTATAAACCTTAAACAGTATGCTATCAGGCCTACTGCAGATAACTTCCCCCCGTCTCCTCATGGATCACATCGAACAGCGGCTTCGCACTGAAATACCCCGACCCGGGCCTCCCCACGGTCTTGTATGTGAACGCTGCATCGGCATCATCGATCTTGATTGTCGCCCCGCCGCGCCCCGCCGCCGCCGCATCGGCCAACAGCTGCGCATGGCAGCACTTCTCCAGACTGACGAACCAGAAGACCGTCGCCTCGATGCTCGTGCCCACGGTCAACAGGCCGTGATTCTGGAGCAGCGCCGCCTTCTTGTTCCCCAGCGCCTTCGCAATGTTGTGTCCTTCGTCCTCCGACAGCACGACTCCGTTGAATTGTTTGTAGACGACGTGATCCTGTGATCAGACGTCGAATTAGCTTGAGTCGTAGAGACACATAGCGAGTTATGGGAGGCTCATACGTTGTAGAATGCGCACGCGTCCTGCGTGATGATATCCAACGGCCGACCGAGGGCGCAGAATGATCGCCCGTAAATGCTGTGGCTGTGCGCAGCGCACAGGACGTCGGGCCGGGCAGCATGAATTGCGGAATGGATCATGAATGCGGCAGCATTGAGCAGGCGGACGGGCCCCCCGTCGAGGATCTTGCCTTCGTGGCTGACCTGGATGAGGTCGGAGGCTTTGATCTGCGAGAAGGCGACGCCGAACGGGTTCACCCAGAAGGTGGTGGGGTCGACAGGGTCGCGGAGGGTGATGTGGCCGGCCACACCTGCAAGGAGATCAGTCTTGATGGCGGGAGAAGAAAGACGCAGAGGGTAGAGAAGTTAATAGGTAAAGAAAGATTACCCTCATCGTATCCATTCTTCCCAAAGATGCGGAACGCAGCTGCTAGTCGGCCCTTGAGATACTCTCGTTCCTTGTATTTATCTTCGAATACAGGGGGCTTGGGGAATTGGGAGGTCTGATTCTTCACTGCTGCCGCTTCCATACCGTCCTCCTGGGAGGATTGGCGGGTTTGAAGGGTGACTTGGGATGTTTGGGTGGTGGATGTCTCGGTTGAGCTGGGAGGTGCCATGGTGAGTGTGTGTGTACTTAGGGATGGTAGAGAAAAAAAAGATTTGGTTTGTTTGCGCGGATGTAATGCAATGAAGTGTATGAGAATGGTGAATCGGAGTTAAGGAGGCAGGCCTAGATTATATGCTCATGCAGTGACACCTCACGCACGCCCTTGGATTGACTATGGTGTGCTGCTGCCGCCATAGGCGGGGTAGCACAACCGATAATGGGCTGCGACCGAGGCTACTCCGCGTCGGATTCCTGGGTCGAGTGCGGAGAATTGTCTCCACTGGACGCTTGGGGCGAGACCATGGTTGATCAATGCTTATCATTCAGTTCGAGGTCTGACGTGGCGAAGGTTGGCAAATTTTCCCAGAGCAAGGCAGTATTGTGAAGCCCAAGATTGTAAACTGGTTCTATCTTCATGGTAGGCATTATAGTCGGACGAGATCGAAGGCACAGCAATGAGAGATGTGCAATCGTTGTTGTTTCCGATATATACATCAACAACCCCTTGAAAGCGCGAGATAGGAAGGTGGAGGTCAAATCCATGATCCATGATCCATGATAAGGGAGCACAAGGCCCACACCGGCGGCTCCCAATCACATCCGCTAGAATGGTAATCGCGCCCAGTGTAAACTGCGCGACTTTACCTCGAGCATCTCGTACGGTTCCCGATCGCTCTGGCTTCTGCTTCTGATCCCCTGTTTGACTGTAGGGATGCCGATCAGCGGCTTCAGGTCGGCCTCGCAGACCGTATCAGACAGTGGCAGCTCCCCCGTTTGGAAATACTTCCGGATCGCCTGGTCGACACAACGCGAGGGGGCAGCTAAAGTAGAATGCTGCGCTTGTCAGTCTCTATCCACCCTCTGCAGTTGTGGATTTGCGACTTGCACTTACTCCTTCCGAGTCCTGCTGCAGTACGACAGAGCCAGGAAACCTCTGCGACATTTTCTGAGCACTATGCAACTTCAGTAGGAGTCGTAACGAGGCAAGGGGTGCTCTCACCTGCGCATAGGTGTCACTGGGTCTAGCATGTTGTTTACAAGAAGTAGTGGGTGGGACGTATTGCTTCCTACGGGTCCTATGCGACATTAGACCAATGGAGAAGATGCATGCAACACTAGGACGTACCTTTGAGTTGCCATTTGGGTGAAATATTCCACCCCACGCATCCCATGCGGAGACTAGCCCAGTAATCTGCAATCATGGAACTATCCTCTTTCAGTGCCTTCCAGTATCGATGGAAGTCCGCTTCATCCGTATTCTGCAGGTAGACTGCGTCCGTACACAGCACCGCTGAGCTCGCATATGCCTCATTCTGACCCGGCACCTGGCAAACTGCCGACCATGGCCCGGCTTGAACACACTGATCAGAAGGGCACGAGGGAGCACGAGCGCTGCTCTTCAAATCCGCCACTCCTGATCCATCTCCTCGAGCCAATTCACTTGCGAACTGGGCAAGAGGTGGGAAGCCCTCTATGGGCTGGTACATGGCCAGGCGCAGGATGTTTTTCAGGTCGCTCCAAGTGACAAGTTCCGGACCTCGAGTAGGAGATGCTATGACGGACAGTGATGCATTATACAATGTATCCTCCAGATCAAGATACGCTTGCTTGATGGCTGGTGCTCCACCGGAGGTATAGAATGGACATTGTTCTGGTCCAGCCGTGTCGCAGTACTGCGCAAACCGATCGAAGATAGCATCGGCATCTTCGATGGCACTAAGGCCATCATCAAAATAGTATTTGTCCGCGTCGACCACTGCATCCAGCACAGCACGTTCTACGCGATCGGGGAAAAGCGTGGCGAATGTCGCGCCTAAGACAGTCCCGTATGATCGACCCCAATACAGCAGTCTTTCTCGGCCTCGCTCCCACTTCGTCCGAGCCACAAGCTTTTGGTGCTGGTCGTAGCCATCGACTCGATCCTGCTGTCGCTGTGCTTCTACACCTTTTTTCGCACGCCACTCCCCATGCCGCTCAATAATTTCCAGCATGTCGCGAGCGACCGGAAGCGTGTTAATGTGTTCTCCCAAGGCCTCATCTCCATTTTCAAATGGCGAAGACAAGTTAATCGAGCATCCCATGTTAAGAGCGACCGAGCGCTCCCAGTTGCGGCGAAATGCGCCGTCGGCGCTTCCCAGCATGCCTTCGGCCGCCACCTGCAACTCCCAATTTCTTTGCGCGAATATGTTCGGAAAGCAACTGAAGCCCGGTGTCGTATTGTTCACCCCGCGAGGATCAAATCCGATCACATCGTAGTACTTGTCGCGCACGCTGTCTCTGAGCAATTCACTACTGGGATCTGCCTCTGCATCCATAGTGGCTTGCAGGTTTCTCCCATCTATGAGCACTTCAGCGACTCCAGAACCACCAGGGCCTCCTGTATCCGCCATGATTAGCCTATGTGTCAAAGATTGTAGAGAAAAGAGCATACCTGGGTTGACCAGTACCGCACCGCCGTAGCGTGGGTCTGTTACTGGCACCTTTGCCGGAAGACGAGTGATGGCAATCGCAAAGCGCTGGCCGAGACCATCCGAGCGATGGTAGTCCATGGGCACCTCCAAACGGGCGCACTGGAATCCATCGAAGCAATCATGATACTGCAGCGATGCGGATGGAGTGATCTTAATTTTCTGGTTAGCGTCTGATTCATACAAGCTTGTGCGCATCTACGTACCTTACTCCACGTAAATTCTGATTGTGAAAGCTCTATGGTTGTGTTGCTGCGCGTCGAAACAGGTAGAATCCACCATGCATACCCAGCGACGCACACTAGGAGCATCCATAGAGAGTTGGCGCTGCGCAACCGTGCAATTACATTGGCCCTGGTTGACAGAAGCCGCTGGTCCGGAGGGGTTGCGATGCCGGTAGTTTTGAGACGGTCCATCGGTCGCACTAGCCTGTAAGACCTGAAGACAACCACGACATCATTATCGAACATGTCCGGCGGGACAGGAGGGTCCCGCTAGATAAATGCGCAGTCGACATGGTCGTTGGCTGAGAGACTGCTGGCTAGGGTGCAAACTTCATCCGGTTCCCTGTTGAGGGTTGAAGCAAGCCACTATCTATCATCTGCAGGTTTTAAAGCGGGCCCACAAATGGAGAGCGAGAGATTTCCAATCATGACCAGAAATGGGAGAGATCAGCTGTCAGGATTGGGTTGAAATGTGCCTCTAACATAAGCCGCTATCGTCGATTGCAGCTCAGGTGGATGCCAGTTTCCCTCAGTCATTCGCTAGTTGCTCCCTCGCATTCAATTTGTGATGGTGCATAGCATACATAGGCAGGCTACCACTCCGAGCCGTCTATTTGCGCTCCCCCCCAATAATGGGTCGACCGGCTTTATCTGTCCGATAGCCATCCGGGGAGTGGGTCACATTAGGGGATTCGTCCGAAGTATGAATGTGCGCTGTCAAACTTTGTCCATGAAGGACGCTAATAGACGCTCTTGGCTCGGTTTGCTACACTTTGCGGATTAATGTCCCTTGCGGCGATGTGTTATACAAGTTCTGAGTTTGTTACAGGTAGTATCGACTTTGATCGGCCTCTTGGCGAAGGCCAAGGGATTCACTACCCGTAAAATGAGTCCCGCTCTTTAGTGTCGTGACCATGTGATTTGTAGTTTCTCCTCCGTTGTCCCAAACGACGTGGCGTTTTCATTCTTCGTTGCGCTAGGTGATGTCCCAGTCGGTGCCGCGGGCTGGTATTATAGCCTCGATCTTTCTGACGCGTGAAGGAACCCAATGTGGTCGCTGACAGACTCGCCAGCTTCTGGGAGCCAGCTTTTTCACCTCAGTGATACCGTGTTCCACTGTTTGCTGATGCAGATGAGGTTATCAGGTATAGCCCCAAGCTGATACTATATCTGTGGCAAATGCCTTGGAAAATCTCGCGCAAACTGGTGCCTTGTCTGCAACGCGCCATAATGTCTCTCATTTGTGTTTCGAACGACCCATCTACTAGTGGTATTTCATAGCGAGACCATGCGAAAGCGAAGCCATGCCAACTCCGCGGGTTAAGTCGAGGTAAGCCTCCCGCCTGTTGGAGACGTTTGGCAAGGCAGATCTTGTGGCATTGTGTAGGTTTCGGGCTTCGAGGCAGTGATAGTCGCTCCACCGTTCGTGGTATGAACGCGAGGAATTCCGTGCGGTCTGCGCCGTGGCACGTTTGCCAAGGTATCTCGAATGATAGAAGGGGTTCGAAGGCGAGGGGGCACGTCCATCGACTAGATACCTAGACTTGTTGGATAACGATCTCTTGATACCACGGGTGGAAGCGTCTCAATCGTTCCTAACCATCATGTGTTGCATAATGATGCTTGCGAACGGGGGGAGGGGGGCTGGCTCTGCAGGCGATTTGGGCTGGTGTCTGACAGAGGGCGACCGCTCAAACGAGTGCGAGCTAACAGCTCTTGTTTTCGTGTCGTCTCAAAGCCGTAGAGCTTTCAACTCCATCGCCTCTTCGGTCTCAGATGTGTGACTCAGGCCGGTGGCCATAATGAGCAGACTAAGTCGCATGTCAGGAGAAAAAGTGGCTCCGAAGAGACGAAATCGATGCTTAACAGACGTCATTGTCGCCGAGTAGCCTAGCACTGCGCAGAGACCACAAGTTGCCATTGTCAGCAAACGCGTCGCGACCCCGCGCCAGATCACGTGCTGTCATTCATCTACCTCTTTCTCCATTGGGTAATAGATTCAGACTCGTCGCCATTCACTGCCCGACACCTTGCAGATATCACAAATGGCAACTCAAACATGATAGGAAGCTCGATGGGAGTTGCAATCAACCGCTCAATCACCTCTACATGACCAAAAATGTGCATGCAGATGCACTTGACAAATTGTCTACATTGTCTACCTTGTCTACTCCGCAATGACTCCAAGGCCTGCCCCGCACGCACTGCCCGAAACGGCTACCTTATCAGCAATCCATGATCCATTGATCATTCAGTCATCCACCTCATCAGGGACAGTTACTCCGAGTTATCCGTCTCTAATTGGCAATGATCTGATAACGTGCTGATGTTTGCAGCATGATCACATAGTTGTCGATCTTCACCAGGATCCGCACGGTCGGAGAGACGCCGCTCCAACTCCCTTGCTGGCAATGACTCCCCCACCGGGCTTCTGTCACATTAGCTGATGCCTTCGGCTCATCCGGTGAATCATCCTTTTTTTTCTCTTCGCTCCTCGTCTACAGGTAGCAGGCACAGCACTTTCTACTGCTATTATTGAGCAGATTCCAGTTCACGTAATCTCTTCTTGATCGTGCTGAGGTGTGGTTCACAGCTAGGAACAAGTGCATCTGGATCATAGCACTTGCTGGGCAGCATTCCGGAACCATTGACATTCTTCGAACCCCGAGTGAACATTTATTGCGGATAGTATCATTTGACCCTGAATTTCGCGAATAACGTCTATCATCACGATGTCCCGTTGGCGCCGGTATTTTCGATCCCCTGAAAACCACGGGAAGATCCAGGCTTCCCCATCATACTTGGATTGGAAGACGGATGATATCGATATAACGGTGGTGGAGTCCACACCAGCCACGCAGGATAGCACTGGGGCTGCCAAGATCCAGGCCGCGGAAGCTGTGGGTGGAAGAAAGGGCAGGTATCTGCTCTATGTGGGGTATGTGATACCTTCTCTGGAATGATAAGATTAGATTTATGCTGACGGCAACAGGTTGGCGATGATGATGGTCATTTAGTAAGTCTGATGTATCACCATTGGCGTTTCTTTGCTAATGCTCCTGCTCCAACTCCGTAGTGAACTGGACAACGCGACCGTCGGAACTTATCGCAACTTTGCAACATCGGACTTTGACGCGCTGTCAAAGCTCGCGACACTAAATACAGCCGCGAGCATCATCTCCGCTGTCACGAAACCGCCAATCGCGAAGATATCCGATGTCCTTGGTCGCGGCGAGGCATATGTCTTCGCTGTCTCCTGTTACATTTTGTCTTACATCCTTTGTGCTTCTTCTCAATCCTTCGATACCTACGCTGGCGGCTATGTCCTCTACTCTGTTGGCCAAGCTGGCACTTCGTTCCTCAACGCCACCATTGTGTCAGATCTCTCTTCAATGCGATGGAGAGGCTTTGCTTACAACATTCTCTATGTTCCCTTTCTGATCACCCCGTGGGTTTCCGCTTTCATTGTAGACAGTGTTGTCAATGGCATCGGCTGGAGATGGGGAATCGGCATGTTTGCCATACTGATGCCCTTTGGTGCTAGTTTCATCATCACCACCCTTCTTATCTTTCAGTGGCGGGCCAAGAAGGCCGGACTGGTCTTGACTGAGCAGCTAAGCATCTATGAGTTTTGCTCACGCATTGACCTGGGCGGCCTAATCCTGCTCAGTGGGGGCTTTTCTCTGATCTTGATCCCAATAACATTGGCTGCCACCGTTGCAGACAGGTGGAAGGCGCCTTGGGTGGATGCCCTCATTGCCGTGGGCGCGATTATTTTGGCATGCCTCTACCCATATGAGAAGCATGCCGCCCGGCATCCTGTTGTCCCAGTCCACTACATCTGGAACCTATCTGTTCTCATCCCCGTGATTCTGGTTGCAGTCGACAATATCAGCTTCGGTGCTACACACACTTACTTGTACGTGTGGTCAATGGTCTCCCACAATTTCAATGCGCGGGATGCGCAATTCCTGTACTATGTCAATGGCGTCATGCAAGCTTTGGTAGGTATGGCAACAGGGCTGGTTATGTATCGCTTGCGCTCCTACAAGTGGATCGGCGTGGCAGGTGCAGTGATTCGCATGGTCGGATATGGGGTTATGGTCCGCCTACGCACGAACAAAAGCTCGGTCGCAGAGCTTATTATTGTGCAACTCGTCCAGGGCATCGGTAGTGGCATCATCGAGACAGTGGCTGTCGTGGCCGCTCAGATCGCTGTTTCTCATGCCGAGATGGCTCAGGTTACGTCTCTGGTCATGCTGGCAGCTTACCTTGGCAACGGGATCGGATCCTCCATCGCAGGTGGGATCTACTCGGGCGAATTACGCCACCAGCTCCGGTTGCACCTTGGGCCTGATGTCAACCAGGCCGAGGTGGAAAAGCTGTACAATTCGATCACGGGCACATTGCCCTCTTGGGGGTCCCCTGAACGGGTGGCAATCAATCGAGCTGTGAGGGCTCCTTATGCCTACTACCCGAACCCGAACACGTCTTGCTAACTTTGCGTAGTATTCTGATGTCATGGGGTTTGTTGTCTCATTGTGTTCATGCATGATTTGCACTAACCATGGCAGGCTCATCACGATCGCGGCCCTGGCATTCTCTGCCCCAGTTGTAATCTTATCGCTGGTGCTGCCAAACAAGAAGCTTGGGTATATCCACCCACTCAGGTCCGTGATCGCGGCTAATGATGTTTTAGGGACGGACACAATTTGATGCAGGGGAAAGGAAGCTCTACCTCTTCCGATTCGTCAACCCTGAATGAGGAAAAGACGCGCAATACTTGAACCGAAATGATATACCATGATTGTGCTTGAATTATACATTATATACACTGCCACATGTTCCCGCTAGACTGTACAAATCCGACCTTTTTTCCAATCCATACACATCTCATGCTCTATTTCCCAGGGGATCCCAACAGACACACGAACTTCCGATCCGGCGTGTCATCCAGCGCGTTCTTCACCAAATTCCACACATTCAAATCATAAGCCTCGCCGATGTGCCCCACCGGATCCAGCGGACAGGTATCCTGCACCCACTCGTTCCGCACGCCGTCCTCGTGCACAAACGAGGTACTCGTCGGCGTGACCATCTCATCGAGCCGGGACGCAATCACGGTCAAGCTGTTCCCACTCTGCACGATGGGCGCCCCGTCATTCAACCGCTCGACTGCCGCCCCGTCGGGGCCCAGCTCATCACACGCGGGACAGCCCAGCGTATCCAGCACCTCGCCGACGGCTTCACGGGAGACATTCCCGAACAGATACGCCAGGTTATACAGGCCGATGAAGGTGGTGCCGCGCGTCGGCGGTGCGATCGCGACCACCTTGTCCAGCAGGTCCGCGACCCCAGCCTCGAACTTGGGCACGTACAGCGACTGGAAGGCGCCCTCGGAGTGGCCGACCAGGTCGATCTTGTCGGCGCCCGTCTGCATGTGGACCTCGCGTATGTAGGCGGCGATCTCGACGGCGGACTCGTTGATGCTCCGCAGGCCACCCAGGAAGGGGAACCCCGCGTACGCGCCGTAGGTCTGCGCGAAGGTGCAGTAGCCCTGCGCCTGTAGCCAGCCCTGCAGGTAGTTCAGGTCCTCGTAGAAGGTCGCGCCCAGCCCGTGCAGCAGCACGACCGGGTTCGGGTGCGCCGTGCTGCGGCAGCTGAAGTCGTTGATGTCGGTACTGCCTAGGGCGGTGGTTGCGAAGGCGGCGGTGGCCATGGCTAGGAGGGTTGAGAGATGCATTTTTCTTGGTCCTTTGGGTCTGCCTTTCTCTATGGTGATAGATGACAACAGCAACCGACGGCCTCTTTAGTGTTTTGAGGTAGGGAACAGCACGGCACCAACTAGAGAGATACAATAGAGCCCTCGAGGGAGAAGGGGAACTACGCTCCTTTTCTATCTATCCGGTGCCAATCCCCAGCTGAGCTAGATGAACCACACCAGCGATCTCCCCTCGGAAATGCCATTCCCAGTGACAGACGGCGATGTATCCATTCCTTCTTGCCCACATGGTGCAGAACACGATCTTGATTTTCCTTGGAAAGGGAAGGGGGCCTGATCGTCAGGGCCGATTTAGATTAAATATTGAAAATAGTGGAGGCGGATTTTCGTTGGCTTTGGCCGGATTGGGACTGGGTGTGCGGGACGGACATTCGAACTATCGAATCTCGATCCCGTCGGGTCCACCATTCGAGAGAAGTTTTTTTTCAGCTGAGATTAATTGTCGATTGTCGATTGTTCATTTGTTCATTTGTCTTGGTTGGTGGCTGGCTGGGAGTTGGATGTAGCATCGTACTTCGTAGTGAGAAGGTTGTGCTTCGTGCTGTATTTCGGTTTTTCTTTTCCTTTCCCTTATCTCTTCCTTTTGTGTGTTCGGATGAGCATACTGCGCGTACAGGAAGTACTATGCTCGTACTTTATTGAAGAAAGCGAAACAACTGGCACTGTAACATTCTGTCATCTGTTAATTGGTACGGTACCTGCCTTGCCTGCGGCCTCGTGAAAAAGAAAAAACTTGCTGGGTCCAGCCAGCCAACCGCGGGAAAGGGGGCATTCATTCACTTTGTGAATCATACTTTTGGTGGGCGATTGTTTTCCTCCCTCTTTTTTTTTTTTTTTTTTTTTTTACAGCGGAGCTTAAGGCTTAAGGGTCTTGGTTACTTTCCAGGCAAGCATGTTTGACATGAGCCGTCTTGCTCCGTCTCCTTCATCTCGATCGACTGTTCAACCTCCAGGAACTCCTGCATTGTTCGCCAGGGAACCAGACGCATTCTGCAGGATTCTACCTATCTTACTTACCCTTTCAGCCGTGCTCCACTTTTCCGTTTCCCTCCCTCGCTATTAAGAGTCCCGTGCGCGAGGATCTGACCAGTGCTATTGTCTGGTGGACAGGCCACGATCGCTGGCTCTTTCTCGAGGCAAGGCTGTTGGTGGCTGATGGGGGGCGCATGCCTTTTAAGTGAAGAGTTTCGATGTACTTCTACTCAAATTACTGTAACTGTTCAAGCTGTTACTCAAATTAATCACTGCGGTAGAACTGGCCTGTAGCAAAATGTATATGACAAGTCTAATAATTATGTACCGTGTAGTGCACAGTATGCGTTGATCGCTGCGGTTGGTGGATACAACGAAAGAAAAAAGTAAACCGCTCCGGCAATGATGCAACACGAGTCTATCTAGGGGAATATGTATGTGTATATGCAGCCAGGGAAATCACAAGAAAGGAAGTTTAAGACTGACGACCAGGACTGCTGAGCAGCCGCTGTCAGTGGATGAAGAGAAGGAGGTGAAGAGGGGAGAAATGAAGATGTAAGGCTAGCCTGCATGCGACGAACGCAGACAGTCTACTCGGCCGTCTTGGAGGCCTTAGTCCGCAGCTTCATGAGTGCGTACACCAAAGCATACGAACTGATGGCGAACAGCGCCACGATGGCGGCATCGCGCCAGCCGTAGTAGTAGTGCTTAAGGTTGATGCTGACAAGGTAGTCGCTGCCCTTGGTGTACTCGCACACCCGGCAGCCAGACGTGGCGTCGGGATCGACCAGGTTCATGCGGGCGCCCATGCCCTGCATGAAATCGGCGAGATATTCCTTGCAGGTTGTGCCGTTCGGAGGGTCGAACAGCGCGAATTCCGACTCCTTGCATTTGACGGGCGCATCCCAGGTCGTGAACACCAATAGACTGCCCATCAGGTAGTTGAAAGGATTCATCCAGTAGATCCAGTACCGCCAGAATTCCTGGATTTGCGCGTACGGCACCAACACACCACAGAAAGATGCGAGGGTACCGATGATAAGAGGGTTGATCAACGAAGCAAAGATGGCGTTCGGGGCGTAGGCAGAAATAAACTGCCCAATACCGGTGTAGACAAACTCGTACATCAACATGACGAAGAAAACAGCCCCGGATTTGTTGGAATCCGACGGGAAGCCCACAGTATAGTACCAACAGACGAAGTACAACACTGCACAAATACAAAGATACGGGATTTCCGAGATGATTAAACCGGTCACGAATGCAATCCATGAATACATCTTAGACTTCTTCTCTCTTGCGTCGTATATATCACGGCGTTCGAGGAACAGAGGCTGAAGTTGGTTGATGACACCGGGAGCAACAAAGATGAAGTTAAAGATTGTGAACAGTCGGAGCTGTACGGCCCCAACGTGATCGTTGATCATCCAGAACGAGAAACCATTGAACAGAGCCGAACCAACGTGGAGTGCAAGCTTGTTGTTGACATAATCCGTATTGCGGTAGACAGCAACACAAGACCGCTTGGTGACAATCAAGATTTGCTTCCAAAGAGGCATAGCGAATTCGTGGCCATCATCAACGGTACCCGGAGGCTTTGAGGCGGCATCACTAACAATAGAATCAAGCTCGGTGACGGCCTTCGAGTGTTCAGGGGACTCTCGCCAAACTTGGTTCCAATCACGACCCTGAGACAAGGCTCCCGAGACGACGTCAATCATATGCTCGGCAGGGTTGGTTTCAGGTGGGCATGGGGCACCATAGCGAGCGAAATAGCTCTTAACAGTCTGGCCGTTGTCACCAATATCACCGAAGTAGACCATCTTTCCACCCTTTGCCAAAAGCAATAGGGTATCGAATTCGGCGAACAATTGGGCAGAGGGCTGGTGGATGGTCACCAAAACAGCCTGGCCGACGTCGGCAAGCTTCCGCAGGAAACGAACAGTATTGTAAGCTGACTGACCATCCAGACCCGAAGTAGGTTCGTCCAGGAAAATTAGGATACTAGGCTTTGAAACAAGTTCAACACCAATTGTGACACGCTTGCGCTGTTCCACACTCAAACCAGCGCCGACGCGGCCAATCAATGTATCGGCGATATCGTGTAGCTCGAGGAGTTCAATAATAGTAGTAACGTATTTTAATTTCTCCTCAGGCGGCACCTCACGGGGCTGACGGAGCAAAGCGGAGAACTCCAATGCCTCACGGACGGTGGCAAATGGTTCATGGACATCAAGTTGTTCACAGTAACCGGCGGAGCGTTGGAAAGACACAGGCAACGGGCGTCCATCGACCATAATTGAACCCTGGATGGTACCCTCGGTTTTGCGCTGAGCCAACACATCAAGAAGGGTAGTTTTACCAGCACCTGAGGAACCCATAAGAGCACCCAGCATCCCAGGCTTCACCCAACCGTACACATTATCAAGAAGGACCCGATCACCGGTTGGTGTCTTGACAGTGTACTTCAAATCCTTCCAGGTGAAGACCGAGGTGTTTCGTACCAGTTGCTTGTCGATATCCTCTTCGCTTTGAGAGCCTTCGTCGCTGGGTGTCTTGCCTTTCTCCATGCCCTGTGCTTCCTCGTCGTTGCGAGCCACTTGGTGATGATCCTGGAGCCTTTCCCGAGGAATCAGAAGAGAAGCACCACTCTCACCGGGAGCCTTCCATTTGGTGGTAGCGATGATGGTGGCCACTGCGAACAGAGCCCACCAAGCCCAGAGGATACCGAAGTTCCGCCAAACGTGGCTGTGGCTATACGACATAGAGGCAAGATACGCATCACCAGTAACATAGGTCTGCCCAGGCACGGCACCACCAACACCGGCGCAAGACTGATGACCAGTGCCATCGTAGCCAGCACCACTGGGAACCAGGTTGGTGCCTACACATGGAATGACTTTGTCATGAAATTCGTTCGAGAGGAGTGCGTCGAATCCGTAAGCCAGGGGGTTGATCCAGTAGATCCAGCCAAACCACGGGTGCATCTGGGGCTTCTTGATCATGTAACCAGTGTACATAATCAATGCTGAGATGAGGAAGCCGGATACCTTAGAAGCGCCATCGAAAGTGCTGAAGACGGCTCCGCAAGCACGGAACAACGCAGTCATCGTCTGATTATTGTTAGTTAGCGATCGGGACCTCTTTGAGGGGCAGCATAACATACCATGGTGGCAGCGAAAACCAGGATCCAATATGTGAAGAATGCACCAGCCGACATGGTGAGGCCGACCATGAAGTAAACCACAAGAGAGAAGACCGAGATCTGGAACAGTAGAACAGGAATATCGGCTGTGATTTGAGCAATGCAGAATGCAGCCGGGTGGAAGTATGCGAAGCCTTTGTGCTTCACCAAAACAGGGCGACCGTTGAAGGAGTCGGTGACTTCTGCCATTGCAAGCAGACTGTTGTAGAGGAGCGAGAAGAATAGGGCTCCTGACTTGACAAAGAGACCACCAGAGTTATTAGGAGCATTGTAGAACAGTGATCCAGCAACAAGGGCTTGAATCAAGGTAGAGACCTGCTTGATGATGAAAGTGGCCTTATCACCCCACAGAATCTGATACTGCCGCGCGATACAGGTCTTGACTTGGGTAATAAAATCGACTGTCAAGGGGCTAGACTTGGGCAGCTTCTTGTTCTTCTCCTGAGCGACGGAGATCTTGAAGTCCTCGGTCCGCTCGCGAGCGATATCGGTGTCGGGATAATTGTACTCAGTATTCATCTGAGCATAGATTGGCGACTTCTCGTACTCGGCAAGAACCATTTCCGCATTGCGAGGGAAGCGGTTTTCATAGCCGGGTCTGATCTTGCGTTCGGTAGGAACGGTGATACCAGTCAAGTAATCAGCCACGTTCGAACCCTCGCGACAAACGAAGCCAAGATCCTCCATGAATGGGCGCGCTTGTTCCATAGGACCGTAGTAAATCTCTTTACCCTCGTCAAGAACAAGGACTTTGTCGAAAAGGTCATAGATACCATTTCCAGCCTGGTAGAGAGTGACGATGGTAGAGAGACCAAGCACGTCTGTCATAGCGCGAATGGCCTTGGTCCACTCGAGGGCAGTACTGGCGTCCAAGCCACGGGTGCTGTTATCCCAACAAAACACTGAACCGCGAGTAGCAAGACATTCGATGATGGAAACACGCTTGCGTTCACCACCGGAAACACCTCGAACGTATTCGTTGCCAACCTTAGTGTCGTTGGTGTGGGTGATACCCATGGATTTCAGCAGGAATTCCTTGGCCTCCTGGCGATAGGCTTCTGCCGACTCGACTCCATTGGGCAAGGTGAAGGGCACCTTGAGACGGGTCGCAAAGTCCATCGTTTGGCCTACGGTCAGGGTCGGGAAAAAGACTTCTTCTTCAGTGTTGATGACGATCTGACCACAGTAGTTGCCAGCCTCCTTGGCAGTCAGTGAACCGTAGCGGACCTCGCCCTCTATCGAGTTATAACCGAGGCGACGATTGGCAAGCATCTTGAGAAGGGTGGTGCAGCCGGAACCAGGGCGGCCCAGAACCAGAAGCATCTCGCCGGGCTTGACGCACCCATGACTCTTTTGGAGGATTTGGCGAAGAGGCGGTTTGTTGCGAGATTCTTTGATGTGCTGGGGAATGTTGAACTGCGATAGGAAATTCTCGTTGACGGCGGCTTCAGAGCTGACGACTTCGACGGTCAAGTCCTTCCAAGTGACACCGAGTTGACGAGGCTTGAGCCCGGATTGCATGTCGCGTTCGTGCTGTTGCTTGACTTGAGGCATCAAGGACCAGTTGTCGGCGCGGCTGGTGTTGGGATCGCGAGTAGGCATGGTGGGTTCATCATTAAGGACGGTTGCTGTACTATCAGTGTCGTCCCTACTCTCAAGCATCCCACGGGATGCCGTGTAGGCTTCCTTTTCCTCCATGGTGGGAAAAGCGAGACAGCAAAGATGGAAGTCTCGTTGTCACCCGTTGAAAAGGGTCTGAAGAGGGAAGATCTAGGCGCCATGAGGGGCGAAGAGCTCCTATATACTCGGTAAGCATCAACAACTGAGGGAGGCGACAGTGGGTCGGGGAGGGGGGGGGCTCTGAGCCTTGAGTCTGATACTGGGCCGGGTGGATATCGGGGCCTGGGCGAGCTTCCGAAGGAAGATTTTGGGGTCCACCCGGCTATTGTGCCTCGCAGCGAATATCCGCTGAGTCAGAGGAGCCCACTCACCACCGTGTCAACGGCCAAGAGAATTCATAGCTAGCTGTCAATCTTGGAGGCTTGGGAAGCTCGAGAAACGGCAGCGCGGAGGTCCGACTCTCCGTGGATGTTGACACATGTTTCAGATTTGATAAGCATCGGGAATGGTGAGCAAAGAAAGAACACCAAGCCCCGACTGAAGCCCAGATGTTCGAGATGGCGATGGTACTGTAAGAGAGAAGTGGAGTTCCGTGGATGATGGAAGTCGAGCCACGTGAAAATTTCTGACACGTTCACTCGGATGTCTGTTTTGGGTAATCTCCGCTGACAAAGCGGATAATCTGCATGATCACCGTCCGAGAGGGGGGCTTTTAGCCGGCTGACTCAGCGGATATTTACTTTGCAGCCTCCGACCCAGCTGGAAACAATAATCCGCCCCCAGGGACCAGGTAATTTGGTGTCATTATCTATTCTCCATTTACTTTACGAAGTAGCCAATCAAACCTATACCGTTCTGCGTGCTCTTATATCTCGTCACCACAGGATCACCGATCTAACCTTCGAATCTAAAGGCTGAACGGCCCGGCGTTAGGATAAGAGCCCAGTGCTCTGGTGGCTTCGATACATTCGATTTGGCATATTTTGGACGATATGCGTCTGGGTTTGTGATGATCTATCAGATCTACAGTATAATCACAACGCAAGTCGCGAGAGATGCTCATGCATTGTTTGGGCTCCGACGCAGCCTTTGTCCTACACCGACACAGCGCATGGCAGACCATCTAACAAGTCATTTTTCATTTCTCAATCGTGTGCAACTCCTTCTCCCCGTGCCAATCATTCTCGGAGAACACATCAGACTGCAAGATTCACGGAGTTAACCATTTTTCTTTGGCTCACAACACAATCGAATTTATCATCTTCTCGTACTCGGAGGCCCGAAAAAGCCGATGCCGACCCAGCGCTCCACTTTCGGTCTGGCACTCACTCAGGCACCAGTGGGCTTAAGAGTTCTAGCGAGTTCTAGACTAGCTTTCTCACTTCTTCGCTGCCCTGTCTCACTACGCTTGGCCGCTTGTGGGAGCTCTTGCGACTCCACTTTGGGGTTCTTTCCCCCTCCGGCTCTGTCAGGGTCGAAGTATCGATAAACCCACGGCAATCCGTCAGCAGCTAAGCGACTCCGGCAATGGGTCACTGATCGAGTGTTCGAATGGTTTGCGGGCCGGGAAAAGGTGACTGGGCGGTTTTTATCAGATAAGGAAGGACTTTGACAGTTCCTGAGGCCACAATCTGTTGCAATCTGTGGACCCTGTGGCGATGATGCAGGCCGTGCTACTTTCAGTCAGATAGGCTCGTTTGAAATGGTTGAGGTGTCAGATCCATTACGCCAGACGATGTTATGCTACGTTGAACGTGGGAACAGTGCCATCAACCTTGTGATTAATCAAAGCCATGTCTTCAATGATGAGCTAACGAGTCCACACCTAAGCCATCGTCTTACACGTGCGTCTAGCATGTATACAGACCCCGAGTAGTCATGGAATCGGTTACGTGAGCACCTGGCGGAGACATCGCTGGAAGGGTCAGGCGTTCTGTGCTCTTTGACTCGACCTTGTGTCGCCAACAGGCCTCCAAAATCTGATGACCAAAAGAAATAAATCGCCAAAAGCAACGCAATGAAGATCCTGTCTTGGTTTACTGTCCGACACACTTCCAACTACCCATTTTGTGCCCGCATTCAAACCGGATGAAGAGCAACAATGCAACTTGAATCCAAACCCACGCTTTCAGTCTTACATCAAACTTTCTGACCTCCCTCTTCCTGTCTGACCTTTTGGCTGAGGGATTCTATTAGCCCGACGTCTGTTTCAAGCCTGGTCCGCACCTATCCAGGGCACTTACAGCTGCCTCTCGAGGCGGTCGAGTTGTTGCCGATTTTGCTGTATTTGATCTTGCAGCTGGGTTTTCAGCCTTGCATCATGTGACGCTATCCCCTCATCTGCCCGGGCTGGGCTGTGACGAGCAGTATCCCGGCTAAATGGTCAGGGTGCAGTGGTTAGCCTTGCCTGAACACAGGGATTGGGGGGTCACTGGGCATGACGTCATCTACGGCACTCCAGACTTCTCCGGCAACGGGACCAGCATCTGGGGGACGGAGACGAAATCGGGTACTAAACATACTCGGCCAAGAACCCCCGCGGCTTAGAGGTTTGCATTTGGCCTTCCCTGCGGGCGGGGACTGCGATGGAGAATGCCCGCGCCAGAGATGCTGGTTCGCGTGTGGTACGAAGCAGGTGGCGCGATGTGTCGAACAGTTGTCGTGACATTTGCATACCAGCACTTAGACAAATGGGTTCAATTCGTGAGAAATCTCGATTGAGAAACTGTCCTATCCTTTACAAGGTTACTGTAGTATGTAATAATAGCATATCCCCTGAGAAACGCTGTTATTATATACTACAACCCTCAAATTCCCCTCCAGTCATGTGATCGTCACCCCGGGCCAATGCGGCCAGGGTGGCGACCCCGGGGATGCAGCAGCAGCGAATCTGGAGATTTCTACACCACGGATGAGACTTCTCCGTGTTTATCGCCACGACCATTTATTGTCCTGATGCTCTGTCCCAAATGTCAGGGTTTGTGGCACATCCGCATCGGGGGAAGACGACCACGGACCTTGCACCTGAACCACGCATAGAGATTATGGCTGATCGGTCGGTTGGCCACGTGAATGAGGTCATCACTAGGGGGCGACGGATTTGTTCTTGTAGTCGTGATGGTTCTGTGGTTGGGTCGTGTTCGAGATGCATCTACTTACCGGTGATGATGCGAGATCTTGGGCGCCGCCTATTTGAACGATTAAACAGGCAGGTCAACATCACACCCGGTCGCCCTTCTAACTTGAACCATGAATCCGACAAAGGCCAAATGAAAGGCTTGATTTCTAAACGCAAAATATATTTGGGCAACGTTCACTAATCTTATCATATCACATAACGGAACCCCTTCTGCAGCCTCCTGGCCGCCGCAATGTCGATCCCCTCCACCTCGGCCGTCCGCTGCAATCGGTCCAGATCCTGGTCCGTCAACACGGCATCTTCATCCTCCAGCCGCGCCAGCCTCTTGTTCAAGAACCGCAGATGGAAGTACATGAACACCGCCATGATTCCGCCCAAGGCCTGCATCCCGACGCACACCCCCATCGCCAGGCGGTAGTATGGCGCGTCTTGCTGGCGATACGTGAAGGCCGTCCAGATGCTGGCGGAGTTGCCGATCGAGTTGATGAACGCGTACGCGGCGGCACGCTTCGCCGGCGGGCGGGGGATGGCGTTCGCGATCCACGAGTACAGGGTGCCGTTCTGCGCGAAGACGAAGTTCATCAGGAACATGGAGAAGTAGCGCGGGCCGAAACTCTCGGTCGTCATGAAGATGATGAACCCGACCATGGTGACGGGGATCGGGTACATGAAGAACCAGAAGCGGCTGCCGAAGCGGTCGGACAGGTAGGAGTGGAAAAGACTGTAGAAGACCATGAAGATGTAGGGGGGCGCGACCAGCAGCAGCGAGATGATCTTGTTGTACCCCAGGGTCTCGGCCAGGGTGGGGAAGTAGTACTGGAACCCGGCGCCGGCCGTGATGCACATGTAGGCGACGGCGAGCACGTAGGTCTTGATGTCGGTGAAGGCGAGCTTGAGGCCCTTCAGCTGCGACATGCTGCCGCCTTCGTCGATGTCGGCCTCGGCGGCTTCGATGGCCAGGCGCCGGTTGGCGACGTGTTTCATCTCGGGGGATAGCAGCTTCCAGGTCTCGGGGAAGTCTGGCAGGACAAGGCAGATGACGAGGCCGATGGCGACGGTGATGCTGCCTTCGATAATGTAGAGCCATTGCCAGGCTGCCAGGCCGCGATGACCCTCAAGGCCCTCGAGGATGCCTGCGGCGATAAGGTTGCCGAAGGCGCCGCTGACCAGCGAACCTGAGTAGAAGATGCTCATCCGGAAGGCCAGTTCGTTCTTTGTGTACCATTTCGACAGATAGAACAAAATCCCGGCGAAGAAGGGGGCCTCGACCAGCCCCAGGATAAAGCGGCAGGCGACGATCCCGCCGTAACTAGTAACCTGGCTGGTCAAAGCGGATACAAGCCCCCACGCCGTGGTGAAGAAGCCCAGATAGATCGATGGGCGGCCCATATAGTTGAGGAGCAGGTTGGACGGAACCTGCATGAGGATGTATGCAACAAAGAGGATCGACAGGCCGACCTGGTACTGGGAGTCATTGAGGGAGAGGTCTTGCTCGAGGCCTTGGAGCTTGGCTGCGGCGTAATTGTTGCTGCGGTTGTTAGCTTGTGACGTGCAATGAGGATGCAATGAGAACTCCAATTGACATACCGATCGATGTAGTTCATAAGATAGACGAGGATAACCAAGGGCATAATCAGGCTGTCAATCCGTCGTCGGAGCTTCTTCTCCAAGATCTTCTCCTCCTCTGTCAGCTGGGCCATCTGGACGACCTCCTCGTGGGAGACGTCGATCTTTTCGCCCATGGCTTCATGGTCGATCATGTGTTTTTCGGCCATGGTTGAGGGAAACAATAGCCCCTGTGCGATGAAGAAGGGGGAATGGGTTGAGAAAGTGTGTCAGATGCTCGCAATGATATAGGGATTCAGCCAGCTATATATTGTTCAGATGAAGAGGCAAACAGCATGGTCACAGCATAGAGAGTGTGGGGGAAAGAAAGGAGTGGGGGTTGGTCTGTTTGAGTTTAAAGCCCGACTAGTCCAAGTAGAAGTAGAGGCGGGGAAGCTTTCATTCCTCATTGCGGGGAATGTCTGGGGTAACGGGGTTTGCCTCCCCCCACTTGGTACTTGCTGTCGGAGACTGTCCGACAGCATCCTCCCTCTTCTGCTCTTCCCATTTGTTGGCTCTGCTTGGCACACGGAATAGCCTGTCTTTTCATCATGCGTGATGATGGTGAAACTTGGGAAGCCACCATTTAGCCAAAGTTGCCTCGTCCACTGAGAGCAGGCTGCACACGCCTAGGTGACTCCGGATCGTCGCATCCTGCCTACGTCAGGCGATCATGCAACCCTGCTGAGGCCTCGGTTCGCATCATCTCCGACCTTGTCCTGCAGAACATGCTCCGATGTTTGACCGATAGTAGATGCAGCAGATGCAGCAGAAGTGAAATGTCTCACTTGCCTGGCGCTCCTTGCCGCAATGATAACAATCAGCTTTGTAACCGTACTACCATGCTGCTGCGAACCCCTGAGAACAACACACTGGCTTTCTCTCAGTGGGTCCTAGCTAGGCCAGCAACCCATGCGCTCGGAGGGTTTATGGGTTGATGTGCGGCAGTATTGTTGCAGGCCATGGTGGGCACTTGTGGTCCAATACATACGAAGGACCTGCTCTTGAGTGATCGGCGCAACGATAACGAATCAGCCATTGGCCGAATACGTCGTGGCTGTCTAGTGAAAGTCGAAAGTGAAGACCCATGCCTGTTGGTCAAATCTCTTCAGGTTTTGTGCAGAGAGGATCGGGGCATGCGGTGGTCAACCTGAACTCAATGCTAGCATGTACCAATCACGGAAGAGAGACTTATCAGAGTTGTGCATGCATCTCTTATTACTAGGTACTAGTATTCCCCAGCTTTATGGTCAGGTAGGAGCTCGACATCGGAGGAGACCGCTAGTCGCAGTTATTATCACCGGCTTGGTGGGAATTGGCACTTCATTGGCTCAAGTAGATACCGCAGGTTTGACAGTTCTAGAAGAAAAGAATGAATCGTATGTGTTAAGTTGAATCGTGCATTCTAGTGGGGAGGTAGCAAGCCCATAAAATCATGGCATGGTTCAGCATGATCCTCGAGGTTGAGGCCGACCGAGATATTTATATATATCCCAGGCTCTGCAATTGATGGAGAAAGTACAAGGTAGGTTTGATTTTGAGGTGTCAATGATGTAACCCAATCAGATTGCTATGCAGAGATTTCTGAGGCGGCAAGAGCGTGAGATTCATTAGATTGGACTGTGTCAGTGTCATCTGAAAGTGAATCGACAGTTGAACTGTCCCACATCATTTGTTGAATGATGATCCGCTTAGGACTGCAATCAAGTTCAGTTCCTGAGGCATCTAGTTTGGTGCCTGGAGGGGTCGACTAAATGGTTTGTCACGCTAGCCTTTTCAAGCCAACCCACCAAGAATCCATTTCTGTCTCAGCGGCAAGCAACAACACACACACACACACATACACACTGCATCCACCCAATCTCTCTCTTGTCTCTTGCATCCGCCTTCACTAATCGTGTTTCTGGAATGAAGATTAGTCCCAAACTTACACCATGGTTCCTCGAATTTCTACGAGATAACCTTTCCGCCATCCACGCAGTCTCGAAACCTACCCAGCCACGGATCCAGAGTGGCGAAACACGCTACCGACCGTGAGCCCACTCGAAACCAAGCCCACTTTGCCAGGCCGCTATCGTCCCAGACCCGGCTTGCTATTGGTCTTGTTGAGCCACGGGGCGCGCTGGTGCCGATGTAAGCGAAAGGGAAAGAGAGGGGACAAATCTCGGACATGTTCGTCCAGATCTTGTTGGTGTCAAGCGTGCCGTACCGTTCGTTGGCTCTCTTACCCCGAAGCTCGACCTTTGCCCTCACCCGACTCGGGAGTAGAGAGTCATTACTCCAATAGGTGCTAGACCGCGATGGTCAACCACAATTCGCAGGCTGTTCTGGTCCCCAGCCAGTACCGTCCCAAGCCTGTCATCACCTCGAATCAGCTTGCGCGTCAACTGCGGTCCTGTAAGGTCTGCCGGTTCCGCAAGGTCAAGGTGCGTCCCGACCCGATTCTTCTTGCTTGCTGGTGATGCCCCATATTGCATTCCATTCGGGAACCCAATTTATTGGATGAAAATATCCCCCAGCTCCAGAACGAGCCACTCGACTGGGGATTAGTGGTGTATTCGAAGTACCCCTGGGGCCCGATCTCCACGCAGGCTCGTCTGGCTCTAATACTCGATGGTCATAGTGCGATCGTGTTAAACCCTGTCATGCATGCTGTGCTCATGGATATCCCTCCAAGTGCACTTACGACACCGGCCCCGAAGATAGCCTCCAGCCGATAAGCCAAGCGGACGAGATCCGTAACCTCCGAAATGAGATCCGTCAGCTGACGGCTCAACTCAATGCCCGTGGTACGTTTATCCATACCTGAAAAAGCGAGAGCGTAGTTTGACCACGGTTGACGTGTGCTGACGTTGATATCTGGTGTGTTTAGATCAACGGAACCGAAACCGACGCCGCCTAGCGCAGCTGCAAGGCTTGGTTGA